GGTTCAGTTTCGTGGCGTTCTACACGCTCGTCTTCAGTTCTCAGCTCCAGTTGTGAGGCTGAGATCTACGCCACAGCCATGGCTGCACAGGAGTTACGCTGGCTCACCTACCTGCTGACTGACTTGGGAGAGCAGCCTCGTTCTCCTCCAGTGCTGTACGTCGACAACAAGGCCGCCATTGCCTTGTGTGAGGAGCACAGACTGGAGCACAGAACGAAGCACATTGCTCTGCGTTACTTCCTGGCTCGAGAGTTGCAGCAGCGAGGCCAGCTTCGTCTTCGCCACGTGGCCACTCGGGCCAACACTGCTGATATATTCACCAAGGCACTTCCGTCTGGTGATCATCAGCGCTTTTGTACTCTGTTGGGCCTTGTGCCTACGTTTCCGCACTTGCTGTAGTCTCTGTTTGTACTGTGATCTATATATATACCTGCATGCTGGCTCTTGCTAGGTAGCCATCACTGTACTGTTATTGCTGCATATATATCTCTGCATGTGAACTGGTCTTGTGGCCCTTTGCTTGTGCTCAGAATGTGTGGTGACGTTGAGATCCACCCTGAGCTTGCTTTGCTTCTCTTGACTGGTCGTTTGACCCCTTGTTCTCCCCCACTTTGCCTATGGGGGTGTGTCAAACATATATGCTGCATATTGTCTAGGCTGTAGTGGGGTAGCCCATATGGGGTACAGCCCAATTAGGGTTTACTACTTGTACTCCTGCATGCTGCTAGTTCATCCATTCCTGCTGCTAGATTCTGACACCTTAGCCACTCCATATCCATACCTGCTCCTTAGCCTCGCCATATCCATGCCTGCCCCTTAACCTCTCCATATCCATACCTGCTCCTTAGCCTCGCCATATCCATACCTGCCCCTTAGCCTCCCCATATCCATACCTGCCCCTTAGCCTCTCCATATCCATACCTGCTCCTTAGCCTCGCCATATCCATACGTGCTCCTTAGCCTCGCCATATCCATACCTGCTCCTTAGCCTCGCCATATCCATACCTGCTCCTTAGCCTCGCCATATCCATACCTGCCCCTTAGCCTCTCCATATCCATACCTGCTCCTTAGCCTCGCCATATCCATACCTGCCCCTTAGCCTCTTCACATCCTCCACCCGGCGAGCCACATCCAGCAGCCACGCCGCTCGCTCTGGCACCCCGCCGACTCCCTGGGGAGGTGGCACGGTAAGTGCATGGGGGTGGTGTGGCAGGGGGTTGCATGGTGGGTGCATGAGCGGTGCATGGGGATGCATGGGGGGTGCATGGATGACGCATGGTACGTGGACCCTACTGCATTTTCTACCACATGAGCATGCCATGAGAATTCAAGCTCGAACTCACTATGGCGGCGTCCAGCCCAGCCCATCACCCTGATGCAGCAGGGAGATAGAGGAGCAGCAAATGCGAGAGTGGATCTAGAGTCAGAACGGAAATCGGAACTCACCATGGCAGCGTCCTGCCCATTGCCCTGAGCCAAACCCAGCAACACTGCTGTGTTACACACGCCTGGTGGGATGGGTGGTGATGGGGAGGGCAGCATGAGAATGAGATGGGATGGCGTTTGAGTTGACTCATAGGTCATCTCATCGTGTTGAGCCAGACCCAGCAGCACTGCTGTGTTACACCCAGGCAGCTCTGCTCTGCTTTTCTCTGCCACATGCTGACAACTCTCAGCTTCGCATGGAGCAATGAGCAATGCTCTGCTCTGCCACATGTCGGTAACTGACATATTTCTAGAGCATGTCATACACTTGCTTGCCAGTGGACTTTTGAGGCGCCTCATAAGCCGCTTGCGAGCGAGTGGCACGGCATGTCTTACGGCTCTCCACGTTGTCAACTTGATCCGCTGCCGCTGCAGCCGGTCGCACTTTCTGTGCACAGAGCGTTTTGTGTGCATGGCGCTTAGAATCCTGTTGCCCGTGTGCGCACACAGTTGCTAGTGAGTGGCATGGCATGGCAAGGCTTACGGCTCTCCACGTCGTCGACTTGATCCGCTGCCGCTGCAGCCCGGTCGCGCTTTGTGTGCATGGCGCCCAGAATCCTGTTGCCCGTATGCACACACATGCACGCACATGCACACATGCACACATGCACGCATGCACGCACATGCACACAAACACACACACATGCACACATATGCACACATGCACACACATGCACACATGCACACACATGCACACATGCACACACATGCACACACACGCACCCATGCACACACACACACACATGCACACACACACACACATGCACACACACACACACATGCACACACACACACACATGCACACACACACACACATGCACACACACACACACATGCACACACACACACACATGCACACACACACACACACACACACACACACACACACACGCACACACACACGCACATGCGCACACACGGAATCACGCACGCGCACACACACGGGAAGCAAGTAAATTTTGAGGGTTTCCTAAACCACTGCTTCTAGATTTGTGTGTACAGACACCAGCATCCTGTTGCCTCTCACACACACGCGCAGGCACGGGGAGCAAGAAAAGACATAAATAGGTTCAAGGCTGCACATACATGCATACATGCATACATGCATACATACACACATGCATACATGCATACATGTGTAAAGAAGGCGTGGATATGCGTACATACATGCCTGTTATATAAAGGTGTGGATGACACGTGGCTGCAGATGAGGGTGCAAAGTGACTGGAACATAGCTACAACTGGAAAGTCGCATGCAGCTTCAAACTTAGGCCATCCCTGGTTCAAGTGCTACGAAATGGTGCAGGTGCTACCTGGTACAGGTGCTACCAGTACAGGTGCCATTTGGTGCAGATGCTACCTGGTGAAGGCCCAATCCAGGAAGTGCAGGCGTTGTTCCGTGTGGTTTAAGAGCAGGTCAACCGCCTCACCCTGGGAATACAGTGCGGTGTGAAAAGGTGGCGCATTGGATGAAGATTTTATGTTGCGAAACGAGTGCGTAAGAATGGAGCCCTGTGCGGCATACTCCTTTATGTACAATGTTATATTTCTACATACTAGTATGCTACTGTATTGCAGCGCATGTGTGCTCTTTGTGACTTTTGAGTCGACTCAAAAGTCAACTGAATGGAGCCCTGTACGCCGTAACATGCTACCGCGCAATGGTACGACGAACCGACATTTGCGGCGCCTAAGAAATATGATGCTGCCGCGCAAATGTGCTCCATGACACCGAACGACGAAACGCGACGACGGGGTCCTGGATTTGGGAGGCGAAACGGAAGGAGGGAACGCGACATACGAGCGAAGGAGCGTTCGCGTCGACCAAGGAGTAACCGACGTCCTCCAATCTCGTCGCGACAGCCGTCGCCAAGTCCATGGCTGCGCTTCGGTGCTGCGAAGCCCCAAGAAGACCTCTTCAACGGCTATGACAACGGCGTTTCGAAGAGCGGATCGCCTCAACAGACAGAGCAAGAGAAACTAGAAATGAAAAGATTCCTTAAGAGAAGGTGATCGTTTGCCGGAACCACCCGGATCGTACTCCAAGACAGAAACGTGGTTCAGTGCCTTTCCATATCTCATCGCGTTGGTCGATTAGGTGCTCTATGGGATGCGATTTTTGTTCAAAACGAGGCTTGTCAGGGAACTCGAGGAACAAGATTCTTCTGAGGGGGGAAATGGTGTCTGAGACGTGCTACGATTTAGCTGGAACTCTGTTTACGTTTGTTGCAAAGATAGGGAGGAAGAAAAACATGACACCGTATCGAGGCCGTCTGCAACAAGACATCAAATTTACAATACCGTTGGGGCTCATAACTTGACCCAAAGCAATTCGTGTGGCTGAGATTCGTCGTACGACGTGGCGGGAAAGTTGGTTGTTCTGACACCATGGGCGACGGCCTCTGTAGTGCGACTACTGTACGACGATAATTTCGTTCGCGACCTTTTGGATATGCGACATCATCGGGTTCCACGATATGGTCCGCCTACTTCAAAAACCAACCCTGGAAGTTGGAAAGGCGTGTTTACAAAAAATGGGCCACAGTACCTCAGGTGCTTAGACTGTGAACTCGTCGCTGATTTTTCAGTCAAGACCACGTTACGGTCACAAAGACGTCGCTGATATTCGCATGAGGGTCGCTAATGCCACGTTTCGTCAGCAATATTGCCGTTTCTGACATGCTTCACGAAAACCACGTTATTATTTTTTTAGCTAACGAATGCAATCTGGTCCGCAACAAGCCCTCAAATACTGCTGGAAATGAGCCTTCTCACGGCATCCCAGCACCCCATACCTCGGGACCACTAGAACTAGCAATGACTAGCCAGCGACACCAAACCATGGCCGCTGATGGTTCACGTTGCTCTTGTAAGTGTTTCCTGACAGTTTATTTAGGCGTTCCTGCCTCCGGCGTTGTTGTCTCTGGAGAGCCCTAGGCCACGTTATTCAGTTTTGCGGCTCTGCTGTCGCTGCGCCTGTAGTCAATTTGGCCTAAGTAACTCGTAGTACTTCACCTTACCTGAGTCTAACCTTTGCAAGATTAGAGCCAAGCTCTCTTGAGATATCGCAGCAATTATTGGTCTAGCTAACAATCATCTCCATAGATTATAGTTTCATGGCGGGGTTGTGTATAGCGGGTACGGAAGGCCGGGTTAGAATCCACAGACTTCCGGATGCGAAATGAAGAGAGAAGCTCGACGGACTCGCACGCCTTTTATCCGAAACCACCATCGGCTCACCTTCGTTCCTTTCTCCTTCACGCCTCGCATGCGAAAACACACGCCTAGCTCACAGTCGAAAGTAGTTCCTCTTCCCTTAGATAAAATGCCTCCTCCCGTTGACCTAGCCTCTCAACCCCGTCCCAGTACCGCAGATGGCGGTCCACGTCCGGGGGGGAATCAGGACTGGTTACCCACAGATGGAGGGGTACGAGGGGGTAACCAGGAGAAGTTACCCGAGAAAAAAGTTACTCCCAGCCTTAGTGTCGCAGATCGAGTTGCTTCTTTCAAGCAAATGGCTGGACACGACAGGAGCTCCTCACCCAAACCGTTAGGCTCGGCAAGGTTCGGAACCGGCGCTGTAGGTTCGACGAGTCCGTTCAGGGCTGGTTCGGCTGAAGCTGGTTCGGCGGACGTTGGTCTGGAAGTGCAGCTCGGGCAGCTGAGAATTAAAAACGCGGACCTGAAGCTGAACGTGGAAAATTTACAGGCGGAGTTGAAAGCCGCGAAGGAACAGATCGGGCAGATGACAAAAGAGATTGAGGCGTGGAAAAAGGAGGGAGTGCCGAAAGACAATGCTGCTGAGATGAAAGCGGAGATTGAAAAGCTGAAGAAGGAATTGGCAGAGAGCAAAGGAGGAGGGAAGGGCGTGGGGGTAGTGGGAGATAGAGATAAGGAAATGAAGGAGATGGAGGAGAAAATGATGGTTATGGAAGTAGAGGTTGGGAAGTATAAATTCGTGCATGACAGTTTAAAAGAGAGGGTAGAAAGGTTGACCAAGGATAACAAGAAACGAATTGCGTCGGAAAAAGAGGCGTTAGATGCGATTGGGAAGGTGAGGGAGGAAAAGGAGGAGGTGGAGAGGAGACTGAGTGAGGTGGAGGCAGAAAGGGATGAGGCGAGGAGGAAGTGTGAGGAGGCGCAGCAGCGGATGGCAGATGCTGTGAGAGAGAGAGGGGAGGTGGAGGTGAGGAGGGATGAGGATGTAGCTGCTGTGAGGAAGGCTATGGAGGAGGAGAGGCGCAAGGTGGAGGAGGGAAGGAGGAAGGCGGAGGAGGAGAGGGATGGAGTGTTGAAGGCGAAGAGTGAGATGGAAAGGGAGAAGGAAGTGTTGATGGGGAGGTTTGCGGAGGAGGAGAGGAGGCGAGAGGAGGCGGAGAGGAGGCGAGAGGAGGCGGAGAAAGGGAGGCGAGATGCGGAGGAGGAAAAGGCACGAGCTGAAGGGGAGAAGGAACAGGCGTGGAAGGAGAGGGAGGAGGCGGAGGCTGCTCGGAGGGTGGCGGAGGAGGAGAGGGATGAGGCAGTGAGGGCGAAGGAGGAGGCGGAGAGGGAACGAGACGAGGCGACGAGGGCACGTGAGGCGGCGGTAACGAAGCAAGGGGAGGCGGAGAAGAGGAGAGACGAGGCAGAGAGATCAAGGGAGGAAGCAGAGACACGGAGGGAGGAGGCGGAGAGAGAGAGAGGGAAGGCGGAAGAGGAGAAAGAGCAAGCGAAGAAGGAGAGGGAAGAAGCGGAGGCAGCACGGGGAGTGGCGGAGAAAGAGAGGGATGAGGCTGTGAAAGCGAAGGAGGAGGCGGAGAGGGAACGAGACGAGGCGACGAGGGCACGTGAGGCGGCGGAAACGAAGCAAGGGGAGGCGGAGAAGAGAAGAGACGAGGCAGAGAGATTGAGGGAGGAAGCAGAGACACGGAGGGAGGAGGCGGAGAGAGAGAGAGGGAAGGCGGAAGAGGAGAAAGAGCAAGCGAAGAAGGAGAGGGAAGAGGCGGAGGCAGCACGGGGAGTGGCGGAGAAAGAGAGGGATGAGGCAGTGAAAGCGAAGGAGGAGGCGGAGAGGGAACGAGACGAGGCGACGAGGGCACGTGAGGCGGCGGAAACGAAGCAAGGGGAGGCGGAGAAGAGGAGAGAAGAGGCAGAGAGATTAAGGAAGGAAGCAGAGGCGCAGAAAGAGGAGTCTGAGAGCGCGAGAGGGAAGGCGGAAGAGGAGAAAGAGCAAGCGAGGAAGGAGAGGGAAGAGGCGGAGGCAGCACGGGGAGTGGCGGAGAGGGAGAGGGATGAGGCAGTAACGTGTAAGGAGGAGGCAGGGAGGGAGAGGGATGAGGCAGTAAAGGGTAAGGAGGAGGCGGAGAGGGAGAGGGATGAGGCAGTAAAGGGTAAGGAGGAGGCAGGGAGGGAGAGGGATGAGGCATTAAAGGGTAAGGAGGAGGCAGGGAGGGAGAGGGATGAGGCAGTAAAGGGTAAGGAGGAGGCAGGGAGGGAGAGGGATGAGTCAGTAAAGGCTAAGGAGGAGGCAAAGAGGGAGAGGGATGATGCAGTAAAGGGTAAGGAGGAGGCAGAGAGGGAGAGGGATGAGGCGGTAAAGGGTAAGGAGGAGGCGGAGAGGGAGAGGGATGAGGCATTCAAGGGTAAGGAGGAGGCGGAGAGGGAGAGGGATGAGGCAGCAAAGGGTAAAGAGGAGGCGGAGAGGTTGAGGGATGAGGCATTAAAGGGTAAGGAGGAGGCGGATGCAAAACGAGCAGAGGCCGAAAGCGCTCGTGAAGCGGCTGAGAAGAGGCAAGAGGAGGCAGAAACGAGGAGGGAGGAGGCAGAAAAGAGGAGGGAGGAGGCAGAGGGTAGAAGAGAAGCTGCGGAAAGGGAGAAGGAGCAAGCGGAGCTGGCACGGGCAGAAGCAGAGGCACGGAGAGACGAGGCTGAGAGGCTTTCTGCAGAGGCTGAAGGGAGGAGAGAGGAGGCTGAGAGGGCGAAAGAGGAGGCTGAGAGGGCGAAAGAGGAGGCTGAGAGGGCGAAAGAGGAGGCTGAGATGGGGAAAGTGGAAGCGGGTAAAGCGAGAGAAGAGGCGGAAAGGGAGAGGGAGACGGCAGAGAAGAGAAGAGAGGAAGCTGAGAATGCAAGGGAGGAAGAAAAGAAGTTGAGAGAGGGAGCAGAAAGGGCACGAGATGAGGCAGAGAAAGCAAGGGAGGCGGCGGAGAAAGCAAAGGAGGAGGCGGAGAAAGCTAAGGAGGAGGCGGAGAAAGCCAAGAGCGAGGCAGAGAGAAGACGGGAAGGTGCTGAGATGAAGCTGACGGAAGAGGAAGAGAGGAGGAAAGAGGCAGATGAGAGGAGGAGAGAGGCGGAAGAGAGAAGGGAGGAGGCGGAGCGAGAGAGGGAGGAGGCTGTGAAGGTGAGAGAGGAGGCAGAGGCGAGGAGGGAAGCTGCTGAGAACGCAAAGGAGGAGGCGGAGGAGAGGCAACGTGAGGCAGAGAAAGCAAGGGCTGCTGCTGAGGAAGCGCGGGAGGAGAGCGAGACTGCAAGGGAGGAGGCTGAGGCGAGGAGGAAAGAGGCTGAAGAGGCAAGGGAGGAGGCGGAGAAAGGAAGGGAGGAGGCAGTAGAGAGGGCAGCAGCAGCGGAGGAGAAGATTGAGGAGGAGAGAATGGCAAGGGAAGAAGCTGAGAGGGCGAAAGAGGAGGCTCAAAGGGTGAGGGAAGAGGCAGAAAAGTGCACAGAGGATGCAAGAAAGGCACGAGAGGATGCAGAGGCCCGATGTGAGGAGGCAGAGAATGGTCGATTGGAAGCAGAGAGAAAGCAAGCAGAGGCTGAGGCGGCGAGGGAAGAAGCAGTTGCAGCGAGGCAGCAAGCAGAGACAGCGAGGGATGAGGCTGAGAGGAATCGAGCTGAGGCTGAGAAAAAGCAGGTGGATGCAGAAATGAAACAGGCAGAGGCAGAGGTGGCGAAGGAATTAGCAGAAGCAGCACGTGCAGAGGCGGAGGTGGGGATGGCTGAAGCTGTCAAGGCAAGAGAGGAAGCTGGGAAAGCAAGAGAGGAAGCTGAGAGAGCCTGCAAGAGAGGATGCAGAAGGGAGGCTTAGGGAGGCAGAGAAAAGAGCAGAGGGTGCGGAAGAAAGTGCGAGGGAAGCAGTGGAAAGGGGTAAGCAGGCAGAGGAGAGGGCACGGGAAGCAGAGAGGGCAGAGCGAGAGGCAAGAGAAGAAAGTGAGGTGGCGAAGAGGGCAAAGGAGGCAGCAGAGGCTGCACGCGAGGCAGGAGAGCGAGATAGAGAGGCAGCTGAGAGGGCGAAAGAGGAGGCAGAGAGGACGAAAGAGGAGGCTGAAAAGGCAAGGAAGGAAGCTGAGCAGGGGAAGGAGGAATCGGAGCAAGCTCGAGCAGCAGCTGAAGTGTTGAGAAAGGAGGCAGTTGAAGCAATGGAGGAGGCTGAGAGAGTGAGCCAGGAGGGTGAGAAGGCGAGGAAGGAGGCAGAGAGGGGCAGGCGAGAAGCAGAGCGAGCACAGGCGGAGGCGGAGAGGCAGAGAGATGAGGCTGAGAGGCGAATGGCTGGTGCTGGGATGAGCAAGGATGAGGCGGAGAGGGAGCGGGAGGAGGCGCATAGGGGCAGGGCAGAGGCGGAAAGGAGGATGGAGGAGGCGGAAAGCAGGACAGAGGAGGCGGAGAAGAGGAGAGATGAGGCGGAGAGGAGGAGAGATGAGGCGGAGAGAGCAAGGGAGGTTGCTGAGGAGGCGAGAGAAGAGGCTGTGAGAGAAAAGGAAGAGGCTGTTAGGGGGAGGGATGAGGCGGAGGAGAGGCGGGTGGAGGCAGAGAGGAGACAAAGCGAGGCGGAAGAGAAGGAGAGGGAGGCTGAGAAGGCTCGGGAGGAGGCTGAGAAGGCTCGGGAGGAGGCTGAGAAGGCTCGGGAGGATGCAGCTAAAGCTGCGGAGGAGGCTGAGCAGGCAAAGAGAGAGGCGCTTGAAGCAAAGGCAGAGGCAGAGGAGAGGAGGGCGGAGGCTGAAAAGGCACGAGATGGTGCAGAGGCTAAGGCAGCTGAGCTAGAGAAGGCTGTGGAGGAGGCTGTGCGTGCACAGGCAGAGGCGGAGGAGAGGAGGGCGGAAGCAGAAAGAGCACGAGATGCTGCAGAGGCGAAGGTGGAGGGGTTAGAGAGGGCCGTGGGAGAGGCTGTGAGTGCGAAGGCACAGGAGGAGGAGAGGAAGGCGGAAGCAGAAAGAGCACGAGATGCTGCAGAGGCGAAGGTGGAGGGGTTAGAGAGGGCTGTGGGAGAGGCAGAGGCCGTGAGGAAGGCAGCAGAGGAGGAGAGGGATGAGGCGCTGAGAGGCGAGGAGTGCACTGTGGAGGAGCGGTATGAGCTGGTGCAGGCCCTTGAAAAAGCAGGTGAGGAGAAGGATGAGTTGACGAGGGCTGTTGAGGCAGTGAAAGGGGAGAGGGATGAGCTGGTGCAGGCTCTTGAAAAGGCGGGTGAGGAGAGGGATGAGTTGACGAGGGCTGTGGAAGAAGTGAAAAGGGAGAGGGTTGAAGCGGTGAGGGCTCTTGAAAGGGCAGGTGAGGAGAAGGATGAGTTGACAAGGGCTGTGGAAGAAGTGAAAGGGGAGAGGGAAGAACTGGTGCTGGCTCTTGAAAGGGTGGGTGAGGAGAAAGATGGGCTGACGAAGGCTGTTGAGGCAGTGAGAGGGGAGAGGGATGAGCTGGTGCAGGCTCTTGAAAGGGTGACTGAGGAGAGGGATGAACTGACGAGGGCTGTTGAAGCAGTGAGAAGGGAGAGGGATGAAGCGGTGAAGGCTGTAAGGGCAGGTGATGAGAGGGGTGAGCTGGAGAGGGCTGTTGCAGAGGCTGTTGCAGAGGCTATTAGGGAGAGGGATGAGGCAATGAAGGCTGTTGAGAAGGCTGTTAGGCAGAGGGATGAGGCAATGCTGGTGATTGAAGCAGCAAGAGAGGAGCGGGACAGGGCAGTTGAGGCTGTTGCGTTGGCGGTAGAAGAGAGGAACGAAGCAGTGAGGATTCTTGACAGGGTGACGGCGGAGAGGGACGAGGCGATGCTGGTGATTGATGAGGCTGTTGGGGCGCTTGGTGGGGCCATTGGGGCGAGGGAGGCACGAGGGCTGGTTGGGGAGCGAGTGGCCATTAGGGAGAGAGAGGCGAGAGGGTTGGTTGAGGAGAGGGAGGTGAGTGGGGAGGGGGAGGCGATTGGGGAGAGGGAGGTGAGAGAGATGGTGAACTTGAATGAAGCAGCAGGAGGGGATGGAGACAAAGTGACAGTTTGTGTGGGGTGTTTAAGTAAGTGTGAAGGGTTGGTGGGCGATACGGAGGAAGCAGATAGGAGGCGGGAGGAGGCGAAGAGGAGACTAGAGGAGCTGAAGGGAATCCTTGATGAGGTGAGGGGGAAGCAGGAGGAGTCTGAGCGGAAACTGGAGGAAGTTGAGAAACAGCTGGTGGATATGGGGGATGCGAAGGCGGAGGCAGAGAGGAGGAGAGAGGAGGCAGAGAGTGGGAGGGTTGAGGCAGAAGGGAGAAGAGTGAGAGCAGAGGAGGAGAGGGATGAGGCTGAGAGGAGGAGAGGTGATGCTCTGATTGCGAAGGAGCAAGCGGAGAGCGAAAGGGGAGAAGCAGAGAAAGCAAGGGAAGAGGCAGAGAGAGCAAAGGAGGAGGCGGAGAAAAAATGGAAGGAAGAGGGGATGAGGAGAGCAGAGGCAGAGAAGGCGCTAGAAGAGGCACTGGAGGCAGGTTTTGTGGTGGATGGGCGGACGGGGGAGGCAGAGAGGAGGAGAGAGGAGGCAGAGAGGAGGAGAGAGGAGGCAGAGAGGGGAAAAGAGGAAGCAGTGAGGAGGGGAGAGGAGGCAGAGAGGGTACTAAAAGAGGCGCTAGAGGCAGTAGTGCAGGCAGAGGTTCGAAGGGAGGAGGCAGAGAAGGAAAGAGATGAGGCGGAGAGGAGGAGGGAAGAGGCGGAGAGGATGGCAGAAGAGGCTGAAATACGAGCTGAGGAGGAGGCTGTTAAGGCGAGTGAGGAAGCAGCAAGGCGAGTGAGAGAGGCAGAAGCAGCAAGAGAAGAGACGGAAAGGAGGAGAGAAGTAGCAGAGGGTGCGTTGTTGATAGCAGAGGTGTTATTGCAGGAGGCGGAGGTGTGGAGAGATGAGGCGGAGAGGAGATTAGAAGAAGGGGAGGGATTGCAGAAGGAAGCTGAGCGGGTGAGAGAGGAGGCGGAGAGGAGGAGAGAAGTAGCAGAGGGCGCATTGTCACTAGCAGAGGTGGTATTGCAGGAGACGGAGGTGTGGAGAGATGAGGCGGAGAGGAGATTGGAGGAGAGAGAGGGGTTGTGGAAGGAGTCTGAGTGGGCGAGAGCAGAGGCGGAGAGGGGGAGAGAAGAAGCAGAGGCGGCTTTGGAGATAGCAGAGGCAGCGAGGGATGAAATTCAAAGGGCGAAAGAGGAGGCTGAGAGGAGGAGAGAAGAAGCAGAGGGGGCTGCGGAAATAGCAGAGGCAGAGAGGGATGAGATGAAGAGGGCGAAGGAGGAGGCTGAGGCTAGCTGGGAAGAGGCGCTGGGGATGCTGGGAGAGGCTGAGAGGGGGAGAGAGGAGGCTGAGAGGGGGAGAGAGGAGGCTGAGAGGGGGAGAGAGGAGGCTGAGAGGGGGAGAGAGGAGGCGGAGAGGGGAAAAGAGGAGGCGGAGAGAGGGAGAGAGGAGGCTGAGAAAAAGGTAGTGGAAGCTGAAAGGATGAGATGGGTGGCTGATAGAAAAGGAGAGGGGGCAGAGAGGGGAGGAGAGGGGCCAGAAGGTAAGGAGCGAGGGGAGGCTGTGGTGTGCAGCTGTGAAGAGGGCGTGGTGATAGTTGCAGAATCCCATGAGCAACTTGTAGAGGCGAGGGGAGAGATGGAGGGAGAGGTTGGGGGCGAGGAAGTGGGAAGTGATGGTATGGAGGGAGAGAATAGGGGATGCAGTGGAGGAAAAGAGGATGGGGAGAGCAGTGCAGGGGAGGAGGATAAGGTATGCAGCCAGGAGGAGAAGGGTCGGGAGAGCAGTGGGGAGGAGGAGCAGGTGAAGGGAGTGATTTGCCACTGCACGCAGAAGGAGGTGCTGCCTGAGGGTGCTGCTGCTGCAGAGGCGCCACACAGGGGGTGGGCGAATCCCGGCAGCAGTGGAGGGGAGACGAGTGTGGTTGGCATGAGGTTGTTGGAAAGGGAGGAGTTGGAGAGGGAGAGGGACGAGCTAAGAGCGCAGTGGGAGGCGGCAGAGGAGAGGCGAAGGGAGCTGGAGGCGATTGTGAGTAAAACGGGCGTGCAGCTAGAGAGGGTGGCTGGGGTGGAGGAGGCAGAGAGGGAGAGGGAGGAGGCGGTGAGAGGAAGGGATGCAGCTGTGGAAGCAAGGGATGAGGCGTTCAGAGCGAGGGATGAAGCTGAGAAGGCCAGGAAAGATGCAGAAATGAGGGTTGAGGAGGCGGAGAAGGAGAGGGATGAGGCGTTTGAAGCAAGGGATGAGGCGGTGAGAGCACTGGAGTGTGCGGAGGAAGCAAGGAGAGAGGCGGAGGCGGCGAGAGATGAAGCGTTGGAATCAAGAGACGGGATTCAGAAGTCGTGGGATGAGGCTGAGGGGGCGAGGAGAGCAACGGAGAAGAGGCTTGAGGAGCTTAAGCAGGCTTTGGAGGAGGCTGAAAGGGCAAGGCAAGAGGCTGAGATGGCAAAGGAAGTGGCAGAGGCGGCGAGAGAAGAGGCTGAGGCAGCTTGGAAGGAGGCAGTGGAGAAAGTGGGAGAGGCGGAGGAGAGGAGTGAGAAGAGGTGTGAGGAGGAGAGGAAGGTGAGGGAAGAAGCGGAGAGGGCGAGGGAAGAAGCAGTGAAGGCAAGAGAGGAATCTGAAAGGATGAGAGAGGAGGCTGAGAAGGGAAGGGAGGAGGCGGTAACGAGACAAGCCATGCCGTGCAGCGCATGTGCGGAAAAAGATGAGGCGATGCAGTCCATTCTCAACGAGCTAGTCACCGCCCAGGCTGCGTCCGAAGCTGCCATAGCCTTGGCGGCAACCAACGCTGCGGAGGAGGTTCGGGCGGAGCTTCGGATGGCGCAGGAAGGGTGGGAGAAGCGGCTGAGTGAAGTGGAAGGGGAGTTGGAGCTTGTGAAAGGGGAGGGAGAGAAGCTTGAGAAGAGAGTGAAGGAAGCAGAGGAGGAGAGTGTGCGGCTGCGGGAGGAGGTGGAGGGAGAGCGGAAGGGGAGGGAGGAGGAGAGAGCTGCCAAGGAGGAAGAGAAGAGAGCAAAGGAAGAGGAGAGGAGGGAGAAGGAGGAGGAGAGGGAGAGGAGGGAGCAGGCGGAGGCAGGGAGGAGGGCAGCGGAGGAGGAGGCACAGCTGACGAGGGAGGATCTGGAAGTGATGCGGGAGGCAAAGAGGGAGACAGTGCGGAACCTCACAGACTCGCTGCTGGCTGCGGAGGAGCAGAGGAAGCGGCTGCTGTTCCTGCTGCGGAAGGCACAGATCATCGAAGGTGAATGGTTTGTTGTATAGATCATTATTGGTGGTCTTGGATTCATTTACAAAACGAGTATTGGGTTAGTTAATAAGTCATTGTGTGAGATTGTGGCAAGCTATAATTATGTTGTTCCTTCCCTTGTTCCGTCTTCTTGATGCAGGCCTCTAGCGCCCCTTAAATGCAGGAATGACATAGGCAATCCTTATACGGTCTCTGAGGAGAAACATTTTGTAATTGTTATGTTATGCATAGCGGTAACTAGTTTTGTTGACGTTTCTAATAACGTGTAGTTTCTCGAAGATCTCGTGTCGGGTAGACCCAAGGTTTTGTTCCGATATTCACGAGATCGTCCTCTGGGTAGGTACGAAATGGGTACGAAATGGGTGTCGCGAACCTCTTGCGCCATGGGGACCAATACGCGGGGACGCCCCCCGAGCAGTGAAGTGAACCAACTCGACCGTTTCGAAAGCAACCGCTTGTTAGCGCGGAAAACCATACTGAACCGCACAAGGTAGACGGAATATGAGGTTGTGGAACCATAGCAGGAGCTTTCTTTAGGAGCCAGTATCTAGGCGTGTCAGAATCGTCGCAAGCATGGTGGAGCGCGCAGCCTACCAGCGGTCGCGCAACGCGTCGCAACAGCGGCGGACGTCGCAGCAACAGCAGCAGCAGCACCAGCAGCAGCAGCACCAGCAAGGCCAGTCGCACAGTCAGGTCGCACAGCCGTCGCAGCAGCCGCAGTCGCAGCAACAAGAGCAGGCGCACAATGTAAGCTCGGCGGCTCAGCCGCCAAACGCGCAGGCGCAGGCGCAGGCGCAGCCGGCGCAGCCCGCGCAGCAGAGGGCGCACCAGCGCGCGCTCCCCCCCCAGCAGCGGCAACCGGCGCAGCAGAAGCGGCAGCAGTTGCGCCAGACCGCGGTGCAACGGCGCACGGCGCAAGCTCAGGCCGCGCGACAAACTGCGGGGGATGCGGGGAAGGCGCAACCTGGACAGGCGGATCCGGGGAAGCCGCCGCAGGGTCAGGGGGGCCATGGGAAGGCGCAACTGGCGGGGGGCGCAAACCCGCCAGCGCACGCCCCGCTTCCGCCCCTGCCGCGGAAGCAGCAGTCGCGGGTGCAAGCGCAGGGGGAGCAGCAGGGGGAAGCGCAGACAGAGCAGCAGGGGGGGCATCAGGCGGGGCAGCAGGGGGGACAGCATAGGGGGCAGCAAGGGGGGCAGGCGCATAGGTTACAACAAGAATCATCACAGCAGCAACCAGAACCACACAGGCAGCAGCATAATTCCTCCGGGCAGGATGCCACTCACGGGCAGGCGTCCGGGCAGACAAAAGGGCACCTTCAACCAGACGGGCAGGAGCCGGGGGGCCAACCCCAAGGGCACGGGCAGGGAACCGGGCAGAGTTCCGGGCAGGTTTCGGAGCAGCTGCCAATGCACGAGGGCCATGTGGAACATGCGATTCTGCCCGAGCGACCGGATTGGCTGGATGATTACGAGATAGTGGGGAAGATAGGCGAGGGGACGTACGGGCTGGTGTATCTTGCTAAGGACCGGCGCAAAGGCAAGGGGTCGGGGCGGTCGGCTCTTAAGAAGTTCAAACAGACCAAGGAGGGCGATGGTGTTTCTCCCACTGCCATTCGCGAGATCATGGTGAGAGAGGGGGGAAGGGCGGGGGAGGGGGAGGGGGAGGGGGATGTATGGGCTGGTGGTGTATTGGTTAATGACAGGTGAGGGGTGGTGGAGGGATGGGGAAGGGGAGGGGGAGGGGGAGGGTGGGGGTAAGGGCAGGGGTAAGTGGGGAAGATAGGCGAGGGGACGTACGGGTTGGCGTATCTGGCTAAGGACCGGCGCAAGGGCAAGGGGTCGGGGCGGAGTGCTTTGAAGAAGTTCAAACAGACCAAGGAGGGCGATGGTGTGTCCCCCACTGCCATTCGCGAGATCATGGTGAGAGGGGGAGGGGGAGGGGGGACGGGGAGAGGGAGGGAGGGGGAATGGAGAGGTATGGGTGGGTGTATCTCAGTGTTTTTGAGACGTCTCAAAAACACCCTCATTACAAGGGGGAATGGAGACGTATGGGCGGGTGTATCTGGCTAAGGACTGGCTAAGGAGTGGTGGAGCGATGGGGGAGGGGAGGGGTGAGTGGGGAAGATAGGCGAGGGGACGTATGGGTGGGTGTATCTGGCTAAGGACCAGCTAAGGAGTGGTGGAGCGATGGGGGAGCAGAGGGGTGAGTGGGGAAGAGAGGGGACGTACGGATTGGTGTATCTGGCTAAGGACCGGCGCAAAGGCAAAGGGTCGGGGCGGTCGGCTTTGAAGAAGTTCAAACAGACCAAGGAGGGCGATGGCGTGTCTCCCACTGCCATTTGCGAGATCATGGTGAGAGAGGAGGGGGGGGGAAGGGGGAGCGGGGACATACGGGTTGGTCATTGGTGTATTTGGCTAAGGACCAGCGCAAAGGTGAGGTGAGGGGACTTATGAGGCGCCTCAGAGGTTAGGCGAGGGGACGCCTGAGAAGATAGGCGAGGGGACGTACGGGTTGGTGTATCTGGCTAAGGACCGGCGCAAGGGCAAGGGGTCGGGGCGGTCTGCTTTGAAGAAGTTCAAACAGACCAAGGAGGGCGATGGCGTGTCTCCCACTGCCATTCGCGAGATCATGGTGAGAGGGGGGAGGGGGACGGGGAGGGGGGAAGGCAAGGGCGATGAGGAATGGGAGGGGGAGTGCGCACACGAGAACATGGTGTATGTGCTCGATAGACTTCTTTTGAGGCGCCTCAAAAGGAATGGGAGGGGGAGTGCGCACACGAGAACATGGTGTATGTGCTCGATAGACTTCTTTTGAGGCGCCTCAAAAGGAATGGGAGGGGGAGTGCGCACACGAGAACATGGTGTATGTGCTCGATAGACTTCTTTTGAGGCGCCTCAAAAGGAATGGGAGGGGGAGTGCGCACACGAGAACATGGTGTATGTGCTCGATAGACTTCTTTTGAGGCGCCTCAAAAGGAATGGGAGGGGGAGTGCGCACACGAGAACATGGTGTATGTGCTCGATAGACTTCTTTCGAGGCGCCTCAAAAGGAATGGGAGGGGGAGTGCGCACACGAGAACATGGTGTATGTGCTCGATAGACTTCTTTTGAGGCGCCTCAAAAGGAATGGGAGGGGGAGTGCGCACACGAGAACATGGTGTATGTGCTCGATAGACTTCTTTTGAGGCGCCTCAAAAGGAATGGGAGGGGGAGTGCGCACACGAGAACATGGTGTATGTGCTCGATAGACTTCTTTTGAGGCGCCTCAAAAGGAATGGGAGGGGGAGTGCGCACACGAGAACATGGTGTATGTGCTCGATAGACTTCTTTTGAGGCGCCTCAAAAGGAATGGGAGGGGGAGTGCGCACACGAGAACATGGTGTATGTGCTCGATAGACTTCTTTCGAGGCGCCTCAAAAGGAATGGGAGGGGGAGTGCGCACACGAGAACATGGTGTATGTGCTCGATAGACTTCTTTTGAGGCGCCTCAAAAGGAATGGGAGGGGGAGTGCGCACACGAGAACATGGTGTATGTGCTCGATAGACTTCTTTCGAGGCGCCTCAAAAGGAATGGGAGGGGGAGTGCGCACACGAGAACATGGTGTATGTGCTCGATAGACTTCTTTTGAGGCGCCTCAAAAGGAATGGGAGGGGGAGTGCGCACACGAGAACATGGTGTATGTGCTCGATAGACTTCTTTCGAGGCGCCTCAAAAGGAATGGGAGGGGGAGTGCGCACACGAGAACATGGTGTATGTGCTCGATAGACTTCTTTTGAGGCGCCTCAAAAGGAATGGGAGGGGGAGTGCGCACACGAGAACATGGTGTATGTGCTCGATAGACTTCTTTTGAGGCGCCTCAAAAGGAATGGGAGGGGGAGTGCGCACACGAGAACATGGTGTATGTGCTCGATAGACTTCTTTTGAGGCGCCTCAAAAGGAATGGGAGGGGGAGTGCGCACACGAGAACATGGTGTATGTGCTCGATAGACTTCTTTTGAGGCGCCTCAAAAGGAATGGGAGGGGGAGTGCGCACACGAGAACATGGTGTATGTGCTCGATAGACTTCTTTCGAGGCGCCTCAAAAGGAATGGGAGGGGGAGTGCGCACACGAGAACATGGTGTATGTGCTCGATAGACTTCTTTTGAGGCGCCTCAAAAGGAATGGGAGGGGGAGTGCGCACACGAGAACATGGTGTATGTGCTCGATAGACTTCTTTTGAGGCGCCTCAAAAGGAATGGGAGGGGGAGTGCGCACACGAGAACATGGTGTATGTGCTCGATAGACTTCTTTCGAGGCGCCTCAAAAGGAATGGGAGGGGGAGTGCGCACACGAGAACATGGTGTATGTGCTCGATAGACTTCTTTTGAGGCGCCTCAAAAGGAATGGGAGGGGGAGTGCGCACACGAGAACATGGTGTATGTGCTCGATAGACTTCTTTTGAGGCGCCTCAAAAGGAATGGGAGGGGGAGTGCGCACACGAGAACATGGTGTATGTGCTCGATAGACTTCTTTTGAGGCGCCTCAAAAGGAATGGGAGGGGGAGTGCGCACACGAGAACATGGTGTATGTGCTCGATAGACTTCTTTTGAGGCGCCTCAAAAGGAATGGGAGGGGGAGTGCGCACACGAGAACATGGTGTATGTGCTCGATAGACTTCTTTCGAGGTGCCTCAAAAGGAATGGGAGGGGGAGTGCACACACGAGAACATGGTGTATGTGCTCGATAGACTTCTTTTGAGGCGCCTCAAAAGGAATGGGAGGGGGAGTGCGCACACGAGAACATGGTGTATGTGCTCGATAGACTTCTTTTGAGGCGCCTCAAAAGGAATGGGAGGGGGAGTGCGCACACGAGAACATGGTGTATGTGCTCGATAGACTTCTTTTGAGGCGCCTCAAAAGGAATGGGAGGGGGAGTGCGCACACGAGAACATGGTGTATGTGCTCGATAGACTTCTTTTGAGGCGCCTCAAAAGGAATGGGAGGGGGAGTGCGCACACGAGAACATGGTGTATGTGCTCGATAGACTTCTTTTGAGGCGCCTCAAAAGGAATGGGAGGGGGAGTGCGCACACGAGAACATGGTGTATGTGCTCGATAGACTTCTTTTGAGGCGCCTCAAAAGGAATGGGAGGGGGAGTGCGCACACGAGAACATGGTGTATGTGCTCGATAGACTTCTTTTGAGGCGCCTCAAAAGGAATGGGAGGGGGAGTGCGCACACGAGAACATGGTGTATGTGCTCGATAGACTTCTTTCGAGGTGCCTCAAAAGGAATGGGAGGGGGAGTGCACACACGAGAACATGGTGTATGTGCTCGATAGACTTCTTTTGAGGCGCCTCAAAAGGAATGGGAGGGGGAGTGCGCACACGAGAACATGGTGTATGTGCTCGATAGACTTCTTTTGAGGCGCCTCAAAAGGAATGGGAGGGGGAGTGCGCACACGAGAACATGGTGTATGTGCTCGATAGACTTCTTTTGAGGCGCCTCAAAAGGAATGGGAGGGGGAGTGCGCACACGAGAACATGGTGTATGTGCTCGATAGACTTCTTTTGAGGCGCCTCAAAAGGAATGGGAGGGGGAGTGCGCACACGAGAACATGGTGTATGTGCTCGATAGACTTCTTTCGAGGCGCCTCAAAAGGAATGGGAGGGGGAGTGCGCACACGAGAACATGGTGTATGTGCTCGATAGACTTCTTTTGAGGCGCCTCAAAAGGAATGGGAGGGGGAGTGCGCACACGAGAACATGGTGTATGTGCTCGATAGACTTCTTTTGAGGCGCCTCAAAAGGAATGGGAGGGGGAGTGCGCACACGAGAACATGGTGTATGTGCTCGATAGACTTCTTTTGAGGCGCCTCAAAAGGAATGGGAGGGGGAGTGCGCACACGAGAACATGGTGTATGTGCTCGATAGACTTCTTTTGAGGCGCCTCAAAAGGAATGGGAGGGGGAGTGCGCACACGAGAACATGGTGTATTGCTCGATAGACTTCTTTCGAGGCGCCTCAAAAGGAATGGGAGGGGGAGTGCGCACACGAGAACATGGTGTATGTGCTCGATAGACTTCTTTTGAGGCGCCTCAAAAGCAATGGGAGGGGGAGTGCGCACACGAGAACATGGTGTATGTGCTCGATAGACTTCTTTTGAGGCGCCTCAAAAGGAATGGGAGGGGGAGTGCGCACACGAGAACATGGTGTATGTGCTCGATAGACTTCTTTTGAGGCGCCTCAAAAGGAATGGGAGGGGGAGTGCGCACACGAGAACATGGTGTATGTGCTCGATAGACTTCTTTTGAGGCGCCTCAAAAGGAATGGGAGGGGGAGTGCGCACACGAGAACATGGTGTATGTGCTCGATAGACTTCTTTTGAGGCGCCTCAAAAGGAATGGGAGGGGGAGTGCGCACACGAGAACATGGTGTATGTGCTCGATAGACTTCTTTCGAGGCGCCTCAAAAGGAATGGGAGGGGGAGTGCGCACACGAGAACATGGTGTATGTGCTCGATAGACTTCTTTTGAGGCGCCTCAAAAGGAATGGGAGGGGGAGTGCGCACACGAGAACATGGTGTATGTGCTCGATAGACTTCTTTTGAGGCGCCTCAAAAGGAATGGGAGGGGGAGTGCGCACACGAGAACATGGTGTATGTGCTCGATAGACTTCTTTTGAGGCGCCTCAAAAGGAATGGGAGGGGGAGTGCGCACACGAGAACATGGTGTATGTGCTCGATAGACTTCTTTTGAGGCGCCTCAAAAGGAATGGGAGGGGGAGTGCGCACACGAGAACATGGTGTATGTGCTCGATAGACTTCTTTCGAGGTGCCTCAAAAGGAATGGGAGGGGGAGTGCACACACGAGAACATGGTGTATGTGCTCGATAGACTTCTTTTGAGGCGCCTCAAAAGGAATGGGAGGGGGAGTGCGCACACGAGAACATGGTGTATGTGCTCGATAGACTTCTTTTGAGGCGCCTCAAAAGGAATGGGAGGGGGAGTGCGCACACGAGAACATGGTGTATGTGCTCGATAGACTTCTTTTGAGGCGCCTCAAAAGGAATGGGAGGGGGAGTGCGCACACGAGAACATGGTGTATGTGCTCGATAGACTTCTTTTGAGGCGCCTCAAAAGGAATGGGAGGGGGAGTGCGCACACGAGAACATGGTGTATGTGCTCGATAGACTTCTTTCGAGGCGCCTCAAAAGGAATGGGAGGGGGAGTGCGCACACGAGAACATGGTGTATGTGCTCGATAGACTTCTTTTGAGGCGCCTCAAAAGGAATGGGAGGGGGAGTGCGCACACGAGAACATGGTGTATGTGCTCGATAGACTTCTTTTGAGGCGCCTCAAAAGGAATGGGAGGGGGAGTGCGCACACGAGAACATGGTGTATGTGCTCGATAGACTTCTTTTGAGGCGCCTCAAAAGGAATGGGAGGGGGAGTGCGCACACGAGAACATGGTGTATGTGCTCGATAGACTTCTTTTGAGGCGCCTCAAAAGGAATGGGAGGGGGAGTGCGCACACGAGAACATGGTGTATGTGCTCGATAGACTTCTTTCGAGGCGCCTCAAAAGGAATGGGAGGGGGAGTGCGCACACGAGAACATGGTGTATGTGCTCGATAGACTTCTTTTGAGGCGCCTCAAAAGGAATGGGAGGGGGAGTGCGCACACGAGAACATGGTGTATGTGCTCGATAGACTTCTTTTGAGGCGCCTCAAAAGGAATGGGAGGGGGAGTGCGCACACGAGAACATGGTGTATGTGCTCGATAGACTTCTTTTGAGGCGCCTCAAAAGGAATGGGAGGGGGAGTGCGCACACGAGAACATGGTGTATGTGCTCGATAGACTTCTTTCGAGGCGCCTCAAAAGGAATGGGAGGGGGAGTGCGCACACGAGAACATGGTGTATGTGCTCGATAGACTTCTTTTGAGGCGCCTCAAAAGGAATGGGAGGGGGAGTGCGCACACGAGAACATGGTGTATGTGCTCGATAGACTTCTTTTGAGGCGCCTCAAAAGGAATGGGAGGGGGAGTGCGCACACGAGAACATGGTGTATGTGCTCGATAGACTTCTTTTGAGGCGCCTCAAAAGGAATGGGAGGGGGAGTGCGCACACGAGAACATGGTGTATGTGCTCGATAGACTTCTTTCGAGGTGCCTCAAAAGGAATGGGAGGGGGAGTGCACACACGAGAACATGGTGTATGTGCTCGATAGACTTCTTTTGAGGCGCCTCAAAAGGAATGGGAGGGGGAGTGCGCACACGAGAACATGGTGTATGTGCTCGATAGACTTCTTTCGAGGCGCCTCAAAAGGAATGGGAGGGGGAGTGCGCACACGAGAACATGGTGTATGTGCTCGATAGACTTCTTTTGAGGCGCCTCAAAAGGAATGGGAGGGGGAGTGCGCACACGAGAACATGGTGTATGTGCTCGATAGACTTCTTTTGAGGCGCCTCAAAAGGAATGGGAGGGGGAGTGCGCACACGAGAACATGGTGTATGTGCTCGATAGACTTCTTTTGAGGCGCCTCAAAAGGAATGGGAGGGGGAGTGCGCACACGAGAACATGGTGTATGTGCTCGATAGACTTCTTTCGAGGCGCCTCAAAAGGAATGGGAGGGGGAGTGCGCACACGAGAACATGGTGTATGTGCTCGATAGACTTCTTTTGAGGCGCCTCAAAAGGAATGGGAGGGGGAGTGCGCACACGAGAACATGGTGTATGTGCTCGATAGACTTCTTTTGAGGCGCCTCAAAAGGAATGGGAGGGGGAGTGCGCACACGAGAACATGGTGTATGTGCTCGATAGACTTCTTTTGAGGCGCCTCAAAAGGAATGGGAGGGGGAGTGCGCACACGAGAACATGGTGTATGTGCTCGATAGACTTCTTTTGAGGCGCCTCAAAAGGAATGGGAGGGGGAGTGCGCACACGAGAACATGGTGTATGTGCTCGATAGACTTCTTTCGAGGCGCCTCAAAAGGAATGGGAGGGGGAGTGCGCACACGAGAACATGGTGTATGTGCTCGATAGACTTCTTTTGAGGCGCCTCAAAAGGAATGGGAGGGGGAGTGCGCACACGAGAACATGGTGTATGTGCTCGATAGACTTCTTTTGAGGCGCCTCAAAAGGAATGGGAGGGGGAGTGCGCACACGAGAACATGGTGTATGTGCTCGATAGAAGACGCGCTGGTTTTTGATAATTCTCAAAAGTCAACCATCAACAATTTCACCCTCTTGCTGTCTTGCTCTCTCGTTCGCTTGTTCTCTTCTCCACCCCCCGCACAACAGCTATCGTGGGAGTGCGATCACGAGCACATAGTGCACCCACTCAACTCCTCTTTTTCTCACTCTTGCTTTCTGTTCCCCCGCTGCCTCCTTCTCTCCTCTCCTCTCTCCTCTGTCCCCCATTCCACCAGCTACTACAGGAGTGCGAGCATGAGAACATAGTGCAGCTGCTGAACGTGCACATCAACCAATGCCCATACCATGCTAACCCCTTGCTCTCTCTCTCTCTCGTCCTCCGCCCCTGCCCGCCTCTCTCCTCTCCTTTCTCCCCCCACCACGCGCACCAGCTACTACAGGAGTGCGAGCACGAGAACATAGTGCAGCTGCTCAACGTGCACATCAACCACAACGACATGTCGCTCTTCCTCGCATTCGACTACGCTGAGCATGACCTCTATGTGAGCACGACACAACCTCTATGTTAGTGTGCCCTCTATGGGAGCCCCCATGTCAGCTGCTCAAGTCAATGTGCACATCAACCACAACGACATGTCTCTCTTCCTCGCATTTGACTACGCGGAACATGACCACTACGTGAGCGAGCCCACCTACTAGTCAGAGCACAGCACAGCACAGCACAGCACAGCACAGCACAGCACAGCACAGCACAGCACAGCACAGCACAGCACAGCACAGCACAGCACAGCACAGCACAGCACAGCACAGCACAGCACAGCACAGCACAGCACAGCACAGCACAGCACAGCACAGCACCGCACAGCACCGCACAGCACAGCACAGCACCGCACAGCACAGCACCGCACAGCACCGCACAGCACAGCACCGCACAGCACAGCACAGCACAGCACAGCACAGCACCGCACAGCACCGCACAGCACAGCACAGCACAGCACAGCACAGCACAGCACAGCACAGCACAGCACAGCACAGCACAGCACAGCACAGCACAGCACAGCACAGCACAGCACATCCTTCACGTGCCATGCCATCAACCACAACGACATGTCTCTCTTCCTCGCCTTCAGTTAGCCGAGCACGACCTTTCTATGCTTTCATAGAATCGGTGTGACTGAACCCTGCACCGAGTCGGTACATCACATGCTTGGTTGTGGAACCTAATACTGTGCTTGATGTATTGGAGCGAATCACCTCACCTCCAACACTAAGTTGGAGTGCATTGGACTCCTGTGAGAGCTTTTACCTAATCAGTGCCATCTTCACACGCAAGCGCCCCCCGCCCATGGCATACCCATGCCATCCCCCCACCCATGCCATACCCCTGTGCCATTTCCGCATGCCACATGCATGCATGCACCACTCATTCACCCAAGCCATGCCAACCCCCTTGCCACCACACACCACCGCCCTTTGCCGTGCGCCAGCCACACACCAAAGGAGCAGCTAAAAAATGACAAAAAAAGAAGAAGAAGAAAAAAGAAAAAAAAAAAAAAAAAGACACCATCCCCTGCTCCCTTCCCCCTCTCCCCCGTGGCTCAGGAGATAATTCGTTTCCACCGAGAGCATCTAAAGCGCCCTCTCTCCGAGTACACGGTCAAGTCGCTGCTGTGGCAGCTGCTGAATGGGCTGCACTACCTGCACAGCAACTGGATCATTCATCGGGATCTCAAGCCCTCCAACATCCTTGTAAGGCCAGCTTTTGAGGCGCCTCAAAAGCTTTTGGGGCGCCTCAAAAGTCCTCTGTATCTACTGTGTGACTCAGCAACTGGATCATCCATCGGGATCTCAAGCCCTCCAACATCCTCGTAAGCTGGCCAGCCAGCTTGTGAGTCTTCTAAAGAACTGACAGCTGGATAAGGTCTAGCGTATGTTTTTCGAGAATTCTAAAAAAACGTAAATTTAACTTTTGAGAATTCTCAAAAGTAAAATTCACGCTGCATCAGTCCTCCAACATCCTTGTTCGGTTCTCACCTCCACTGTGGCAGCCAGGCACACACGCACTGTTTCTGTCTGAGCTGACAAAAAAAGCTGTTTTGTTCAATCTCCCAGAGCTATTTTGGCATCGTCTGACATACATCGGAGTTATTTTTATGTTTTTTGCTTCAAGACACCATTCCCTTGGTGCATAGCATGCACACGCACTCTCACAAGCGCTCACGCACACACCTCACGTAAATGCTCGCATACACACACATATTCACTTCGCTCATGCACACACACACTCCCCCCCACTCTCCAGGTGATGGGCGAGGGCGAGGAGCAAGGGGTGATAAAGATCGGTGACTTTGGCCTGGCTCGCATCTTCCAGTCGCCCCTGCGACCACTCTCCGACAACGGCGTGAGCAAGCTCTGTGCATGCTTCACGACAAAGGGTCTTCCTCGGTTCTTCAGTGCATGCTCTATGTCCATCTTCCAGTCGCCCCTGCGACCACTCGTTCCAAATTGTTGTATCCATCCGGCCGGTGTTCGTTCTTGTAGAACAATGGGTGTCTTAAAATCGCTCTGTTCTGTGCTTCTCAATCCGCGATCCATGCCTGTCCAGATTGCTTCAGCTATCTGGTATTCATTGCCACATTCCCACTCGTTCTGTCCCCTTCCTTTCTTCTCCTCACCCTGCTTCTCACTCTTCTCCTCACTCCTCTTCTTACTCCTGTCCAACCCTAAATACTCCTCACTCCCCTCACTCCTCTCCTCACTCCCATCCCATCCTCACTCCCCTCCGCACTCATCTCCTCACTTCCCTCCTCTCCCCCTTCCTCACTCCTTATCACTCTCTCCTGTGTCCAGGTTGTGGTGACCATCTGGTATGTTTTTGAGTCGACTCAAAAACAGACTCATGTCACTCCTCTCCTCCCCCATCTCCCCTTCTGTGTCCAGGTTGTGGTGACCATCTGGTATCGATCCCCTGAGCTGCTGCTTGGTTCGCGGCACTACACGTGTGCTGTCGGTATGTATCTTCTCCTCTTCCCCTCCTCCCCTCCCCCTCTTCTCCTCTCCTCCCTTCTCATAAAACGCCATTGAAACGTGCATGTTGTGGGTCCCCCTCCCCCTTCTGAGTTGACTCAAAAGAGCTGACTTTTGAGTCGAACTCAAAAGTCAGCTCCGTGCATGTTGTGGGTCCCGCTCCCCCTTCCACAGCCTTCAGAATCCTTCTGCTTCCTCTTGCCTGCTTCTTTCTGCCTCTCTGCATTACCCTGTACCACCCTCCACTGCACTGCACTGTGCGTTACCCCAAACCCTTTACCACCCTTGTTGCTTGAACCGCCCTTCACCCACCACCACCCATGTCTGAGCAGACATGTGGGCGGTGGGGTGCATATTCGCGGAGCTCCTCACGCTCAAGCCCTTGTTCCAAGGCCTCGAGGACAAAACCTCCGCCAATGCCTTCCAGGTGCGCTGCTCCCCCTCCTCCTTCACCTCCTGCTCCCCCTCCTCCTTCCTCTCCTGCTCCCCCTCCTCCTTCCCCTCCTTCTCCCCCTGCTCCTTCCCCTCCTGCTCCCCCTCTTCCTTCCCCTCCTGCTCCCTCTCCTGCTCCCCCTCCTGCTCCCCTTCCTGCTCCTCTTCCTGCTCCCCTTCCTGCTCCCCCTCCTGCTCCCCCCCCCTCCTTCGCCCCCTCCTGCTCCTGCTCTGCTCCTGCCCCTGTTCCTCCACCTGTTCCTGCCCCTGCTCTGCTCTTGTTGTATTGGTAGGTGGTCTATATGTTGGAACTTTTATTTTTTCTCGCCCTATCCCTTCACCCTTCCCCCTTACCCCTTACTTCTCATCTCACCCCTTTCCCCTGACATGGCACCACCCACACCCCTCAACCTACACCCATCACCCACACACCTCACCTCTCACACTCCCCCCTCCCTCCCACGGCAGAAGGACCAGCTGGATAAGATCTTCAGAGTGCTAGGTGGGTGATAGGTGGTGATGGGAGGTGCTAAGCGGTGACAGGTGGGTGGTAGGTGGGTGCTGTGCTGCTAGGTGGGTGGAAGCATGGGTGCATGTTTTGGTGATGTGCCTGCTGTATGCTCGCGGGCACTTGTGAACACTTGTAAAGCAGATGGAATGAATGTCCATCCTGGGCCAACTCTGCTACAATCAAGCCACACACGTCTTTTGAGCCGCCTCAAAAGCAAACCCCGCTACAGTCGAGTCACACACGTCCTAAACAGAGACACAAACATTTGGCACACCTCACCTCCTACAAGCAAGTCAGCCCACCAGGTCACTCCACAGTGGACAAGTGGCCCATGCTGCAGTACCTACCAGCACCACCCCAAGCTTCAGTTCCCCTTCTTAACCACCTCCCACTCCTCTCAAACCCTTCCCACCACACCCATCAGGCCATCCTACAGTGGACAAGTGGCCCATGCTGCAGTACCTGGTGCTTCACTCCCTGTCATTACTTCTTACTCCTCTCAACCCCTTCCCACACCCAATAGGCCACCCCACAGTGGACAAGTGGCCCATGCTGCAGTACCTGGTTCTTCACTCCCTGTTACTACCCCTTACTCCTTTCAACCCCTTCCCACCACACCCATCAGGTCACCCCACGGTGGACAAGTGGCCCATGCTGCAGTACTTGGTGCTTCACTCCCTGTCATTACTTCTTACTCCTTCCCACACCCAATAGGCCACCCCACAGTGGACAAGTGGCCCATGCTGCAGTACCTGGTTCTTCACTCCCTGTTACTACTACCCCTTACTCCTCTCAACCCCTTCCCACCACACCCATCAGGTCACCCCACGGTGGACAAGTGGCCCATGCTGCAGTACCTGCCGCACTGGCAGGCCAACCGGCAGCTCATTCAAGACAAGAAGTAGTGAGTGGGTGGGTGGCTCTGGCTATGTCTCGGTCACATTTGAGAAATTTCAAAAGTCACTGGCAGGCGAACCGGCAGCTCATTCAAGACAAGAAGTAGTGAGTGGGGGGGTGGCTCTGACTATATCTTAAGAAGTGCTATCATGTGCCAACCTTCTCCTCCCTCCAACTACCCCTCACAGCCACCAGCCAGAGTTCTACCGCATTCTGCAGAGCTGGTCACCCAACTCACATGCCGTCAACCTGCTGCTGCGCATGCTCGAGTGAGCACCCAATCTCCTCTCTTTTCATGCTCCTCAAGACTCGTGAATGTATAAGGTGCCTCAAAACTCGCATGCCGTCAACCTGCTACTGCGCTGCGCATGCTCGAGTGCGTACCCCACCTCCTCTCTTTTCATGTGCCTCAAACGTGACGAGTTTGTTAAGCTTGACGTTTGACGAGTGCTTCAAAAGCTCACATGCTGTCAACCTTGCTGCTGCGCATGCTTGAGTGTGTGCGTTGCGCACTGAAATTCAGCAACTCTCTCTTAACCACCCAGCCTACTGCTGCGGCGTATGTTTTTCGAGATTTCTCAAAAAACATACACCCACCCACTCGCGCATTCAAAAACTCTCTCTTATCTACCCAGCCTACTGCTGCGCATTCCCTAGTGCGTACCCACCTTTGTTTCTTTCTGCATCTCAAACAATCTACAAACCTTTGCATCTGTTTGCCGTTCGCCCTGCCATGCCCTGCCACGCCCTGCCACGTCCTGCCTGTGTTGAGCAGCTATGACCCCAAGAAGCGGATAACAGCAGGGCAGGCTCTCGAGCATGAGTGAGTTCCTTTCCCAGGGCCACTTTTTGAGGCGCCTCAATAAGTTCCTTTCGCAGGGCCTCTCTCTGCACGTACAGAGAGGCTCAAGCTGGAAACCCTTGAACACACCCGCGCCCACTCCCGATCTCAAATGAGTTTGCTTCATCAGTCGTTCCTTTCTGCTCGTGATCTCCTCATTTCCACACCACCCCTTCTTATCAGTCGTTCCTTTCTACTGGCCTCCAGTATCCCCTCCCGTTCTCCTCTCCTCCCCTCTCTTATCTTCCAGTCCCCTTCATGCCTCACTCGTCCACCTGAACTCGCCTCGCTTGTCTCGCCGTCTCACTTATCTCTCTATCGTTCCATTTCCTTCACGTGCGCCACCCCTTATGCAGATACTTCCGCATCGACCCGCTTCCAGGCCGCAAGTCAGTACTCTCCTCCCCATGCCGCTCTCCTCCCCATGCCGCTCTCCTCCCCATGCCGCTCTCCTCCCCACCACCATTTCTTGCACTCTTTTACAACACTCCTGCTTCTATGCCCCTTGTTTCCTATCTCCTCGCGCTTTTCCTTCACCTCCAGCCGTTCTCCTCCTCATCTTCTCCTCCTCCTTCTCCTCCTTTTCCTTCTGCCCCCGTTCCTTCTCTCTCTCAAGCCCCCCAGCTTCTGCTTCTATGCCCCTTGTTTCCTATTTCCTCGCGCTTTTCCTTCACCTCCAGCCGTTCTCCTCCTCATCTTCTCCTCCTCCGTCTCCTCCTTTTCCTTCTGCCCCCGTTCCTTCTCTCTCTCAAGCCCCCCAGCTTCTGCTTCTATGCCCCTTGTTTCCTATTTCCTCGCGCTTTTCCTTCACCTCCAGCCGTTCTCCTCCTCATCTTCTCCTCCTCCTTCTCCTCCTTTTCCTTCTGCCCCCGTTCCTTCTCTCTCTCAAGCCCCCCAGCTTCTGCTTCTATGCCCCTTGTTTCCTATTTCCTCGCGCTTTTCCTTCACCTCCAGCCATTCACCTCCTCCTCTGCCCCCCTTCCTTCTTCTCAGGACACCCCATGCAGCAGCCATTGGTGTACCCGAAGCACATGCCCCTATTCCCCTCACCCTCTCCACCCTAATCTCCCCTCTTGTCCTTTCCTCTGCCCCTCTCCCCTCCCCTTCTCCCCACAATCCCCAACAGCTCATTCTTCTCAGGGCACCCCATGGAGCGCCCAGTGGTGTACCCCAAGCGACCTGTGGACCTCTCAACGGACTTTGAAGGCATCTCCACCCTCTCCTCCGCTGCTGCTTCCTCCCATGTCGCTTCCCTCTCTGCCATGCCACCGCCACACCAGCAGCACCATCAGCAGCAGCAGCAGCAGCAGCAGCAGCACCACCACCAGCAGCAGCAGCACCAGCAGCAGCAGCACCAGCAGCAGCAGCAACAGCATCGGCACTATCAGCAGGTGGGTGGTAGATGGGTGTGCATGGGTGTGTGTGGGTGTGAGTGGGTGTGGTGCATGAGTGTGCATGCAGGGATGGGCCGCCAGGTCCCCATCTCCTCCCTCCTTGGCGTTCCCTCGCCCCTATTCCCACAGCAGCCGTCAGCGCCGGGGCAGCGCATGGTCAACGTGACTCTGCTGCACCGGTCAGGACTTGCCTAATAGCGCACCCCCCATTCCCCATCCCGCACATCCCCCTCCCCACAGCAGCCATCAGCCCCGGGGCAGCGCATGGCCAACTTGACTCTATTGCACCGGTCAGGACCACCCAAGACAGGAGTATCTGCTGGCCATTCCCCCATTTCCCTGTTGCCCTCATCCCACACCCCTCCCCCCACACCAGCCATCAGCGCCATGGCAGCGCATGGCCAATGTGACTCTGCTGCACCAGTCAGGACCACCCAAGCCATGAGTATCTGCTGCCTTTTCCCCCATTCCTCCATTCCTTGTTACCCTCATCCTGCACCCCTCACCCCACCAGCTGTCAGCCCCGGGGCAGCGCATGGCCAACGTGACTCTGCTGCACCAGTCAGGACCAACCAAGCCATGACTGGGTGCTGCCCATTCCCCCATTCCTCATCCCCCACCCGCCCCCCACACCAGCCATCAGCGGCAGAGCAGCGCATGGCCAACGTGACTCTGCTGCACCAGTCAGGACCAACCAAGCTATAAGTATCTGCTGCCCATTCCCCCATTCCTCCATCTCTCTGTTGCCTAATAGCGCACCCCCCATACCCCATTCCTCGCCCCTATTCCCACAGCAGCCATCAGCACCAGGGCAGCGCATGGCCAACGTGACTCTGCTGCACCGGTCAGGGTCAGGAGGAGGGGAGGGGAGTGCAGGTGCTGGGGGCGGGGGTGTGGGGAGCCGGGGTGGGGGACAGGGGGCGGGGGGGAGTCAGCAAGGGCAGCAGGGGCAGCAGGGGCAGCAGCAGCAACAGCACAGCCAGCAACACTATAGCCAACAGCAGCACAACCAGCAGCAGGGCTCACAGGGTCAGATGCAGCAGCAGGGGTCTCACCAGCAGCAGCAGCAACACCATTTCCACCCTCCCTCACAGGTATGCAGCTTTGTATGGGTATGCACCCCCCCCCGATTGAACCCGCTGCATGTGTTAATTCTGATATGCGGGCCATGGATCGTGCCTGCCATGGATCGTGCATGCCATGGATGGTGTCTGTGATGTATCATCAGGATGCCATCACATTTGTCCTCCTGTCCTCCATCCCCATACACTCATACTTATCCTCCATTCCACCATTTCCATGCCATCCTGGTTACCTTCCAATCCCCCGTTTGCATGCCATAACATTCTGCATGTCCTCATGTTTATCCTCCATGGCCCAAACCCCTTCACTGTCAAATGTTGTAGCCTATAGTGAGGTTTGTCTTAGGGGGTACAAAACTTAGGGTTAGCTATATGTACCCCAACCAACATCAATGCATCATCCATTTCTCATTCTGACATGGTATCAGTTAGGTTAGGATCCTGTGGGATCCCGTTTCTCCGTTCTCCGATCGTACCACCCGAGCCTGATCCTAGCTCTCGTTTCGCCCGTCTTGCCCGAGCCTAGTGCCGGCCCGATCTAGTCCCGTTCGTTCGTTACCGCTCGTTCTTCCTCCCGATCTAGCGTAGCCCGATCTAGCGTACCGCTGCAGGTCGCGCTGCGCTTCCCCCCGCTGCCCGTCGACCCGCGCTTCCCCCCGCTGCCCGTCGACCCGCGCTTCCCCCCGCTGCCCGTCGACCCGCGCTTCCCCCCGCTGCCCGTCGACCCGCGCTTCCCCCCGCTGCCCGTCGACCCGCGCTTCCCCCCGCAGCCCGTCGACCCGCGCTTTCCCCCGGCGCCTTTGCCCTACCCGCCCGCGCGCTCCTGCCCTAGCCCGCGCGCTCCTACCCTAGACGCCCGCCACACCTTACCTACCCGCCCGCTCTTGCCCGCTCTTCCTGCCCGTTCCCCCTTGCCGCTGCACCCTGCTTTCCCTGCCAATTCCGTTTGCACACCTATGGCGATCACTATCTATTTCATCGCCACTAGCCTCCCTGACCGCCTTGCCTCCGTTCGCGACGCGCTTCTGCTGAAGCACCCTAGTGAGCTCACCGTCGAGGTCCTTGAGTCTGCACTCAAGGACGTCGAGAGCAACCTTCGCTCGGTAGCCGCTGCCTCTGGTGCTGTGCCCCCCCCACTCTTCCACGGGTGCACAGTCCCGCAGTTACCCACCTTTACTGCCTCACTTGCCACTGCCGCTACTGACGCGACTGCAGCTGCTGTTACGACTGCGTCGCGGTCCCGCGGTAGGAGTGGCAAGAAAGGCGGTTCTGGTGGTGGTAGTGGAGGTGGAGGCGGAGGTAGTGGAGGTGGCGTTGCGCCTGGCGGCGGTGGAGGTTCAGGGCCTGGAGAGGCGCCTCGTGCAGTGACTGGTGACTCCACTGCGCCTGCTGGTGGTGGCGACGCCCGAGTTCGTCAGTCGCCTCCTGTACTTCCTGCCCCGGTTGGTGGAGCAGCGGCGTGGTACCAGGCTCAGCGTCAGCAGCAGCTTCTGCAGCACCAGCAGCCCCTCTCCTCCCAGCAGCCTCAGCAGCAGCAGCGGCAGCAGCTGGCTCCAGGGTCGGGGCTGCGTCAGACCCAGCGCGGTGCTGTTTACACTCCCTGCACCTACCAGGTTCTGACAGGCACTCGTCGTGGCCACCCTTGTGGCCGGTTTCACCCCCCTGGTCAGTGCTTTGCTCAGCTCACTGACACGGTTCGTTTGGTCTACGGGGTTGGTGCTCCTGCCCCTGACTGGCTGCCTCTTGTTCAGCGTTACGGCTCCGCTCTGTGGGGCATGTCTGCTGAGCAGTTAGTTGATCTGATTGGTAATCCCCATGCTATGTATGCTGTTGTTGACTCTAGTGTTTCTGACTCTGTTTACTCTGGTGTTGTTAGCTTAGGTGCTAGCCTTGCTCAGTTGCCTGTTGCTAGTGTAGGTTCATGTGTAGACTCTAGTCCAGCGGCTACCTCAGAGGACGGTTCGCTGTCGTTCACGCTGGACTCTGGAGCCTCTCACTGCTTCTTTCGTGACAGCACGACACTTACGCCTCTTCCTGCGCCTGTTTCTGTGGCGCTGGCTGATCCCACTTCGGGACCAGTCACCGCGCGTCACACTACCACCTTGCCGTGTCCGGCTGCTCCTTCTGGGTCTCTCACTGGGTTTCACGTCCCCTCGTTCTCCCGGAACTTGGTGGGCGTGCGACCCCTCGTGAGTCAGCACGTGGGTGTGTGGTTTGAGCCTTCTGGAGAGACTGCGGTGTGTGTTGACGGGGACTCTTACCAGCCCCTCGCCACTTTTGCTGCTGAGCCGGGCTCCGGTCTCTACACTCTTCACACTGGCCCGCGCGCTCAGCAGCGACTGCAGCAGCAGCAGCAGCCGCAGCAGCAGCAGCAGCCGCAGCCACAGCCGCCCCTCCTGCCCCCGGCCCCTGTTTTGCCCCCCGTTCGAGTCCTCGCGTCTCACCAGGTTGCTCCGTCCCCCCAGGTAGCTGTGTCTTGTCAGGTTCCTCCGTCTAGTCCGGTCGCTGCGTCGTGCTCCTGTCGGTCGCTTGCCCACCCCACCGTTTTGTGGCACCACCGGCTGGGGCACCCTTCTCCTCCTCGTCTTCGCGCTATGTCTCGTCAGCGTCTTGTCTTAGGTCTCCCGCGTGTCTTGCCGTCGCTGCCGCCGTCCCTTGCGCCACCGTGCGGTCCTTGCGTCGAGGGTAGGCTGCGCGCCACCCCTCACTCCTCCCTTCGTCCGGCCACCGAGCCTTTTGAGACGCTGCACTTGGACGTCTGGGGCCCCTCTTCTCGCCCTGGCCCTGAGCGTGAGCGTTTCTTTTTGGTGGTCGTTGACGACTACTCCCGCTACACCACAGTGTTCCCCCTGGCGAGGAAGTCTGAGGTGACTTCTACGCTGATCAGGTGGTTGCTTACCACCCAGGACACTCGTGGTCGTCGTGTCAGCTGTCTCCACTCCGACCGCAGGGCGAGTTTCGCTCCGGCATTCTCGCTGGATTCTGTCGCGAACAGGGCATTCGTCAGTCCTGGACGCTTCCGGAGTCCCCACAGCAGAATGGGGTTGCTGAGCGTCGCATAGGCCTGGTCATGGAGATTGCCCGCACCTCCTTGACTCACGCCCGTGCCCCCCATTTCCTGTGGCCATACGCGGTCAGGTACGCCGCGCACCAGCTGAACCTCTGGCCACGCGTCTCTCGGCCGGAGGCTTCACCGACCAGTCTTTGGACAGGGTCCCCTGGTGTCGCGTCGAGGTTTCGTGTCTGGGGGTGCTTGGCTCTTGTCCGCGACACCTCAGCGGACAAGCTCTCGCCTCGCGCCGTTCCTTGTGTCTTCCTTGGTTTCCCTGAGGACTCCTCTGACTTCACCTTTTACCACCCTCCCTCTCACCGGTTCTTTGACTCCCGTGACGTCCGTTTCGAGGAGTCCACCCCCTACTACGTCAGGTACCCCAGTCGAGGTCTCCCGGTCCCTCCCCCCCCTCTCTTCCTGACCGCCGCTCCCCCGCCTGCTCCCCCGGTACAGCCTCCCCCCCCTGGTCCAGCCCCGTCTGGTGTGTCTCAGGCTAGCCCTCCCCCTTCGGTAGCCCCCCCTGTACAGCCTCCCTCCCCACAGTCTTCCTCGCCGCCTCCTGCAGGTGCTCCCTCTCGGGAGGTTGGTCCTGCGACTGTCCCTGTACAGGTCTCTGGTTCTGGGGGTGCTGGAGTTGGAGCTGAGCCGCGGGTTGCAGAGGACTCTTGTCTTCCGGGGGCTGGTACTGGTCGTGCGGAGTCTGGGGGTGCTGGTGCGGAGTCTGGGGGTGCTGCGTCTGGGGGTGAGGGTGTCCCTTCGGTTTCTGGAGAGCCTGGGTCTGGAGCTGGTGTTAGTGCTGCCTCTGGGGGTGGTGTGCTTGGTGCTTCGGAGGTCGACTCTGGGGCTGCCGCTGCCCCGGACACTACTCCTTCCCCCCACCCCTATCCGACCAGGTTCCAGGCTCGTGTTCGCCGTGCTCGTGAGGAGCAGCTGGAGTTGGAGAGAGAGGAGAGAGAGTTGCAGCGGCTCGAGGAGCAGGAGCGACAGCAGCAGGAGCAGCAGCAGGAGCAGCAGCAGGGGCAGCAGCCGCTGGAGCAGCAGCAGCCGCAGCAGCAGCAGCAGCAGCTGCTGCCGTCTCCTCCTCCTGTCTCGGGTCTTCGGACCCTTGGTCTCCCCTCTCCCTCTCCTTCCTCCTCCCCCTCTCCTCCTGTCTCTGGTCCTCCGCTTCCTCCTCCTGACCCCTCTCCCGCTGTTTTCCCTCGTTCTCAGTCTTCGTTGTCTCCTCCTCCTTCTCAGACTTGGGCCTCTCGTCGCTCCCCTCGTGCTCGTCCCTCGTCTCCTGTTCCCTTCACTGACCTTCGTACAGCCTTCCTTTGTTCTCGTCCACCTCGTCCGTCTCCGTCTGTGCTTCCGTCTCCTCCTGAGTCGGCCCTCACTGTGTCGCTTCCTTCTCCTGTCACTGACTACTACCGCACGTACCGTCCTGTTCTCTCTCGTGTTCTCGCCTCTCTTGTTACCCACCCTCGTGCCTCTGTGTCCTCTGTGTCCGCTCTTACTGCCGCAGTCACTGAGTTTGCCTCTACCCGCCGCCTTGACTTCGCCACCGCTCTTGTGGCTGCTCCTCCTTCCAGTCCTCTGGCCGTCGGGGGTGTGTCTGCCCTTGGCTGTGACGCCCTAGAGGACAGGCAGTTTGAGCTAGAGTTCCTGGCGGCCGCTTCCCCTCATCTCTGTGCCATGCTCCTCGCCCCTGAGGGTGACCCCGACGCCCTTGACATTCCGACTCCTCGCACTTACGCTGAGGCAGTGTCAGGGCCTTGGGCCTCTCAGTGGAGAGCTGCCATGGACGCAGAGATGGCCTCCTACAGATCCACAGGCACCTACGTCGATGAGGTTCCCCCTCCGGGGGCGAACGTAGTCGACGGCATGTGGATCTACAGGGTGAAGCGGCCACCGGGATCTCCTCCGGTCTTCAAGGCGCGCTACGTGGCTAGAGGTTTCAGTCAGCGCGAGGGAGTTGACTTCTTTCAGACCTTCGCGCCCACCCCGAAGATGACCACTCTTCGGGTGTTACTACACGTAGCAGCACAGAGAGACTACGAGTTACACTCTCTCGACTTCTCTACTGCTTTCCTTCAGGGCAGTCTTCACGAGGAGGTCTGGTTGCGTCGTCCCTCTGCCTTCACTGGCTCTTTCCCTCCTGGGACCCAGTGGAGGCTGAGGCGACCGGTTTACGGTCTTCGTCAGGCTCCTCGTGAGTGGCACGACACCCTGCGTTCTACCCTGTCTGACCTTGGGTTCCAGCCGTCTTCTGCTGACCCGTCGCTGTTCGTTCGTCGTGGCCCCACACCTTTCTTTGTTCTGGTCTACGTTGACGACCTTGTTTTCGCCACCCCTGACAGGGTTGCTTTGGCACACGTGAAGTCCGAACTGCAGAAGAGACACACCTGCACTGATCTTGGTGAGCTGCGCCACTACCTTGGCCTGCAGATCACCAGGGACAGAGCTGCTCGCACCATTACACTTTCACAGTCGCACATGGTGCAGCAGGTCCTTCAGCGGTTCGGGCTTCAGCACTCCACAGTACAGCGCACACCTCTTGCTGTTGACCACAGACTCACTGGACCCTTTCCTGACGAGCCGTTCGAGCCTAGTGGTCCCTACGCAGAGCTTGTGGGTTGCCTCATGTACCTGATGACTTGTACTCGCCCGGACCTCGCCTTCCCTCTCAGCGTTCTTGCGCGCTTTGTTGCGCCAGGGAGACACCGTCCTGTTCACTGGACAGCAGCTGTGAGGGTGGCGAAGTACCTAGCGACGACATCAGGCGTGGGGCTAGTTCTTGGAGGGCAGCAGTCTGTCGTACTTACTGGTCACTGTGACTCCTCTTACGCTGACGACGCTGAGACTCACAGGTCTACTCAGGGGTACTGTTTCAGCCTGGGTTCTGGAGCTGTTTCCTGGCGGTCCACGCGCTCCTCTTCGGTCTCGACCTCTACAGCTGAGGCTGAGATCTACGCTGGTGCCATGGCGGCACAGGAGCTGCGTTGGTTGACCTTCTTGCTCACCGACCTTGGTGAGCGGCCGAGCTCTGCACCGACCTTGTTCACTGACAACAAGGCGTCTATTCTCCTTTGTCGAGAGCCACGACTGGAGAGCAGAGTGAAGCACATTCACGTCAGGTACTTTCTTCTGCGAGAGTTGCAGAGGCGTGGACAGGCTCGCTTTGAGTTTGTGGAGTCCGAGGCCAACACTGCAGACATCTTCACCAAGGCGCTTCCGCCTTGTGACCACCAGAGGTGCTGTGTGCAGTTAGAGCTTGTTGACACTGGTTCTCGTGTTGCTTAGACTTGAGTGTACTGTTTACTTTGCTTTCTATATACCTCTGTTACTTCTTGGACTGGCCTTGTGGCCACTGTTGTTTGTGCTCAGACTGTGTGGTGACGTTGTGATCCACCCTGAGCTTCGTTTCTTGGACTGGTCTTGTGACCGTACTCGTTTGGTTCTGCTAGACACCCCTCACTTAGGCTATGGGGGTGTGTCAAATGTTGTAGCCTATGGTGTGGTTTGTCTTAGGGGGTACAAAACTTAGGGTTAGCTATATGTACCCCAACCAACATCAATGCATCATCCATTTCTCATTCTGACATTCACCTACTCCTTGCTTTGCATTGAAACCACTTGCGATATGCAGCCGCGCAGCACGAGGGAGAGGAGCGGGCTGGCACACGGGCAGCCCGCCACGAAGATTCGACGCATTTAGACGTCAGTGTATATGATTCAAAACATGTACATCAACATGTATAGTATATATTGCACATCGTTAGAAAGGTATCATTATGCTTTCATATTGCAATTTTATTTTGTTTGCGTTATCTGACAAAAAGGAATGAAGAAACAATGAAGAAACAAAAACATTCTGACCTTTCTCACTACTCCATACACTACTCTTTTCAGTGGGGTGGGTGGGGCACACTTCCTCTACCTATGAGTAAACTTAAGAGAAGCTCATTTGTATAATGCAGAGCCACCATTCCAATTTAGAATAGAAAATACAGCGTAAGGAGATTTTGAGGGGTGTATGATTTCCTAATAGCGTCACTATCACAAGTTTCCAACGCGGATATTCTCTGGGTTCTGCACAAAGCCTCCGCTTCGTCCGCCGGGATTTGCGAGTGGGGTCGAACTAAAGTCGCAGATTCCTTATTCGCTCAACACCCACGCGGCTAGCTCGCCACAGATCGGTAATCCGGTGACTCATTCGGGCAGTTGCGAGAAGATATTTGGTTGGAACCTTTGTCCCGCAAATAAAGCGACACGTGGCAGCCAGCGAATAGAAACTTGAGTCGACGACTGGAAAAGCACGAAGCGAATCGATGAGCGGCATCACGTCATATTCTCGTATCGCTGCAATGAGTATCCTGACAGCAGTGTAGGTAATTTCCGGTAAAAGCGTTCAGCCCCACCAGAGAAGCCAGCAGGTTTTCGATCCGTTTCTCTGCGATGTTTAGGAAGAAGAATTTCCGTCGCAGGCAGGACGACGACGACGACGGCGACGGCGGCGACGGAGGCGACAAAGGCGATGCGCGAAACGGCGGGACGGCCGCCGCGAAACCCGCGGCGCTTGCAAAGCCCGCAGCTTTCAAGACCAGTAACAAACCGAAGGCGACTCCGGCGGCGACTAAGGCGACACCTTCAAGCTTGCTTAGTTTCGCAGCCGACGAAGACGGAGAGGGCGACGACGGCGGGCCTTTCGGCATGGCGATCACCATAGGGGGCAGATCAAAACCTAGTTCGAAAGAATCTAAGGCGAAATCCAGATCGGTTGGATTCGGTACGGGGCATGGGGAGGGGCATAGGGTGAACAGGGATAAGAAGGGGCGGGATGAGCGGAAAGCGCGCGAGGAGAAGCGGGAGGGCGGGAAGGGCGGCGGCGGAGTGGTGGTGGGGGGACCGTCCGCTGGCGGCGCGCTGAACGTGGTGCCGCAATCGGGGGAATACACCAAGGAGAAACTCGCGGAATTGGCGGTATGTGCACTCCTTCTCTTTCCCCCCCCCCTCTCCCCTATCCCCCCCCTTCCCCCGCTGAACGTGGTGCCACAATCTGGGGAATACACTAAGGAGAGACTTGCTGAGCTGGCGGTATGTGCACTCCATCTCTCCTCCCCCCACTCTTTCCCTTTCTCGTCCCCCTTCCCCCGCTGAACGTGGTACCGCAATCGGGGGAATACACTAAGGAGAAACTCGCTGAGCTGGCGGTACGTGCCTCAGCTTGTTGATTTCGAGACAAGTGGGCGGGCGGGCGGTATCCCCCCCCTCTTTCTCTGTCTCACTCCCACCCTACCCCACTGCAGTTCTGTGCTTTCCCTCACCCCCCCCCTCTCTCTCTCTTCCCCCATCCACCCCCCCTCCCCCCAGCGCAACACCATGCGCATTGCAGCGCCTTCTTCCGCCTCCAGGCGCACCCCCCCTCCCCCTTCCGCCTCCATCGCTGCAGCAGGCGCAGCCCTGTCCTCCACAGTCACCCCGCCTTCCCTCTCCGAACCTCTCATCGTGCTTCGGGGATCGCTCAAACCCGCAGGTTCGGCAGCAGCCGAACCAGAGGCCGGAGCTACTGGTTCGGGTGCAGCAGGTGCTGCAGCAGGAATGGGAGGATTGGGAGGAATGGGAGGAGGCCTAGGAACAAGCCTAAGAAAGGCAGGAGGTAGCTACATTGGCGGGACTTTTATCCCAGACGCTGCTGCGATAGCAGCAGCAAAAGCGAAGCGAGAGAGATTAAGACAGGCTAAAGCAGCACCAGATTTTATTCCTCTTCCAGGATCAGATCGATCAGATATGGCCGGGTTGGGGAATATGAGGGGGATAGAAGGCGAGATGGGGGAGGAGGAGGGGGAGAAGGGGAAGGGGGAGCAGTCGAGTGAAGATGAAGAGGAGGCGTTGGGGGGAAGAGTGGCGCTCGGGGGGTTGTTGGGGGGGGATAGGGGGAGTGGGCGGGGGAGGGGAGGGAAGGGGAGGGGAGGGAGTAGAGAGGTGAACGGGGAGGGGAGAGGGCGGGGGATGGGGGAGGAGGAGGAAGAGGAGGAGGAGGAGGAGGAGGAGAAAGAGGCGGAGGAGGATGAGGAGGAGAGGAGGTGGGAGGAGGAACAGTTGCGCAAGGGAGTGGGTCGAATGGTGTCTATGCCAGGAGCCACAGGAGAGAAGGACGGGGGAATGGGGGGAAAATCTGTGGGGGAGAAAGGGGGGAGTGTGGGGGGGATTGGGGGAGGGGGAGACGAGGGGGGGCGGAGTGCAAGGGAGGTGTTTTCAGGGGGGATGAGGGCAGGCGCGTGGGGGTATGGGGGGGCAGTGGGGGGCGCGGGGGGAATGGGAGGGGCGAGGTCGATAGTGGCGGAAGGGGATGAAGTGATGAAGTTTCTCCGGGAGGGCCTGGCAAGGCTGCAGGTGCGTGCTTTGAATGACTGTGGTTGACCGCAAAGGGGGTGGGTGGGGCGGGGTTGAACTTGATAGTGGCGGAGGGGGATGAGGTGATGAAGTTTCTCCAAGAGGGCCTTGCAAGACTGCAGGTACGTACGAGAGCTCTTAAGGAAATTGGTCTGAACGACAGAGAGTTTTGAGGCGCCTCAAAAGGGGATGAGATGATGAAGTTTTTGAGAGAGGGCCTTGCAAGACTGCAGGTACGTGGGGGTATGGGGTTGGAGGGAAAGTTGCAGGGGGGATGGGTGGAGGGGCGGGGTCGATAGTGGCGGAAGGGGATGAGGTGATGAAGTTTCTCCGAGAGGGCCTTGCAAGGCTGCAGGTACGTGCACCGAACGACTGTGGCTGACCTCAGGGGGGATGGGTGGGGCGGGGTTGATAACTTGATAGTGGCGGAAGGGGATGAGATGATGAAGTTTTTGAGAGAGGGCCTTGCAAGACTGCAGGTACGTGGGGGTATGGGGTTGGAGGGAAAGGTGCAGGGGGGATGGGTGGAGGGGCGGGGTTGATAGTGGCGGAGGCGGATGAGGTGATGAAGTTTCTCCGAGAGGGCCTTGCAAGGCTGCAGGTACGTGCTTTGAATGACTGTGGTTGACCTCAGGGGGGGTGGGTGGGGCGGGGTTGATAACTTGATAGTGGCGGAGGGGGATGAGGTGATGAAGTTTCTCAGAGAGGGCCTTGCAAGACTGCAGGTACGTGGGGGTATGGGGTTGGAGGGGAAGTTGCAGGGGGGATGGAGGGGCGGGGTCGATAGTGGCGGAAGGGGATGAAGTGATGAAGTTCCTGAGGGAGGGCCTTGCGAGACTACAGGTATGTGTGCTTAACAAACGGGCTTCAGGCAATTGATTAAGTTGAATGTGATTATGACGAATGTGTTCTGAACACTCAGCTATCAATCAGCAGCCTGCGCCCCACCACTCAGCACGACACTCTGCACCGCTCCACACCACCCTGCACCACACCATCCACAGCTCCACGCTTTCAGCACCACTCCCTCCACCGCTCCACACCGTCTTTCACCTCTTACCACTTTCAATCACCCGCACCGCTCGACACTCCCTCCTTCCCTTCCCAGGCCTCGCAGTCCAAGGCTGAGCGGGAGGCTCGGGAGGCGGAGGATCGGCTGGTGGCGGCGGCAGAGGAGGTGTTGGAGCTGGAGAGAGCAATGAAGGGCGCTGAGAGCAAGTACCGCTTCGTGCAGGATCTCAGGCAATACGTGGCCGTGCTGTGTGACTTCCTCAAGGTGCGTTGCCTCAGGATATATGCTGTATCGTATGGCTTCTTCCAGGCGAGGCTGGCTTCTGGTATGCACTGTGGCGACCTCAGGGGGAGGCTCAGGCTGACTGCTGGTCCCTTCTGAGGGCGTGCTGAGAGCAAGCAAGTACTTCTTTCGTGCAGGACCTCATGCAATACATTGTCGTGCTGTGGGACTTTCTCAACATGAGTTTGTGAGACGTCACTGCAGCAGCTGCACAAGTGCACCTTCGTTTGTCGTTTTGAGAATTCTCAAGTGCGCCAGGGGGGTCGCTTCAGCAGCTGCAGGGCTGACTGACATATTGCCTTTTCAAGTACAACTCCCCTAGATGTACCGTGTTGCATAAACCCCCTGCGTCCCTCCTTTCCCAAAACTCGCCGGGACAAGGCACCATCGGTTTAAGAGCTGGAGGAGTCGCTGCAGCAGCTGCTTGAATGCACCACACAACCCTCCTCTAAACGGCCAAAGGCCGTATAATTAAGTCGCCAAACAACCCCCACCTTCCCTCCTCCCTCCTGTCACACGCCAGGACAAGGCAGCTCTGATAGAGGAGTTGGAGGAGTCACTGCAGCAGCTGCAGGAGGAGGATGCCAACGCATCTGCTCTGCTTGAATACACCACGCTCCTCCTAACTCAGACAGCAATCACCGCGCCCCCCACCCTTTTTTACCCATCTCCACCCCCTCCCACATCAGGGTAAGGCGGCTCTGATAGAGGTGCTTGAGGAGTCACTGCAGCAGCTGATTTGCTTGAGTGCACCACCCTCTGAACTAGGACTTTTCACTCCCCTTTCCCCTTCCCCTGTTGTTTCCCACATCAGGACAAGGCGGCATTGATTGAGGAGCTCAAGGGGTCGTTGCAGCAGCTGCAGGAGTGGCATGCCTCCTTTTTCATTGCACCTCTCTTGTATATACCACCCTCCAAATCCATCCTCTCCTCCCCCTGCCCTCCCACATCAGGACAAGGCAGCTCTGATAGAGGAGTTGGAGGAGTCCCTTCAGCAGCTGCAGGAGGAGCGCGCCAACGCAGCGTTCGAGCGCCGCCGCGCTGACCTGGCGGATGAGCTGGCGCAAGCAGAGGCTGCCACGTCAGCAGCGGCAGCAGTAATGGCGCAGGGGGCGGGGACGGTGACGGCAGCGGCAGCGGCGGCAGCAGCGGCAGACGCGGCAGACGCGGTGGTGGAAGGGGGAGGGGCTGGGGGAGGGCGGGTGGAGCTTGATGAGTTTGGAAGAGATGTGAACCTGCAGAAGCGGTGAGGCTGGGTGGGTAGTCATGGGTTGGTGTGCGGAATAAGTGTGCATAAGTCTAAGATTGTCTGATAGGAGGTGTGGTTGTGTGTGGTGAGGATGATGGAGACAGCAGTACGAGCAGCGGCAGAGGCGGTGGTGGAAGGGGAGGGGCGGCGGGAGGGCGGGTGGAGCTTGATGAGATTGGAAGAGATGTGAACCTGCAGAAACGGTTTGAACTCCGTGGCTCCTCTGCGTGTGCCTATTTTTGAGTAGTTCCAGAGGCGAGTGGCAGCGAGGGAGCGGCAGCATGCCAAGGCTGGCTGAATCCATCACCTCGAAACCCCTGACTGAACCCCATCGCTTCGAGACCCTAAGCCCCATCTTCCTGAGACCCTGATCTCTATGACTTCTCTCCTCTGCGTGTGCAGGTTGGAGTTCCAGAGGCGAGTGGCAGCGCGGGAGAGGCGGCACGTCAAGGCAGAGGCCAGGAGAGCAGCGGCCTGAACCTCTTAACCAGAAAACCCTGAACCCTGAACTCTTGATTCTACTACACGTGCAGGTTGGAGTTCCAGAGGCGCGTGGCAGCGAGGGAGCAGCGGCACGCCAAGGCTGAAGCCAAGAGAGCAGCGGCCTGAACCTCTTAACCAGAAAACCCTGAACCCTGAACTCTTGATTCCACTACACGTGCAGGCTGGAGTTCCAGAGGTGCGTGGCAGCGAGGGAGCGACGGCACGCCAAGGCAGAGGCAAAGAGAGCAGCGGCCTGAACCCCCTGAACCAGTAAACCCTGAACCCTGAACCTCTGACTCCACTGCATGTGCAGGTTGGAGTTCCTGAGGCGAGTGGCAGCGAGGGAGAGACGGCACGCCAAAGGAGGAGGCTCAAAGAGCAGCACTCTGAACCTTGTCAACTAGAAAACCCTCAACCCTGGACCCTGAACTCTTGATTCCACTACACGTGCAGGTTGGAGTTCCAGAGGCGAGTGGCAGCGAGGGAGCGGCACCCTGAACATTCTCAATCAGGAAACCGTCGAATCCGAATCCTGATTTTTTTTTTTTTTTTTTTTTTTAATTCCACTACACGTGCAGGTTGGAGTTCCAGAGGCGCGTGGCAGCGAGGGAGCGACGGCACGCCAAGGCTGAAGCCAGGAGGGCCGGGCGGGGCGAAGCAGAAAGGGGAGGAGGGGGGGTGGGGAGGGTGGAGGGGGAGTGGAGCAGTGATGAGAGTGAGGATGAGAGGAGTGCTTACAACTCCGGGAGACAGGAAATTCTTACTGCTGCTGGTGAGCTCCCACTCTTCTCCTTGCAGATTCACGTGCTGTTCATGAAAATCTGCTCTGCTCCACTTCCACATTCTGCTGCTGAGTTGGTACCAGCTGCTCGTAAGCATTGTGGCTCTGTCGACATTACTATTTCACTACACCCACTCTCCCGCCCCTCTCCCGCCCCTCTCCCATCCACTTATTTCTGACCGGCACCGCCCTTCCTACTTCCTTGTGCCCTCCTCCCCGCCGTTCCTCCAGTTGTGGTGTTTGCGGAAGCGACAGTGGAGTAGAGAAGGATAGGGCGTCTAATTTTGAGGCGCCTCAAAACAGTATAGAGCGAGCAACACAACCCTCAACCCACTCGCCTACCAGCAAGCTAGATTCTACCCTCTCCGCCCCTCCTCCAACCCTTCTGCTCGCCTGCAGATGCTGTCTTTGCGGATGCAGCGGAAGAGTACAGCAGGATAGAGCGAGTGAAGAAGCGCATGGAGCGGTGGAAGCAGCACCGACCCTCCTGCTCCCACCTTAGTGCCCATACATACCATCCATCCTCACCACCCCTTGTGAACCCTTGCAGACGCTGTGTTTGCGGATGCAGCAGAGGAGTACAGCAGGATAGAGCGAGTGAAGGAGCGAATGGAGCGGTGGAAGCAGCAGCACCCCGCGGCCTACAGGGACGCCTATGCCAGCATGTCAGCGCCGGCAGGGAGAGATGGCAGCAACCATGACACCACCACTGCCTGCCACACCCTCTCTGTTGCTCCTTCCCTCTCCTTCACCCCCTTTCTTCCCTGCCCCTTCCTCCCCTGCTTCTTCCCCCGCAGATGCTGTGTTTGCGGATGCAGCGGAGGAGTACAGCAGGATACAGCGAGTGAAGGAGCGAATGGAGCGGTGGAAGCAGCAGCACCCCTCAGCCTACCCCTTGCCCTACCATCAAGCCAATCCCACCTCTCCACCCTTCCGCAACCCCTCAGATGCAGTCTTTGCCGACGCTGCGGAGGAGTATAGTAGGATAGAGCGAGTGAAGGAGCGGATGGAGAGGTGGAAGCAGCAGCACCCCGCGGCCTACAGGGACGCCTATGCCAGCATGTCAGCGCCGGCCCTCTTTGCTCCCTTCGTGCGCCTGGAGCTGCTGCGATGGGACCCGCTGTTTGGGGGAGGCGCGTTTGACTCCATGCACTGGTGAGTGAGTGCGGGAGTCAGTCAGTGAGTGATTGAACCCACGTGCTGATTGTTCTCTCTTCGCCGCTGCTCTTTGCTCCCTTCGTGCGCCTGGAGCTGCTCCGATGGACCCCCTCTTTGGGGCCGTTGCCTTTGATTCCATGCACTGGTGAGTGAGTGAGTGAGTGAGTGAGTGAGTGAGTGAGTGAGTCGGTGTCAGTCAGTCGGTCGGTCCTCTTTTATCACGAGCTCCCAACCGACAAGCTCCCAACCAACAAGATTGAAATGTTTCAAGGCGCCTCACCCACCCAACCCCCCTCCACCCACCATCACCCATCCCCCCCCCACCAGGTACTCTGTCCACTTTGACTACGGCCTCCCAACTGACGGGTTCAAAACTTACATCTCAAAGCTCACCATCCACCACCCACCACAACCACCCCCAACCACCCGCAACCACCCCCCCTATCAGGTACTCAGTCCTCTTTGACTATGGCCTCCCAACCGACGGCTCCGAGCCTGCGCCGGACGACCCGGACGCGAACCTGGTGCCGAGGCTCGTGGAGAAGGTGGGGCTGCCGATCCTGCACCACGCGCTGCAGCACTGCTGGGACCCGCTGGACCGCGCCGCGACCAATCGCGCGGCGACAGCTGTCGAGGAGGTGCTGGTGTATGTGGAGGCGGGAGCGCCGGCAGTGGTGGAGATGGTGAAAGCAGTGGAGGGGCGCATGGAGGGGACGGTTGCTGAAATGCAGGTGAGTTGGTGGCCATGGTGTGGAGGAGGTGTTGGTGTATGTGGAAGTGGGGGCGCCCGTGGTGGTTGAGATGGTGAAGGCCGTGGAGGGGCCGATTGAAAGTGCTGTTGGAGAGATGTATGTCTGCCGGCTGAGGAGGCGGGAGGCTCTGGCGGTGGTTTCTTGTGCAATGGGGTTTGGATGGACAGGCTACAAGGATCGAAGTGGGGCATTGACTGGGAGGGAAGGAGGTCTGTCTGCCTTATGCAAATAACACATGTCTTGACCTTTGTCTCGCCCCCCCCACCCTCCCTTGCTGTTGCTCGCAGCTACCAGCGTGGCCGCCCCCCATACTGGCATCCTGCCCCTCCGCTGCTCGATTTGCAGCGCAGAGATTTGGGCAGGCGCTGCGCCTCATTCACAACTTGGGCAGGTGGGTGTTGTTCACTGCCTGAGTGCATGCAAGGTTGGAAGGTGTCAGAGTTGGGTGCGGAGAGGTTCAACATAAGATTGGGCAGGCGCTGCGCCTCATTCACAATCTGGGCAGGTGCGTTCACTAGCTAAGAGCGTGCAAGACTGGCAGGTATCAGGAAATGGATGTGGAGGGTAAGAGCGTCTGAAGCACCTCCAGAGGTTTGGACCGACGCTGCGCCTCATTCACAACCTGGGCAGGAGCGTTCAAGAGCGTTCGAATCAAAGCGGGCAGGTATCAGGAGATGCTTGAGAGACACTTTCAGAAATGCGGGCAGGCGTTGTGACTCATGGGCAACATAGGCAGGTGGAGGAACAAAGCGATTCAGGTGGAGGTGATGCTGGTTCTGCAGAAAGAAGCGGCAGAGGAGAAGAACAGGAAGAACATAGTGAGTGTGGGGAAACGGTGAGGGGCGAGAGGGGGGGCATGGTGCCGGCGTTAGGTGCGGTGATGGAGAAATTGTCTGGCCTCTCGTGGTCGGCTCAAGTGATGATTCAGAGGTGTTGTTCTGAGGAACATGGTCCGGCCTCCCATGGTCGGCATGTTCCTCAGAATCATCACTTGAGCCAACCACGAGAGGCCGGACAGCTCCACTATCATTGCACGCACGGTTGGCACCATGCCCTACCTCTCGCCCCTTGCCCTTTCCCCACACTCACCATGTTCTTCCTGGTTCTTTCCAAAACCCCCTTTCTATTAGGCATGGTACAGGTGTTTTTCCTATATCTCATTTGCGGCCTCTCTGCACCAGATCTGTAACATGAGGGGATCCCCAGGCAGTGATACATGGTGTCTCTCAGATGCTTGTGGGGTTTTTGAGACATGCCCCAGGCACAAGACGTCTCAAAAACTCCCTTTTATCACCTGTCTCTCCGATGCTTGTGGCTACACCGGCTGGACCGACTAGTGCTGCGCTCGATCTTCTCTAACATAGGGGGAGTGGGGATGTGACAGACTGTGTGTCCCTGAGTTTTGAGGCGCCTCAAAGCTCCAAGAAATACACCACCCCAATCCCATCTCCCCTCCTCACTTCCATCCCCACCTCCCCCTCCAACCCTAGCCTTCTCCACTCCACCTCCACCCCAAATTTCCCATTCACGCCACCAGCATGCGAGACGTGGTTTCTCAGCAGGTCCTAGATCGACTCGTGCTTCCGTCCATCCTGGCCAATCAACTGCTGCCACACCCTTACACTGTTGATGTCTCTGACACCATGCCACCATCCCTCACCGCTTCCATTCCCGCCACCAGGATGCGAGACGTGGTGTCTCAGCAGTTACTAGATCGACTCGTGCTGCAGTCTCTCCTGGCCAATCAGCTGCTGCCACATCTGCGCGCCCTCGCCCCCGCACTGCACGATGCCGTACCCCGTACAGAGCGACTCGTTTGTGTTCTGTGTGACGGCAAGTGGGCCGGCACGGGCAGCGGGAGCGCCTTGCCTCCTTCGGCCGAACCCAGGAACAGGTGAGCTGGTTGCTCGAGTTGTACCTTATAATAGAGTGGTTCGGGTTACTGCCCAACACTGGTTTGTTTGGTTCGGGTTCCTCTGTAAACCAGACCCGGGGAACAGGTGGAAGCACTTACGTACAGCACGTCAAGTTTGTTGTATGTGTCTTTGCATTGTTATCTGCATTGTTATATGCTTGTCTGCATTGTTATCTCAATTTGCACGTGAGTGATGCCGATGGTTCATCTTCTCACCATCTTCTCACCCTGTCACTGAATGCTCTCACTTATTTCTCATCATCTTTCATGCCCGTGCCTTTTTCTCATTTTACCCAAAACATTGAACCTGGAAACCCTGCAGTCCCAGGTCTCCGCTATCACAACTGGTGGCTTATATCGAAACGCTGGGGCGGTCTGTGGAGAGTCGGAGTGCAGTGGAGGGGCAGAAGGAGGAGTGTGTGGGGCTGGCGAGGAGGCTGAAGCGCATGCTGGTGCAGATGGAAGAAATGGATAAGGCCAGGGCGCTTGGCAAGGTGTTTGGCATCAAAGAGGCACTGTAGCTTCGACTTTTGAAGGTCCTCGAAAGTGCGGTGGATGGGCAGGGAGAGGAGTGTGTGGAGCTGGCGAAGAGGCGGAAGCGCATGCTGGTGCAGATGGAGGAAATGGATAAGGCCAGGGCACTCTGCAAGGATTTTGGCTTAAAAGAGGCAGTGGTGGTGTGTGGTAGTGTGGTGTACCGGGATACCACCTATGTCGTTTATCTCTTCGGCCGGAGGGTAGACCCGGGTTGTTTATTATGTCATCCATCCGAAATTGGAGAGGGAAGGGGGATTGGAAGGGGTCTTAACCCCAGGCACGTTTTCATGACACCTCCTTTTGCTTCATCTAATGCATTAATTGTAACACACCCACTCTATATTGAATGCATTTGCCAGCTGTAGATAGTGTGGCATATGCAAGAAGACTTGTGCCAACAATCCCATGACACACGTACACCCACATTAGACGCGTATTTCGCAAGTGTGGTGTTCGGGCTGTACCCGTATGTCCCCGCCCGTATGGATGGCGGTAGTGATGGAAATGATTATGTTGATATGCTTCCATGTCTTTAGAGAATGTGCGCAGTTGCTAGGATTGATTTATGTGTACTTCAGTTAGAAATGGTATAAGTATGAGGAAGTGCACTTATGCCTGTATGCTGAATTGAGAGGCTGCGAAGTGTAACAGCTGTACATAAAACGAACTGGGAGTTCCCTATGCCTAGAATGGGTTGTTCAACGAACCTTGCCAACAAGGAAAATGTGGCGGAATTCATTCGCCGCCGAAAATGTCTGACACCCTTGGGTTGGTGCTTTGTTGGGCCAACGGCAACCTCCTTACGACTTAGAGCTTGGTCCTGACAACGTGCTCTCCAAACAATTCCCAGAAAACCGTCCGGGTCGGACAATTTCGCGACCTTTAGGTTCGCCAATGCAAACCTGAAATGTCGTAACACCAAGAAAGCCAGCTCGTCGCAGTGTCCACCTGTATTCTTCTGGACCCCGGTTACCCTTGACGAAACGTGCTGTGCAACAGACAGAAATACGTCCTGCAAGCTCGTTTTGTTATTTGATATTCCGCGTCTGAACTGTACTGCGTCATAAGTGCTCACCTCCTTGGGATTCCCTCCCTTCGTTGCTTCCAACTCACGCTCCGTGACCATAGCCTCCCTCAGACTACAATGATTAGCAGTTTTACCTGAAATCACGACATAAAGCTTTATATATTGGAGTTCCAAGCTGCTACGTGCTGTTTTGGGGCGTCTCGCCCCTTTCAGCTAGCGCCATGTGTCGGCTGATGGTGTATTTAGGCACGCCATGCCTACTAGCCGACTTGGTTACCAAACCGTCTAGATCGCTAACGCGCCAGTCTTACGACGCTAAGGAACGTTTAACGGGTCATGGGTACCTTAACGGGGACGGATTTGGGATCGGGTGGTACTCACCCGAAGGCCATGGTCCTCTAGCGATCGAGGATCCGACTCCTTGCGTTTTCTCCTCCATTCAGCCAGCCTGGAACAATGGTAACCTCAAGCGGTTGGCGAATAAGATAATTTCGCCACTCATCTTCGCTCACGTTCGGGCGGCGTATCCAGGAATTCCCGTCAATGACTCCAACTGCCAGGTCCGATGATGCCGTGTTACGTCCATCGGGTATCCAATCCTTTCTCTGCCTCACTGATTGCAAGGAACCGCCGCCATACACGTTCGGAACGTTCTTAGTTGTCTGGGTAACCGAATCTGCCTCTTCCTCCTCACGCCTTTCCACTGCCTTGCTGTGCGCAGTCGTTGATGCGTCTCCTGTTCTCATGCGCCTCAGAAATCGCAGTAGTTGCTGTCTTTCCTGTGCCGTGCCGGCAGTACACGTCACCCTCCTTCCTCAAAGGCGTTTAGCGAAAGATTGTTCCGAAGGTCTCATTTCGACGATTACCTCCGCTTTCCTCCGCCCTCCCACCCGTCGTGGTACGTCAGCAGGCTCAATGGCGGGGGTAAGAGCGTGTCACAACGTTCCCTTTTGGGTGTTAAACTGTAATCTACCCACGTCTTCCACTCTCCTCCTTCCGTCTCCCAGCCTGCGTCTCCATCCTGTGGCTCCTCTGGAGGCACAACAGTGGGGTCGGGGGAATTGCCCAACGTGCCTGCGAAAGTACCCTTTTCTGAGGAAGTACCCTTTTTTTGCTCACGAATAGTACTTCCTATTCCTCCCACCTCCTCCAGCCATTCGTGTGCGGGCGGTACATATGGATGCACAATGGTGGGGTGGGGGGATTTCACAAGGTACGGAGAAAGCTTCTGGAGTCGCTGCGTGATGATGTGTACCAGCAGTGCCCCTCCTTCGAGTCCGACTCCGCCATCTGCTTCGCTCTCTTCCTCAACCAAATTCAAGACCCCATGCAGCAGCTCGCTCCAGGTACGTGCTATTGTTTTGGAATGATTATTATTTGCGTTATTATTATTATTACTGTTATACTGATTATTATAATCGTTTTTTGTTAATTCATTTTCTCTGTTTTGTACAGCAGCTCACGCCACAGTGTTCAGAGGACTTGTGAATATTGCATGCATGCATTGTATCCTTGACCCCGCTCCCATCGTGCCTGCTATGCGCTCAGAGGAGCTAGTGTCCCAGGTAGAGGCAGCGACCAACGAGGTAAACCAACCAAGCGCAGCTTCATAAACACAAGTGTGTGCATTGCGTCTTGACCTCCCATCGTGCCTGTTGTGCATGCAGAGGAGCTAGTGGCGAAGATGGAGGCGACGATCAACGAGGTGAACCGGCTGTGTGGCGAGGCGGGGGTGGCAGACGAGCTCTCTCTGCTCAACTTCGTTGTCTCTGATGGCCGCACCGTCGTCGCCACCAAGTGAGTTCAGTTTGGTGCTGGCTACCCAGTGAGTTCAATTCAGTGTTGGTTAGCTCATTCTGTTCATGAATCAGTTTGTTGGTTGCCATTGCCACCGCATCGAGTGAGGTCAGTCCTTCCTTCTCCTCTCTCCCTCCTGTGCGGCAGACACCGAACAAGGGGTGTGTAACGCCGCACTGATTGTTTGGAGAAGATGGCGACGTGTATATAGAAGTGTTTTGAGACGTCTCAAACCACTTCTTTATACACCTGCGGCAGAAACCGAACAAGGAGTACGTAGTGTTGCACGGAGTGTTTGGAGAAGGTGGTGTACACACCTCTGCTTTTCATGCCATATTCCCCCCTCCTCCTCCTTCCGCCCTCCCACCCGGCAGGTACTGCAATCTGCCCCACGAGGAGTGCGCGACGCTGTACTACGCGAGTGGGAGCCGGTTTGAGGCGCGGGACGGCAGCAGCAATGATTACTTGGTGCGCCACGCCGACCGCCGCGGGCTGCTGGGGATCGTCGCCAGCGAGCCGCTCACTGATGAGAGCGCTGACTGGATCCAGGTGAGCCGGGGGGCGGTGAAATAGTAACATAGGGGGATTCAAGTGAGCCGCTCACTGATGAGAGCGCTGATTGGATCCAGGTGAGAGGAGAGAGAAGGGAGATCAATGGCCAGGACCGGGAACCAGGTGAGCCGCTCACTGATGAGAGCGCCGACTGGATCCAGGTGAGGGGAGGGATGGTGGGGAGAGAGAAGGGGGATTGCGCGATCTAGGTGAGCCGCTCACGGACGAGAGTGCACAGCAACGCGAGGTGAGGATGATGCAGTTCAAACCCAAGTCAAATCTGCTCTTGAATGCCGCCCCCCTCTCTTCCACCAGGTGCCGTGCAACACGGCGGTTGTAATGACACGTTGTAAGGGCTCGTTCGTGGACGTGCTGCTGGTGCCCATCAACCCGCTGTCCCCCGATTTCACTCCCCCTTCTCCTCACCAGGTCCCTCGAAACACGGCAGTGGTGATGACGCGGTTCAAGGGCTCGTTTGTGGACGTGCTGCTGGTGCCCATCAACCCGCCCCCCTCCGTGGCTCGCGACATCTCCCGCGCCTTCAAGGCCCTCGCCAGCTGCCCCCAAACCTCCCTCAAGGTCTCCCTCCGGCGCCCCCGGCGAGCGCAGGGCAGGAGGCGGGCCCCTGCTGCTGGGGCTCTGCAGCAGCGGCAGCAGCAGCAGCAGCAGCAGACGGTGCTGCAGTCTCCAGTTTCGAGCGCCTCTTCTCAGTCTACATTATCTGCAACTACAACCACTCCACCTCCTCTTCCTGCTTCTGCTTCTCCGGCTGCTGCTGCGGCTGGCAGTGGATCACCGGCAGTGCTACCAGCTGCAGCTGCAGCAGGAGGAGCGGGCAGCTGGAAAGAGGGTTTGCGAGATCTGGTCAGGGATCAGGACGGGAGGGACACCACTGGAGACGAGGAGGAGAGTGATGAAGACGATATTGATGGGGATGCCGAGATTTACGGGTATCCCAGCAGTCAGTCTTGGAATGGTGGCGTCAGCAGCAACGGCGTCAACAACACCAGTAGCAGCAGTGTGAGAAGCAGGAGGCATGCGGCCACCACAGTTCCCCCACCAGAGGGCATTCCTGTGACGGACAGGCCGCGGCACGCAATGGCGAAGCACCGGCAGGCGGTGCTGGCGCTGGCAGTGGATGGTAACCGTGTGTTTGCGGGGTCGCAGGACGGGCTCATCACGCTGTACGAGCTGCGGGACTTCCGGTGCGTGTGCACGCTGGCGGGGCACAGCCAGACCATCTTCTCCCTCTCTGTGCACCACGACCGCCTCTACAGCTCCTCCACCCGCGTCGTCAAGATCTGGGACACCAAGACCTTCCGCCTCCTCTCCACTCTCCGCTACTCCGATGGGGACGTCTTTGCACTCGCCCTCGCGCTTGGAAGGTCTGTGGCCGGCCCTGCAGGCACCTCCATTGTTCGCTGCACCAGGGCTTCAGCTGCCGCTGCTGCTGCCGCTGCTAAGGGGCATTCAGGGGAGGGGCAGGGGGGTGGGCAGAAGCAGCTGAAGCATCTGCACAGCTTGAAGGATTTCGTGATCCCCTCGGGTTCCTCATTTCCCGATGCCTCGGCCGTGCTGGACGCTTCTGTGTCACAACCACCTGGTTCTACTGCTGCTGCTGGTGCTGGTGCTGGTGCTGCTGCTTCTTCTGCTGGTGCCTTCTCTCCATCACCTGCGGCAGCCAATCACAGGTCGCCAGCTGCCATGGCAGCAGCGGCGGCTGCTGCAGCTGCAGTGGCAGCAGGAGGAGAAGGGGGATTACCTTCCACTGGTCGCGGTTTGTCACAGGTGAAAGACCCTCAGTCAACAACCACTGGGAACAGCAGCATCGCCACTGAAACAGCGGCAGCGGGAGGCAGAGGAGTAGGATCAGCAGGGGCTGCAGGCGGGTCTATGTGGGAATCACTCTCTTCTGAAGAAACCATTTGGCCCCAGGCTTCATCTCTTGCTACCCAACCTCGTGGTGCTGGCGCTGCTGCTGCTCCCGTTGCCATACCTCAGGCTCGAGCCCGAACCAAAGGCCCCGGCTCGGGGCTAGAGACTGGTTCTACAACAGTGGGTTCTGGTGGGCATGTGGTTCGGGTTGGGTTCGGGGATCTCGCCCAATCACTATCACCCGAAGCTCACATGTACAGCTACCTGGAAGGGGCGAGGTCTGGCGGAGGCTCGGCAGGTTCGTTCCGTGGCTCGGCAGGGCGGGCTGGAGGTTCGTATATGGCAGTGGTAGGTGAGGGGGAGGAGGAAGAGGATGAGGAGGTTGGAGAGAGGAGGGGTACAGAAGGGAATGGTGGGATTGGGGTGGTGGCAGGTGGGTACTGTGATGGGCAGAGAGAGCAGTTGAGAGTGCAAGGGTGGCATGAGGAGGTGATTGGCAGGTTACCTGATAACCAGAATGTACTTATGAACGGTCAGGTGAACGGTGAGGTGAACGGCCTGGTGAATGGTCAGGTGAATGGGGAGGTGTTCAGCCAGCAGCCGCAGCAACACGATACACAGTTAGCAGGGCAGCAGGAGCAGCATCTGGGAGGAGCGGCAAACCCTTGTGAAGGAGGAGGAGGAGGAGGGTCGGGAGGTACAGTGGTTGGCGGTGGTTGCAGCGAAGCCCTAAGCGTGGGTGGTGGTGGTGGCTGTGGAGGAGGAGCAGCAGGAGGAGGAGGAGGAGGAGGAGGAGGGGGTGTGGGAGGGGCAAGCAGTGGAGCTGGGTGTGGGGCAGGAGGGGGCGGTGGGGTGCGCACGGTGTGCAACAGCACGGAGGCAGCGCTGGTGCTGACGGATTCGAACAAGAATGGCCACTGCAGCCGCGTCTATGCTCTCGCTGTAGCCGACCCCCTCATCTGTAGCGGCGCCGGGGACACCTTTGTCAAGGTGGGTGCTGGGCTGCATATCCTTCATTTTCATCATGCCCCCCATCATGCCTTTCATTATGCCCTCTTCATACCCTTCACCATACCCTTCATCATACCCTTCACCATGCCCTTCACCATACCCTTCACCATGCCCTCCCATCCATCCTTTTCGTCCTGCCTCTTCAACTCCTTCCCCACCGCATTGAGACTGCCAGGTATGGTCGCTGGTGACGGGCGAGTGGGTGGCAACGCTGCACGGCCACAAGGGGGGTGTTATGGCGCTCGCCACAGCCGATGCAGCGGCTGATTCCTCCCACCGTTCCTCCTCTGTTGCCAACTCTCTCGGCCCATCCAAGCCTCACCATGCACCACCTCCCCGAGCCTCTAAGCCTCTGTGGCGCCTCTTCAGTGGTGCGTGTGCTTTCAATAATTGTGCCGAGCCTCTAAGCCTCTGTGGCGCCTCTTCAGTGGTGCCTGTGCTTTCAATAATTGTGCCCATGTCTTTTGTCAAAGGAAGTGTGCAAGCTTTTGGTCTGCTGCACAGTCTATGGGCTGCTAATTCAACCTTGTAGCTCACCCGCATGTCAGCAACCTGTCTGTTTGCACCTCTTCTCGCTCACGCCAGTCCACCCTGTGATTAGTCGGCCTTCGAGTGAAGGGCCCGTGCACTCAGCTGTTGCAGCTGTACCTTGCAGTCGCAACTCCTCCTAATCTCCCTATCACTTCTGCTGGCTGATGCGGATCTCTTTCTGATCCCCTTGTTCCTCTTGCCCTCGTGCCCCTGTCCGCTTTCTCCCCAGGGTCACGGGACAACACGATGAGGGTGTGGGACCTCTCTTTTCTTTACTGATGCACCATCGTATTTCCCCTCCTACCCTTGCTCCCCCCTCTCCAGGGTCAAGGGACAACACGATCAGGGTGTGGGATCTCTCATCGCTGCTCTGCATCACCACCCTCACCGGCCACACCGACGACGTTGTGGGGCTCGCCTCTGGTACAACATTCTGTTGCTTGTCCTCCATAGTTATTCTCCCTTTCCTTCTCACCCTCATTCTCCGACGACGTCTCATTCACCGATGACGCCTCATTCTCCGACGACGTCTCATTCACTGACGACGTTGTGGGGCCACTGGTACAGCTCTCTGTCGCTTGCCCTTCATAGTCATTCTCCTCAATAGGGTTTATACGAAGCAATAGACAAGCGATGGTGGGGTGGTGGAATCGGATGAAGGGTGCGAATTTGCATTATAGAGAGGAATTGAGTGCTGGTGGCATATTCCTGCTGGACGTATGGACTTGTGTTCAAATTGCAAGGGCGCTGGAACTTGCGGGTGTTAACAATCTGGCGACTGCAAAGGCCGCAGCCAAAGGCAGCGGAAGCAGAAGCTGCAGCTGTCGGCAGAAGATGCTGCAAATCCAGAAGCAATTGCGGCCTTAAACTGCCAATTGCGGCTACAGCTGTCGTTGCTTCTGGTGCAGCTGCAGCTTCTTCTGCCGCCACAGTTGCAGCATCTGCTTTTGCTGCTTTTGTTCCGGCCTTTGCAGTTGCCAGATTGTAAGGTGCGCCCTTGCGGTTTAAACATGAGCCCAAACGCTCGGCAGGAATCTGTCGCTAGCACCCAAGTCCTCCCTTGACTGCAAAAGCGCACCCTTCATTTCATTCCACCGCCTCATCATCGCTTCTCTATTGCTCCATATTAACTCTAATTCCCCGTTATTTAAAACGTTCCGCGCCATTGAAACCATCCTCGTCATGGTTCCAGCAGGTGCCGGCTCGTTCGTATGGAGCACCTGTGTTATGCTGGACAAAGTACTCCCCTCTATCTGAGCTAGTACTCCCCTCCACCTTTGCTAAAACTCCCTCATAAGTAACAACTGATTTGGCAAGTTCACAAGTGCATAATTCTTGCCGTAATCATCAATATGAATGCCATGCAGCTTTGCTGGTTTTGCTATTGCTGCTGTAGTGGTTGCTGCTGCAATAGCTCGGGCTGTTGCTGCACTAGCTCGTGCAGCTGCAGTTGGGGATGGTCCTGGGGTTGGTGCTGTGAATATGTATTTCTTGATCATACTCTTGTTGCTCACAAGAATCCCTTTCCTGATCATCTACTACATCACCAACAAGTTGAAATTTTATTGATGTCCGTCCCCACCCATTCGCCGCTCTGTCCATCTCATTTCCCTTCACTCGCCGCCCATGGTGCTGCAGGCCCTAACAACCGTCTCTTCAGTGCGTCAGTGGATCACACCATCAGGTATTCGCCTCTGCTCCTGAACTATCCTGATTCTGTGCTTGTCTGCATGTGCCCTCAATCCTCCTTCCTCACCTCCGCGGTGTACCACGCCCTCATGTTCCGGCCCCCTGTCTCCCCACACCCCTCCCCCCACCAGGGTGTGGAGCATGGTGACGTACGAGTGTGAGCGAGTGTTCCTCCAGGAGGGCTCCATCTTCCTCTCCATCGCATGCACGCCCACCGGGGTCGTCACCGGCTCCAGGTGAACCATATAGGGTTGCTTCTTCAAAGGAAACTAGCGACTCCCGGAGTAATAACCCACTTACCTCTCTTCAACAGTGGGCTGGGGTCATCACTCGCTCCACGTGGGGTGGGTGGGGCAGGTGGCATGTGGTTCAAGTAAGAAAACAGTTTAGCTGCCTGAGGGCTTGCATCACATGACCTCTCAAGTTCTCACGAGCCATAAGCTCAGCTGCAGAAGAAATCTGCTTCACATGGACCCCAGACTTCCTGAATTCTATGTTCCCTTCATTTTCCTTTCTCCGTCACTTCATGCTCCCGACTCCCCCCTCATTGGCCTCCCCCTTTCGCCGTCCTGACAGCGACGGTGTAGTGCGGTACTGGGAGGTGGACTCTGCCAGCGTGGACCAAACACAGGCCGCCACGGAGGACAGTAAGGGGCTCTTAACCGCCTCTCATTCACACCACCTCCCGCACTCCACTCCAAGCTTCAAGCTCCAGGTACCACCTCCCCCCATTTTTGCCAATTTCAAACTTCAACACCACCTTTCCCACTCCACATCAAGATCCAAACTCTAAGTATCGGATTACGATTCATCCACTTGAATGTCTGCCTTTTATTCTTCTCAAGCACCAATCTCTTTCCTTCTTGCTCACTTCCGCTTCATTCACCCTTGGCGGAGCTCCTACTTAACAATTGTGCTCCACTCATGTGCTTTTATTCAAACACGTGCATGCTTTTGCATGTCAGAACAATTCAGTGGCAGTGAAGGGTTGCCTTTTGTGAGCACTATTAAAGAACTTGTGTGTGTGTGCATGCATGGCAGAACGAGTCAGTGGCGGCGGAGCAGAGGCTGATGGAGGACACGTTGAGGCAGCTGGTGCGCATGAGGACCGTCAGCACATGCACGTCCCGCCTCGCTGCACAGGAGGTGAGTCAGAAGCATCCGCGTAATACAGTTATACCACCCACATGCACCTGGTGCGCATGAGGACCGTTAGTACATGCACCTGAGTGAGCTGTGTAGTGGGGCGGAGGTGAAGTGAGAGGCTCTGTCTTATGGGGTATGGCCTTGTGTTTCTCTCTGTTTCATCACCCTGCCATCCATTTCCCCTTCGATGTGGCGGGTTGCCAACGAGGTGATATGGGCTGCTGCACTCGTCTCCTCCGCCGCTTCTCCCTTCTCTTGTTCGCCTCATCCTGCATTTGTCTCTTCCATCTTCCCAATGTGGTGATGGCGCTGCTGCACTCCTCTCTTCAATTGCTTCTCACTTCTCTCCTTCTCCCTGCATTGCAGATGTGGCGGGAAGCCAACGTGGTGATGGGGCTGCTGGAGGACATAGGGGCTGCAGGTCGAGGTGTGAGCTGGTGTTCACTTGTGTTCCTGCATCCTCTACTCTCCCCTTCCCCTATCTCCCCCTTCTTAGATGTGGCGGGCGGCCAACGTGGTGATGGGGTTGCTGGAGGACATAGGGGCGGAGGCGAAGCTGGTGGTGGCCGTGGATGGGACCAGCCCTGTGGTGTTCGGCCGCATCGTGCAGGTGCGGGTGTGGTGCAGGTGTGGTGTGGGTGTGGGATGGGCGTGGTGTGGGTGTGAGATGACGCCACATAGGCTATGTCTTGCATGCAGGTATGTTCGGGCGCATCGGCCAGGTTGGATGTATTGCGATATGAGGCCGCATCATGTGTCTTCAAGCCAAATTTTTTTCTCACAGTGACCACGACCCGTCAAGCCATCTTTCGATGATACTCGCGCCTCGTCAAACCCTGGCCCTTTCTTCAGTTGCTTTCCATGCAATGTGTACATGTGTGCACCACAATGTTGCGAAACGGCCCACTCTCTTACCCCTTCTCTACATTCTCCAATCGACCTCCCCTTTCCCTCTCCGCTCCGCAGGACCCCAGCCGTCTCACCGTGTGCATATGTGGACACTACGATGTCACGGGTGCCGGCGACGTGGACGGCTGGATGAGCGACCCCTTTGATCTGACGGCTCAGGACGGCTTTCTCATTGGCCGAGGGGTGTCCAGCAGCAAGGGCCCGCTGATTGCCTCCCTCTTTGCCATCAAGGTGAGGCGCTGCTGTTGCTGCTGCCGCCGCCGCCCCGTTTGCCCCAGCCGCCGCCGCTGCTGCTGCTGCTCCGGTGCTGCTATTGTTTGATCGCAAGAGTATGAATGTGACTGTAGACAGGTGCAACGTGAATGATCTGTTCTGTAGAACCAAATCAAAGCACCGTTCTTTCATTCCTTCTTTAGCTGAGCCTCATTGTAACTGTCCTCGTTTTGAGTTGCCTCAATATCAGTTGGTACTCATCTTCTTTTCGAACCCTCCCTCCTTTCCGTCATCTTGCCGTCTCACCATGCTGGCAGGATCTGGTGTGTCGGGGCGAGCTGGCAATCAACATTGTGTTTGTGATCGACGGCATGCAGGAGAATGGGTGCAAGGTGAGTGGCGTGTGGTGCAGGGTGGTGCAATGTGGTGTAGAATGCACGAGACTAGATGCAGGGTGAGTGTGGCATGGCACAGAGTGGTGCAATGCGATGTAGGACCCCTCTCGCTCTACTCATCCCTTCCACATCAGGGCTTCAAGGAGGCCAACGTGGACTGGTTGAACACGCACCCCCTCCTTTCCCCTTTTCTCCATCCGCCCGACCACTCTTTCTCCTTCAATCCCTCTCCCGTTTCCTCTCAGGGCTTCAAGGAGGTGGTGTACGCCAACCTGCACTGGTTTGAAGTTCCACCTTCTCCCTGTCTGCCCAACCTCTCTTCCTCTTCCCCCCCTTCAGGGCTTCAAGGAGGTGGTGTACGCCAACCTGGACTGGTTTGCATCCCTCCTCCTCCTCCTCCCCCCCCTCCCCCTTCCCTCCCCTTCAGGGCTTCAAGGAGGCGGTGTACGCCAACCTGGACTGGTTTGAGGGCACGGGGCTCATTCTCAGCAGCGATGGCGCGTGGATCAGGTGGGGATCAGGTGGGAATCAGGTGGGGATCAGGTGGGGTGAGGATCAGGAAGGGGTAAGTGTAGATGCCGGTGAAAAATAAGTAAAAAGGAACCCCCCCCCCCCTTTTTTTTTTAGCATGCATTCTTAAGTACTGGCTTCCTGTTCACCATCCCTCGAATCTCCTGTCCCCTCCCCCTTCCCCCCCGCAACCACCACCCATGCTCGTCTGCTTGACTGTTCATACAATCAGCTCGTCTCCTCGTTCTCCCTCCCCCCAGCGACCGGCTCTTGTGTCTGATATACGGCATGCGGGGCTCATCTGCTGACAGTTGATAGTGCCTGAATGACTGGCTTGTCTCCTCCTCTTCCTCCTCCCTCCCCCTTCTCCCACTTATCCCCTAAACCCCCCAGCGACCAGCACCCGTGTCTCATATACGGCATGCGCGGGCTGATCTGCCTGACGGTGGCGGTGACGGGGCCGCTCAAGGACTTGCACTCGGGCACACACGGGGGCAGCTTCAACGAGCCCCTCAACGACCTTGTCACTGTGCTCTCCAACCTCGTCGACTCCAACAACATGATCCTCATCCCAGGTAAATCGAACAATAGATCCTCGTTCCAGTTCAATGTCTGCCTAGCTTCAGGTGGAGTATTCCACTAAGGCTTTTGATGTCAAGTGAATGTGATTTCATCGGTGTTGCATCCATCCATGCGGAACCAAGTTCTCAAGCATTCAGTCTCTTCCTTCTTTTTAAAAAACTAATGACTCATGCTCGCAGGGTTCTACGACGATGTGAAGCCATTGGACGAGGAGGAGGAGGCGCTGTACCAGGGGCTGCACTTCCGAGTAGACGAGTACAAGGTGGGTGGTGTAACCACAGACCTGTCTCGCATGGATTGTGTTTCAGCGTTTGCACCAGTTGCAGCAGGCACACAATAGAGGTGGTGCAACATTGCCAACAGGTTTTGTTTGCACCGACTTTAAAGGAAGACGAGGAGGCCATATATTTATAAAGGTCCGGCCTTCGCTTGGACAAAGCCGACTTCGCAGCCCAGTGCGCCATGTGTGCAGCCAGCTAGGCTTTATGGTCAGCACCGACTCGGAGGTTGGCTGGTTTGGTTAGTCATGAAAAAAAGGTCAGGAAGCCGCCTTCCGAACTGGAAGACTCGGGAATTCCGTCCTCGAAATGTAAAAAATGTCGCCATGGCGAGAAGGTACAAAAGGTTGACCAGTTCGAGGTTGACGAGAGCTGGACGAAAATTACTACGGGATTGATTGAAAGATGAGCGGTTTAGGGGGGAGGTTGGGTTTGGGAGGTTGAGAGGGATAATGTGTGGCTGGGAATGTGGGAGGGGTTTAATTTGAGTCTCGGATTGCAGAATGGGTTTGTTTGTTTGTTTGTTTGTTTTTTTTTTTTTTTTTTTTTTTTTTTTTTTTCTTCTTCTTCTTCTTCTTCTTCGGACTGACCAATTGTGCTTTAGCTAGTGCATTTGCGTATTTCCAACTTAAGCTGCCGCGTTGGCTACGCAGAAGGTTGGTTACCAACTTTTGCTAGTGAAACTCTTGTCAATTCTCTACACGAGTAAAACAAGCTTGCACAGGTGTTCGGTAACGCTCAGATTACCCGTACGAGTCGCGACTTCTCATGTAGTCCACTCCCGTTGTGAAGTGACTGTCTGCAGGCCCCTCTCATCACCCCCCCCTCCTTTTCTCTTATCCCTCCCCCACTTCACCATGGCAGGCGCGCAACGGGTTGGCGGCAGTGACAGGGGGCACGGGGCGGGAGGTGCTGCAGAGCTGCTGGCGCAGCCCGTCGCTGAGCGTGCTGGGCGTCTCCACCTCGCCCTCTTGCGCGCCCTCCTGGTCCTCTCTCCCCAAAGCTGCGTCGGCTAGGGTATGTCCCTCCTGGTCGTCCTCCCTCCCCAAAGCCTTCTCCGCCAGGGTAGATTCCTCACCCACTCCCGCTTACCGTTTTACATGCACTTAGTACCAAGCATTATTTTATATAACTTACGTACACTTTGTACGGGAGATATTACTACGTAGCACACCTATACCTCATACAAAACATATTGTTAACAAACATACATCACTTCGTACCAAATATATGATTCAGCAACCTTCTACTTAGTACGAAACACAAGGTTATGTAACGCACTCATTCTCCCTTTTCTGCCATCCTATAATCGTCCCTTTTGCCCCTTCCTACTCTGTGCCCCGCATGCTTGTCCGGAACATGCCAATTAAGAACCTTTTTTTTTTTTTTTTTTGGCAATTTTGATATCTCCCCTTCGCCCCTTCCACTCCGCATGGCAGGTGGTGATCCGGCACGTGCCGAACCAGAATCCCGACCGCCTGGTGCATCGCTTCCGGGCGCACGTGGCTCATGAGTTTGCCAAGCTGCGATCCGCGGGGAACTCCATAGCTGTCACTGTGGAGCATGTCGGCGACTGGTGAGTGGCGGTTGCACACGCACACAGGCACACTGGTGAGTGGTGAGTGGGCTCACACACACACACACACACACACACACACACACACACACACACACACACACACACATACATGCAGGTGGTTGGCCAACCTCTCCTACTACTTCTAGTAGCTCGCAATGCCCATGCACCCAGTGCATGTCCGAGTGTCCTTCATTCCATGTCTGCACATCCTCCGTTGTTTGCACGCCCCTATCCGCCAGGTGGTTGGCAGACCCCTCCTGCTCCTTCTACCAGCTAGCAGAGAAGTGCATTCACAGGCACTGGGACATGCCGCCCATGTGAGTCTTAAACCCTCACTGCCACTGGGACATGCCGCCCATGTGAGTCTTAAACCCTCACCTCCACTGGGACATGCCGCCCATGTGAGTCTTAAATTCTCACTGCCATTGGGACATGACGCCCATGTGAGTCTTAAACCCCTTCGAGCCTTAAGCCCCTTCATTGCCAGTGCATTCACTGCCACTGGGACCTACCGCCCATGCAAGTCTTAAACCCTTTCACTGTCACTGGGACCCCTTCACCTGGTGTTATTCCTTTGCATTCCTTTTGACATTTGTCAACTTGTAGTTACCGAATAGGCGGTGTGTCTCAGGTGTACGCTCCATGTCGCGTATCCATGTCAGCTTTTTTTCCCGAGAGAGGGCAAAAGCCACATCCTCTCGAAAGGATTTGAGGATGCGAGGAATGCGGCTCCAAAAGAAGCATTCCAGTGCAGAGCTGTAGAATCAGGAGGCAACGTCTCCTGTGCCTCAAATGCTGTCAATCCATCCTGGTTTCCCATTCCCCTTGTCCAGCCTCTGGACTTCTGTCTATTCTCAGGAGCATCGTTGAGAGCACAGTGTGAGGAACCTGAACGGCCCTGCCCATCGTCCTTGCCTATCGTCCCTGCCAACCGCCTTCTACCTCCCCGTGCTATCCCCTCCTCCATGCTCACCCGCAACAGGTACATCAGGGAGGGCGGCACGATGCCGGTGGTGCCATTTCTAAGGTCAGCCTTTTACCTTCTCCTCCTGCTTGTTTCCTCCCCCATGCCCACCCCCACAGGTACATCAGGGAGGGCGGCACGATGCCGGTGGTGCCTTTCTTGGAATCGGCCTTGGGAGCGCCGGCCATCAAGATTCCCATCAGCCAGGCCACCGATGGCAGCGCACTCCAGGTGGGCCTCAGGCTGCTTCTCAAATGCTTGTAACAGACAGCTGATTGCGTCAGGTAGGTGAGGCCACCGATGGCAGCGCACTCCAGGTGGGCTTCAGGCTGCCTCTCAGGTGGCTGCATCAGATGCTCGTTTATTTCAGGTGGATCAGAGATTTCTTACATGCGGTTGCTTGCAACGGATGGCAGTTTGCTTCCTTCAGGTGCGTGCCTACACTTCTTAGAAATGGTCCTGCTTCAGGTGCCTTCAGGTGCACCCCCAATCAGACGCGGTTGTGATTCCGGTGAAGGGCAAACCCATCTCTCTGCTTCCATCCTCCAATCCCTGAACCCTTATTTGCGCCCTCCTTATCTCTTTGCCATGTGGCAGAATGAACGGCTGGGATGGAGCCACCTTATCAAGGGCAAGGATGTGATCAGGGACTTTATCAAGGCCCTGGGGGATGGAAGCCGCAGCTGCTGATGTGGTCACCATCCATTGCTGATGTCAGCACCCCATTGCTGACGCCAGCATCCCGTTGCTGCTGTCAGCGTTGGCTGCTGCTGATGTCAGCCTTACCATGGCCTGCCCGGTGCAAGTGAGTGGGAGAGGTTGGTGTCCTCTGCACTGGCAATGCGCATTGCAAGATGGCAAGTATGTTTCTGGAATGGAATGCCATGTTTTAGTGGTGTATGGGGCTTGTGCACCGAGAGGTTTACTACCTATCGAGGCATGGAGGGGTGGGGAGTCATGTGGTGAGGGATCATGGAGAAACAGTTATATTCCGTCATTACTGGGGCATATGGTGGTTATACCATACCAACAAGTATTGGTAGTTGTTGAGGAAGCACCAGCTCTATTTGTGAGTCGGTGTGTTGTACCCGTAATTATGGGAGAATGTATATACAGGTCCCATTTTTGTAGTATTAGGCCTCCTTTCCTCCATGGTACCATCCTTGTAAGAAGATATAACAGTGTACGTTCAATCTTCTGAAGTGTACTACTCAGACACACTCCCTTGATAACCAGGTAGTGCATTTTCTTGAACGCTTCCCCTTCTCAGCTTGTCATCAGATTCAACCTGAGGCAGTATGGACATCATAGCACAGCCGTCTCTACCTCACATCACATCTTTATCCTTCTCTTCTTTTTGCACCAGCACAACACGGTACTGCATATTACCCGGGGGTGTTGTATTTTGGGGGGGGTCTTCTATCCGGGGGAATACAGTACTGCACAGCAGAAGCCTACCTTTATGTAAGGATTGAGCATTTCAGCTTGCGCACTGCACCACATCCTTGACATATTGTATACTCGATTTTACAGTAGAGCATTGATGAGTTTCCCAGGGCCTTCCTATGCCTAATGTGCAACAGCCATTACAGGAGTCTCTCAATGAATTTTGAGCATCTTTATATAATAAAGGAAGGTTTCAACAAATCAAAATAGGCTGTCAGACCGCGTGTTATCCTTGCACACTTCGTATCACTAAAGTAATATCTACTTAATCACAGCGCACTGCCTGGGCCCGGGGTCCTCCCTCAGGCAGTGGTCAATAGCGATCACAGCAGCCTCAATTGCCGCATCCTCGCCCTTCCCCACCCAGCAGACCCCATACCCCACCCACCCTACCCGTGCAGCATTGCAGCAGCAGCTGCATCTACTTGATCTCAGCGCACTGCCTGGGCCCGGGGTCCTCCCTCAGGCAGTTATCAATAGCAATCACAGCAGCCTCAATCGCCGCGTCCTCGCCCTTCTCCCGCCAGTAGAACACGTTTCCGTACTTGCCTGCTAGCCGGCTCCAGAAGCTTCTGGGAACCGACAGGTCCACGGTTGCACCGACATTGAAGTTCAGTAGGTTGCCTGAGTTGCAGGGAGCCGGGGAGAAAGGCAGGGTCGCAGAAGATACGACATTGGGGCGAGAAAGAGTGGATCACAGACAATGCCCATCCACCATGCACCATGCCCATTAGCCGCGCAGCATAACCATGCCGGAGATGCACTCACCCATGTTGGGGTCAGCTACGAACACCACAGTCTCGTCATCCACCCCCCAGTAGTCCCGAATCGCCAACCCTGCCATGGAAGCACAGCACAGAAGGGCGGCCGCACAGCAGCAGGCAAGAACAAGTGGTAGATGAGAGGAAGGAGCCGGAGGGAGGGGGACGTTGGTGGTGATTTCTACTAAATCACGCGACACGTGGCAGGAAGTCGAAAATTATGCACATTGTTGCTCTCTCTTTGCAATTTACCCGGAGTGTTAGGGTAGTTTTGCGCCAGTATCCTCAGTTTATACCCCGTGTCCTGCTCCAGTCTCTCCACGTCCTTAGCCAGCCGTTGCTCCTGCGATCAGGGACGGAGGGAAGAGGGGAGACAAAGGAAAAGCAACTTCGACGATTTGATGGCTAGACCAAACGGATAACCCATATTTGATAGATGCACCAAGATTAATTGCTTTGAGAGGACTGAAGAGACTCTGGTGAGTCAGAACAGTCCATAAATGACTATTCCCGCAGCAAGTTGGCACTCATACTCACCCTCTCGCACACGCTCACACCCTCTCACCCTCTCACGATTAGCGAAGTCCTCTCTCACTCTCTCACCCATCCTGACGGCTAGCCGTCTAGCTCACCTGGCCGGCGGAGAGGAACCCTGCGACGTCAATGACGGTGGTGAACTCTTTGGGCAGCAGCTCCGGCTTGTTCACCCCTTCCGGCCGCGCCTCGGCAATCCCTAGGCCTACAGGAATCGCGATTCCCGAGACGTTGGGGAGGAGACAGCCGGGGCTTAACTGGTGCGGATGTAAGCTATGATGTTTAAAAATCACAATTTAGACAGCAGCAAGCAACCACATTATGGCTTCACCATGCCACCATGCAGTGATGAAATGAATGACACTCACGTCGGGAGAATGCAATGCGGCACGTGCGCATACTCAATGGTTCGTTTTGTCGAATTTAAATAGTGTGAGAAGGAGTGAACGACTTAGTACGCATTACATATTTCTCCCTTCCATATTGCCTTCATGCGTTGATCCGTCGTAAATGCTGCTGCGGGAGGTTGCGGCGATAGGCACCACTTTCGGGTCTTCGCAAATCAGCGAAGTTCCTTCACCCGGTCATAGTGGATTTCGCACGAGAAAACCTACTGCCCAAGCAACGGGATTGGCGAAGGTGTTACCTGCCGACAGGGCGACGCCGACGCTTGCGGACGTGGCGACGACAAGCTTCGCGGATTCTTGCGCCAATCTCGCGACTTCGTGCTTCCAGGCAGCTCCGTCCTTCACGGAGCTGTCGGATTGCGACGGGGCCTGCGAGTGTGCACGAATGGACGAAATTCGCCGAAGAGGTAACTTCGTTGACGAAGGATCAGCAGAGCTGCTGTTGGCTCCTGCAGACATCCGCTGCCTCTGCAGCGACGCAGGGATGGCCATGGCGCGAACCGCGGTGGCAGCAGCCATTGTACGAACGTGGAAAGCAGAGAGAAATGGCTACTAGAAGGAGACGAAACGGAGCCACTGGGATAAAGAATAAAGCTAATGAACGTCAAAGACGAAAGTAGAACTTCGTGACTCGTGACTGAAAAACTGGGTCGAATGTGGGAAGTTGAATGCTCGGGCGCCGTACACTTCAGCGTTCGCCGTACGCTTCAGTGTTGAGTCAACATTCGTCGTGGCGTTGCTCGAGCCACAGAGCTGACGACAGCCTTCGCTGATCTGACGAGGCAGCACGTAACTCGAAATGCCACGTAAGCCAATAACAAACGTGGCATCAGCTCCACCAGTGCTCACCTAACAACCGCATCTGTGCCTTACATTGAACGATGCGATTAGCCTGGAAATGCGAACGACATGTTTCACTCATTTAATCCAGCTATAAATTAGGAGGAAAAAAACAAACCAACAGCTTCATTATACTACATAACACTGGACTGGAGCGCTGATCAGTATTACATCTCATGATACAGAGCCATTGAAGCAACATAACACCACGCAAGCTCATGAATATGATTCAAGTTACAACAGCTGAGGGTACACCTCCCCTTGTATATCTACACCCCCTCTCATCCTTGCAACCACCATTTCCACCCCGTCCTTCCCCCTCCTTCCTCTAGGCTCATCCCCACACATCCTTCCTTTCCCCTTGAGACTTGCCACCAGCTCCTCCCCCTCCACCTTCACCACGTCCCTCCTCACCCCCACATCCAGCGCCACTCGGCTCAGGCTGTACGACCCTGCACACTCACACACTTATTTAGACCATTTAAAAATGGAACAAAACAAACAAACAAACTAATTTCCGTCCTTCAAATCCTGGTACTAACACTTCCATCCTCTCCCATCCCCTCCCATTCCCTCCCACCACTTCCCATCCCCATCCACACCCGCCCATCCCATTGGCGAACACAGCAGCAGCCACGAGGGGACCTGCAAGCAGCAGGGGCACCGCAGCAGAGGCAAAGTTGAACCCAAAGAAGGCAGCGGCCTGGCCAATGGTGCCCACGCGAGTCTTGTCCACGATACAGCTATACTTTCAGCCATCAACCTAACATTTCTGCTGAACTGACACTCTCATCCCTTCACATCCCTCCCATCCCCGTCCACCTGCTCTCATCCTTTACCACCCCCTCCCACCCCTTCCATCTCACCAGCAAAGACAGCAGCCGCAGCCAAAGGCCCAACGAGCAGCAGGGGCACAGCGGCAGTGGCAGAGGGGAAATTGAACCCAAAGAAGGCAGCGGACTGGCCGCTGGTGCCCACGCGACTCTTGTCCAGGATGAGACCTCCGTTCTCATCAACCTGCTGCTGGTGCCAGCACTCCCATCCCCTCCCATCCCCTCCCAACCCCTCCCGTCCACTCCCATCTCCCTCTCATCTCACCTGCGAACACAGCAGCTGCAGCCAGGGGCCCAACGAGCAGCAGCGGCACGGCGGCAGTGGCAGAGGCGAAGTTGAACCCAAAGAAGGCAGCGGACTGGCCGCTGGTGCCCACGCGAGTCTTGTCCACCACGAGTGCACGCGTCTTGCAGTACACGGCAAAGTCCTCACAGTTGTTGTCCAGAACATGGTACCGCCCAAAACCCTCCTTTAAAAGCAGACGAGCCCTGCAGGAGTGCCAAGGGTGGTAATCGAATTGCAAAAAAAACCAGCACAAGTCATGATAAGGGTGTGGGACTTGCAGTACACGGCGAAGTCCTCACAGTTGTTGTCCAAAACATGGTACCGCCCAAAGCCCTCTTTTAATAGCAACCGTGCCCTGCAGGGGAGCAGAGAGTGAAAAGTCGGATCATTCCAGAATTACCACTAGTCATGATAAGGGTATGGGTCTTGCAGAACAAGGCAAAGTCCTTACAGTTGTTGCCCAGCACGTGGTGGCAAGGTAAAAATATAGTCGTTCTTTTTAACGTTTACCGTAAAATACTGTATCATGTAATAGGCAATCGTAGAGCGATTTCAAAAACACTGCTGTTTCTATTAACCTTGCATGGAAACCCCCAAAGCCCTCCTTTAAAAGCAGACATGCCCTGTGGAGAGCAGACAATGGGAGTCAAAACCCACCCTTCACGACGACGATGGGGTGGGTTGTGCAAAACCCACCCTTCACAAAAACACATGATCACGCCTCGATACAAGCACACTTATCTCAGCACAGCATGGGAAGCATCAGGAACCCTGATGCTGCACGTGCCAACCAAATGCTCCATAGCACACATGCCATGCTCACCCACATACCTCTGCACCACAGCATGGAACGGCCATGCTGCACGTGCCGCCATGCTGCACGTGCCGCCACGCATCTGCAGGCAAAGTCCCTGTCTCTCTGTCTGCCCTGACATGCCTCTCTACAAGCACACTCAACCGTACCTCTGTACCACAACATGCGGCACATCAATATTTCCTCGCATACCCTTGCAGCATAGCATGAGGAGCATCAGGCTCAGCCATGCTGCACGTGCCGCCTCGCATCTGCAGGCAAATTCTCTGTCTCTGTGCCCTGACATGCCTCATTCCCTACAACCGCACTCAACCCTACCTCTGCACCACAGTATGTGCCGGATCAGGCACTGCCATGCTGTACGTGCCGCCGCGCATCTGCAGGCAGAAGCTCCCCACTGACACGCCGTAGTCGAATCTGAACAGCCCGTATGTCCTGTCATGCCTCCCTACAAGCGCACTCAATCCTACCTACCTCTGCACCACGGCATGTGCCGGATCAGGCTGGGCCATGCTGCACGTGCCGCCTCGCATCTGCAGGCAGGAGCTCCCCACCGACACGCCGTAGTCGAATCTGAACAGCCCGCCGCCGTGCAGGAAGCACCGCAGGCACGACGAGATCACGCCGTGGCTGCTATCCTCCGTGCCACAGGCTCGGCACGGCGCTGAACCTGCACCGCCGGTTGTAGTGGTGCGTTGAATGGCGGGGGAGAGGGAAGTAGCGTAGTCTAGGAGGGCGTTGGAGCCGATCTCGTCTGCCTGCTGTCGCGTGAAGTGAATCACCTCGTCCGCTCCCACGTACACTCCTGCGGTAGACAAACGGTGGGGGAGAGGAGTAGGGAGGCATTCGTGTTAAGAAGCGTCGTACTGCTGCAGATGGCTTGATATGCATCCACTTAAACTCCCGAGTAGAGGGTGAGATGGAACGACATTCCGTTTTAAGCACGAGTTACCATGGTGAGAATAAGACATGCCGATGCGGCACGAGAAGAGTGGTCGCCCGCCTTCAGCTCGTCTCGTGTCGATGCAGTCTCAGAGTCACATCACATGCGACCAACAGAATGGATACGGTTTTACGATAATACACGCGGTACCATGGTGAGAGTAAGACATGCCGATGCGCCACGAGAAGATGTGGGCACCAGACTTCAGCTCGTCTCGTCTCGTGTAGATGCAATCTCAGATGCAATCATCAGAATGGCTAGGGTTACAATAACACACGCGGTACCATGGTGAGAGTAGGACATGCCGATGCGCCACGAGAAGATGTGGTCGCCCGCCTTCAGCTCGTCTCGCCGCACCTCCGCGGGATGCCACAACCCCCCCGCGCCGATCAACATGTTTTCCGCGCCGAAATGCGAGCGTTGGCAAATCTTACGACTATGTCTGCTTCGCCTCCATACGTACAGGACGATTCGATATATGTACAATAAAACCTCCGTGCTTCTTTTTTAGAACCGAGACTCCGTTATAGCATTCTTCAACATAAGGTGCGAGGCGATAGAACCACTGCCTCCAACAGTTGATCCTGTCTCGGTGACGAAGTCGCGAAGACTTTCTGGCACGCTCTGATGAACGGTTCGCGATAGCCTAGAGGTATAAACTGAGCAGCTCGCAGTAAGGGGGACACAACGATAACTGTCCACGCGTGGCTTCCTAGACCTAGACTATGACGGTCGTTCCGTCCCCGTCCCGTCATCCTAACAGAAGCGAGAACTGATATCGCTGAGGAGGTGGCGGCGACGGGCAAATGAGGCGAGGGTGGTGGTGGTGGAATCGGCAGCAGCCGGGAAGTTTCAAGAATCCCATCCAACCTCGAAGTTGCCGCACCCTGCTGTACGCGATTGAGCGACTAACGTGAGCCACTCTTAGCATGCTGCACTAGCAGGGGTACATGTCATTTGAAATTACCATAGTATATGACATGCGTTGCATTTATTGACATGAGTGTAAACCATTCTTCAATATCAGATACTCTACACTCCCTCACAATCCTAATCCACCTCAAAGTATACACAAAAAGCCACTGGGCACAAACCCATTGATGATATAATCTCCAGGGCGATGGGACTAATCTCCACAAGCTAATGCACTGGCCGGCCCGACCGTGTTCGTGCCGACATCGACAGCCAAACTTGACAACAGCCACAGATGCTGACAACAGCAAAAGATGCTGATGTCAGCAGCTGTGGCTGCCATCCCCCAGAGCATTGACAAAGTCCCTGATCACATCTTTGCCCTTCATGAAGTGACTCCATCTCAGCCGTTCATTCTGCAACATTCCAACCAGGTAGGGAAGAGCGATGAGCGATGGAGGGGGGGGGAGCAGACAATGCAAGGGAAGAAGAGACTTGAGGAAGATACGCCCCTCTGTTGCCACCCACCTGAATCACACCTGCTGTCAATAGTTACCCATCTGAAACAAAACGCCCGTCTGTTCCAACCACCTGAGAAGATTCTTGTCTTCCACCCAAAGGAAATGACCGTCTGTTGCCACCACCTGAGAAGCACCCTGAGGCCCACCTGGAGCGCGCTGCCATCGGTGGCCCCACCCACCTGAGAAGCACCCAGAAGCCCACCAGGTGCGCGCAGCCGTCGGTGGCCTTATCAACCTGAGAAGCAGCCTGAGGCCCACCTGGAGCGCGCTGCTCCCACCCACCTGAGAAGCACCCTGAGGCCCACCTGGAGCGCGCTGCCGTCGGTGGCCTGGCTGATGGGAATCTTGATGGCCGGCGCTCCCAAGGCTGCCTCCAAGAAAGGCACCACAGGCATCGTGCCACCCTCCCTGATGTACCTGTGAGGAGGTTGGGGATGGGGGAGGAAACAAGCAGGAGAAGGTACAAGGCTGATTTCAGAAACGGCACCACCGGCATCCCGCCGCCCTCCCTGATGTACCTGTGGGGGGTGGGCATGACGGAGAAAAGAATAGGCTGATTCTTAAAAAGGCACCACCAGGATCGTACCGCCCTCCTGATGTACCTGTGGGGGGTGGGCATGACGGAGAAAAGAATAGGCTGATTCTTAAAAAGGCACCACCAGGATCGTACCGCCCTCCCTGATGTACCTGTGGGGGGTGGGCATGACGGAGAAAAGAATAGGCTGATTCTTAAAAAGGCACCACCAGGATCGTACCGCCCTCCCTGATGTACCTGTGGGGGGTGGGCATGTCGGAGAAAAGAATAGGCTGATTCTTAAAAAGGCACCACCAGGATCGTACCGCCCTCCCTGATGTACCTGTGGGGGGTGGGCATGACGGAGAAAAGAATAGGCTGATTCTTAAAAAGGCACCACCAGGATCGTACCGCCCTCCCTGATGTACCTGTGGGGGGTGGGCATGACGGAGAAAAGAATAGGCTGATTCTTAAAATGGCACCACCAGGATCGTACCGCCCTCCCTGATGTACCTGTGGGGGGTGGGCATGACGGAGAAAAGAATAGGCTGATTCTTAAAAAGGCACCACCAGGATCGTACCGCCCTCCCTGATGTACCTGTGGGGGGTGGGCATGACGGAGAAAAGAATAGGCTGATTCTTAAAAAGGCACCACCAGGATCGTACCGCCCTCCCTGATGTACCTGTGGGGGTGGGCATGACGGAGAAAAGAATAGGCTGATTCTTAAAAAGGCACCACCAGGATCGTACCGCCCTCCCTGATGTACCTGTGGGGGGTGGGCATGACGGAGAAAAGAATAGGCTGATTCTTAAAAAGGCACCACCAGGATCGTACCGCCCTCCCTGATGTACCTGTGGGGGGTGGGCATGACGGAGAAAAGAATAGGCTGATTCTTAAAAAGGCACCACCAGGATCGTACCGCCCTCCCTGATGTACCTGTGGGGGGTGGGCATGACGGAGAAAAGAATAGGCTGATTCTTAAAAAGGCACCACCAGGATCGTACCGCCCTCCCTGATGTACCTGTGGGGGGTGGGCATGACGGAGAAAAGAATAGGCTGATTCTTAAAAAGGCACCACCAGGATCGTACCGCCCTCCCTGATGTACCTGTGGGGGGTGGGCATGACGGAGAAAAGAATAGGCTGATTCTTAAAAAGGCACCACCAGGATCGTACCGCCCTCCCTGATGTACCTGTGGGGGGTGGGCATGACGGAGAAAAGAATAGGCTGATTCTTAAAAAGGCACCACCAGGATCGTACCGCCCTCCCTGATGTACCTGTGGGGGGTGGGCATGACGGAGAAAAGAATAGGCTGATTCTTAAAAAGGCACCACCAGGATCGTACCGCCCTCCCTGATGTACCTGTGGGGGGTGGGCATGACGGAGAAAGAAAATAAGAGGCTGATACTAAAGTCGGCACCACCAGGATCGTGCTGTACTACCTGATATACCTGTGGGGGGTGGGGATGGCATAGGAAACACGCAGGAGAAGGTACAAGGCTGATTTCAGAAACGGCACCACTGGCATCGTGCCGCCCTCGCTGATGTACCTGTGGGGGTTTGGTTGGCACAGGAAGGCAGATGCAATTCAGTGCGCCCATTTGCCACCTTCTTCTGGTTACCACAGGATCATGCCCCGTGCCCAAATCCCTTCGTAATTTTGACCCAGAAACCACCTCTGGTTACCACAGGTTCAAGCCTCATGCGCTGCTCTACCGAGGAGAGCTTGACCTGCTGCTGACATGTCCTGCTGTGTCAAGGCTCGCCGTACCATCCAGGACCTTCAGCACAGAGCGCACGCTCCGCTCCATGACCATGCTTCGACTGACATAGAACACCAAGAGGCATAGCAATTGAAAAAAAATCGAAACTATGAGCTCACATAGGGGCCAAAACCAAGCACTTAATAAAATGAGGCTTTTGCTTGTTTGTTTGTTTGTTTGTTTGTTTGTTTGTTTTTTTTCAATCATTATTATTAAATTTATTTATTTCACACGCCTTAGAAGGCACATTAGGAACGGAGAACCTACATGGGTGGCAGGTTCCAGTGCTGCTGAATGACCTTCTCCGCTAGCTGGTAGAAGGAGCAGGAGGGATCCGCCAACCACCTGTGAGGGGGCCGGGGGAGGAGTGCAACGAATTGGAGATGTCTAGACATGCACAGGTGATGTGGGTTGAATGAACATTAAGAAATGAGTGCAGGTGCATGTGCATGCTTGCAATGTACTGTTTAATACATAAGCAGTGTACATTGTACTGTGATGAACAAGTGTGCATTCATGTGCATCTGCGTGTGCGTGTGCATGTGTGTGCGCTTGTTCAGGCGCAGGTGCGAGTGTGTGTGTAGGGGGGGAGGGGCACTTGCGCGTGGCATGTGCCTGTGTGGGTCTATATTTGAGGGTGTGCACCCCACTTGTCACTCACCAATCGCCCACACCTCCATTCACCTGATCGCCCATGTGGCACTCACCAGTCACCCACGTGGCACTCACCACTCACCCATATGCCTGTGTGCGTGTATGCGTGTGTGAGCCCACTCACCACTCACCAGTGTGCCTGTGTGCGTGTGCATCACACCGCCACTCACCAGTCGCCCACGTGCTCCACAGCAACGGCCACTTGGTTCCCCGCGGATCGCAGCTTGGCAAACTCATGAGCCACGTGCGCCCGGAAGCGATGCACCAGGCGGTCGGGATTCTGGTTGGGCACATGCCGGATCACCACCTGCCATGTGGAAGCAAGGACTGAACGGGAGTGTTCAGAATTGACAAGAACAACTGGTCCTGGTTCGGCACGTGTCATATCACCACCTAGGGCACGGAAAAACAAGGAGTGAACGGGAGTGTTCAGAATTGACAAGAAAAAATGGCTCTGGTTCGGCACGTGCCGGATCACCACCTGGGGCACAGAGTAGGGAGTAGCGGAGAGGAAGTGCAAACTTTGTTTCAGCATCCCGATAACAAAAGCCTCTGAGCGCATTGCGCAACAAATCAAAGGGAAGAGGCCACGGGACGTAGTCTGGCAGGATTTGAGGGGCCTGAGAGCGAGCGGACTGGAAAACATAACAAGTAGGAAGAGGCTGGGGGGCGTAGTCTATATTGGACGTTGCCAGGGGTTGAAAGGCATACCCTGGCGGAGGCAGCTTTGGGGAGGGAGGAGCACGAGGGGAGGGGGTGAGGGCTCGGGCATGGGTAGAGAAACTTACCCTAGCGGAAGCAACTTTGGGGAGGGAGGAGCAGGAGGGACATACCCTGGCGGAGGCAGCTTTGGGGAGGGAGGACCAGGAGGGCGCGCAGGAGGGCGAGGTGGAGACGCCCAGCACGCTCAGCGATGGGCTGCGCCAGCAGCTCTGCAGCACCTCCCTTGCTGTGCCCCCCGTCACCGTTGCCAGACCGTTGCGCGCCTGGCATGGAGGAATGGGAGTGAGAGGGGCAGAGCAGAGGATTCATGGAATATACTGTCAGAACTTGAGCTTAGAATCCATACATAAGTAACGAGCTCAAGGCTCTTTAAGTACATTGGAAATGGGCAAGGTAGGGGTGGGGAGAGAATCGGGGGCAATCCTAGGGAATCGGGGTTTATCCCAAGGCAATCTCCAATTGGTGGGTTGGAGATTGCTTGGAGATCACATTTGGGTTTGGTTGAGATGTGGGTGTACACCCAACTTAACACAATGTGCAAACTACACTAAACTATGATATAAAAAGTATTAACATGAGATTGAGATTGAGGACTAACATTAACATGTACTACACTGATGCAAACGCTGAAACACAGTGCATGTGGGTGTACCCTGGGTGTGCCTGCTGCTACTGATGCAAACACAGTGCTGATGTGCCCTGTGGGTGTACTACACTGATGCAAACACTGATGCAAACACTGATGAAACACAGTGCATGTGATACGGAAGAACCGACCACACCCACCCACCTTGCACCTCGAGTCAAAGAGCCGACCACACCCACCCACCTTGTATTCCTCTACTCGAAAGTGCAGCCCCTGGTACAACGCCTCCTCCTCCTCGTCCAATGGCTTCACATCGTCGTAAAACCCTGCTCAGAAGGAGAAGGAACACATACACTTTAGCTGCTTAAAAACCACAGCTCATGCTTTGCCTAGAGGAAAAACACGTCCTCCTCGTCCAATGGCTTCACATCGTCGTAGAACCCTACGAGCATGATTAGTTAGAACATTTTGAGTGAAGAAGAAAGAAACTAATCAAATGCTTGTGAATTTCGTTCTGCAAGGATGCAACACCATTGGAATCAAATTTAAGGAGCAGGAGAGGGGACTGTACCGGTGGCGAGCCCCACAACTGTTGGTGGATGAGAATGAGAAGGAGAATAGTCATGCTAATCATGAATGAAGAGCAGGAGAGGGGACTGTACCGGTGGCGAGCCCCACAACTGTTGGTGGATGAGAACGAGAAGGAGAATAGTCATGCTAATCATGAATGAAGAGCAGGAGAGGGGACTGTACCAGTGGCGAGCCCCGCAACTGTTGGTGGATGAGAATGAGAAGGAGAATAGTCATGCTAATCATGAATGAAGAGCAGGAGAGGGGACTGTACCAGTGGCGAGCCCCACAACTGTTGGTGGATGAGAATGAGAAGGAGAATAGTCATGCTAATTATGAATGAAGAGCAGGAGAGGGGACTGTACCGGTGGCGAGCCCCACAACTGTTGGTGGATGAGAATGAGAAGGAGAATAGTCATGCTAATCATGAATGAAAATCAGGAAAGAGGACTGTACCAGTGGCGAGTCCCACAACGTCGTCGGTGTGGCCGGTGAGGGTGGTGATGCAAAGCAGCAATGAGAGGTCCCACACCCTGATCGTGTTGTCCCTTGAGCCTGGAGAGAGGGGAACGGGGGAAGGAGCAGGACCGGACGTAAGGATGGGGCTTCAGAGTAGAGATGAGAGGTCGCACACCGTAATCATGTCTCTTGACCCTGAGGGAGGGGGGAAACGGGCAGAGGACAAGGAAAAGAGGGGGAATAGGCAAGAAGGGCTGACAGGGGTGATGAGATAAAGCAGAGCGAGACATCCCACAACCTTATTGAGCTGTTTCCTGACCATTGGGAGCAGGAGGGGACGCGGGTGCGAAAAGGACAAAAGGAGTGATGAGGCAACATGAGTGAAAGGGAAAGATGACAGGGAGGTGAGGGAGAACAAACCATGTCTGCAGCAAGTTACAGCCGCAGCATCTTACCCACTGACTCTTCAGCACATAACCAAGTGTCACAGGCACGACTGCTGTGAGTGGGCAGACTTGCAATGCAAGCAGGCTGGGAGAGGACCCAAGCGATTCACTCGAGCTGTCAATCACCCCATGATTTGCACACAGACTGGCATTTGAGGCCCTTTAAAAGCGTCTCTTAAAATCAGCACACGCACCGCTGAATAGGCGCCACAATGGCTCGGACGTTCCGGGAGGCGGTGCAAGGTGCGAGTTGGAGCAGTCAGAGGAGGAGTGGTGGGAGGAATGAGCCGCTGCATCAGCTGTGGCGAGCGCCATGACGCCCCCCTTGTGGCCGTGCAGCGTTGCCACCCACTCGCCCGTCACCAGCGACCATACCTGCGAGGAACAGAGATGGAAGGGAGATTGAAGTTGAAGAAAAGGGATAGATAGATGGATGATGGAATGAGAAGAGGTTTGAAAGCTGAATTAAAGGGTTCCCTGTAAAGCATTGCCATCCACTCGCCTGTCATCAAGCAGCATGGATGAAAAAGGGAACAAGACGGAACAAGACGAGGAAGACAAAGGACGGATTGAGTTGAGGTTGATGCTTGAGGGGCTAGTCAGCGAGTAGGTGGAAAGGGTTGGGACGGAGTGCAGTGCCACCTCCATGCCACAGCTGCTTTTGAGATATCTCAAACGCTTTTGAGAACTTCACGTATGACAACCCAGCCCAGTCCAGCACCCACCTTGACAAAGGTGTCACCCGTGCCGCTACAGATGAGGGGGTCTGCTACAGCGAGAGCATAGACGCAGCTGCAGTGGCCATTCTTGTTCGAATCCGTCAGCACCAGCGCTGCCTCCGTGCTCTTGCACACCGTGCCAACACCTCTCCCCTCGCCTGCCCCTTCTGGCCCTGCCCCCCTTCCTGTCCTTTCGGCCCCTCCTGTCCCTCCCACCACTGCCCCCCCTGCTCCTCCTCCAGTGTGCTGTGCCTCCGGTGCTGCGCTGCTCATCTGCCCATTGATCTGACCATTCACCTGACCACTCACCTGCCCATTCATGTAACCATTCATTTGACCACTCACCTGACCGTTCACCTGGACGTTCACCTGACCGTTCATGTAACCATTTTTCTGGCCGTTCATTAAACCATCTGCCTGACCATTCTCCTGGCCGTTCATGTAACCATTCATCTGATTATTCACATGACCATTCGCGTTATCTTTCATGTAGCCATTCGTCTCACCATTCACCTGACTATTTACATGAACATTCATGTAACCACTACCATACACCTGACCATTCATCTGACCTGTCACCTCCTCCGTCTCCTCCTGCTCCCCTTCGCTTACCACTGCCACAAACGAGCTTCCTAACCTGCCTGCCGAGCGATGGAACGAACCTGCTGCCACACCAGACCTACCCTCTTCCAGGTGGCTGTACAGGTGAGCTTTGGGTGAGAGCGATTGGCTCGAATCGCCGAACCCAACCCGAACCACATGCCCACCAGACCCCACTGCTGAAGCACCACTGCCTAGTACCGAGCCGGGGCCTTGGGTTTGGGCTTGAACCTGAGGTACGGCAACAGGACGAGCAGCAGCAGAAGCAGTGTCAACGGCTGAAGCCTGGGCCCAAAGGGTTTCTTCCAAAGACAGTGGTTCCCATATGGTCCCACCTAGTGCTGCCCCTGCTGCTGCTGCTGCTGCTGCTGCTGCTGCTGCTGCTGCTGCTGCCGGTGCTAACACTCTTTTTCCTGCAGCTGCTGAATTTTCAGGGGTAGTGATGCTGTTTCCACTGGCTGTTAGCTGAGAGTTGTTTAGCTGAGAGGAACTGCGACCAGTGGAAGTTAATGCGCCATCCTCTCCTGCTGCCACTGCAGCTGCGGCTGCTGCAGCTGCTGCCATGGCAGCTGGCGACCTGTGATTGGCTGCCACAGGCGATGGAGAGAAGGCAGCAGAAGCAGACGTAGAACTGGCAGCAACGGCATGTTGTGAGACTGAAGCTTCTAGCATAGTTGAGGCATCGGGAAAGGACGAACCGGAGGAAAGCACGAAGTGCTGCATGCTGTACAGATGCCTCAACTGCCGCTGCCCGCTCTCCTCATCCTGCCACTGCCCCTGGCCCTGCCCATTCACCACCCCACCTCTCATTCCCATTCCCCCTTTCTTCCCAGCAGCAACCCCACTAGTAACAGCAGCGGCTGAAGCCCTGGTGCAGCGAACAATGGAGGTGCCTGCAGGGCCGGCCACGGACCTTCCGAGGGCGAGGGCGAGTGCAAAGACGTCCCCATCGGAGTAGCGGAGAGTGGAGAGGAGGCAGGCAGGGAGAAAAAGAGAGAGAGGGAGAGAATGAAAGCGAGGCAGGCAGGGAGAAAGAGAGAGAGAATGAAAGAGAGGCAGGAGAGAGAGAGAGAGAGAGAGAGAGAGAGAGAGAGAGAGAGAGAGAGAGAGAGAGAGAGAGAGAGAGAGAGAGAGAGAAAGCGAGGCAGGCAGGGGGGAAAGAGAGCGAGGGCGAGGGCAAAGACGTCCCGATGGGAGTACCTGAGAGTGGAGAGGAGGCGGAAGGTCTTGGTGTCCCAGATCTTGACGACGCGGGTGGAGGAGCTGTAGAGGCGGTCGTGGTGTACGGAGAGGGAGAAGATGGTCTGGCTGTGCCCCGCCAGCGTGCACACGCACCGGAAGTCCCGCAGCTCGTACAGCGTGATCAGCCCGTCCTGCGACCCCGCAAACACGCGCTTACCATCCACCGCCAGCGCCAGCACCGCCTGCCGGTGCTTCGCCATCGCGTGCCGCGGCCTGTCCGTCACACGAATGCCCTCTGGTGGGGGAACTGTGGTGGCCGCATGCCTCCTGCTTCTGACACTGCTGCTGCTGTTTGTGCTGTTGCCGCTGATGCCACCATTCCAAGACTGACTGCTGGGATACCCGTACATCTTCGCATCTCCATCGATATCGTCTTCATCGCTCTCCTCCTCGTCTCCAGCACTATCCCTGCCGTCCTGATCCCTGACCAGGTCTCGCAGACCCTCCTTCCAGCTGCCCGCTCCTCCTGCTGCTGCCCCTCCTGCTGGTAGCAACGCCGGTGACGCACTTCCAACAGCAGCTGAAGCAGCAGCAGGAAGAGGAGGTGGAGTGGTTGCAGTTGCAGAGAACGCCGTTTGAGAAGCGGTGCTTGAAACTGGAGACTGCAGCACCTGCTGTCGCCGTTGCTGCTGCTGAGCATCAGCAGGCATCCGTCGCCCCCTGCTCTGTGCTCGCCGGGGGCGCCGGAGGGAGACCTTGAGGGAGGTTTGGGGGCAGCTGGCGAGGGCCTTGAAGGCGCGGGAGATGTCGCGAGCCACGGAGGGGGGCGGGTTGATGGGCACCAGCAGCACGTCCACAAACGAGCCCTTGAACCGCGTCATCACCACCATAGTGTTGCGCGGCACCTGGTGGAAGAGAGTTCAAGAGTGCCACATGTTGACAGACTCGCTCTTGAACCGCGTCATCACCACCGCCGCTGTGTTGCGCGGCATCTGACATGTGGGGAGAGTCGGGGGTAGAAGGAAGTTCAAGAGTGCCACATGTTGACAGACTCGCTCTTGAACCGCGTCATCGCCACCGCCGCTGTGTTGCGCGGCACCTGACATGTGGGGAGAGTGGGGGGTAGAAGGAAGTTCAAGAGTGCCACATGTTGACAGACTCGCTCTTGAACCACGTCATCACCACCGCCGCTGTGTTGCGCGGCATCTGACATGTGGGGAGAGTGGGGGGTAGAAGGAAGTTCAAGAGTGCCACATGTTGACAGACTCGCTCTTGAACCGCGTCATCGCCACCGCCGCTGTGTTGCGCGGCACCTGACATGTGGGGAGAGTGGGGGGTAGAAGGAAGTTCAAGAGTGCCACATGTTGACAGACTCGCTCTTGAACCGCGTCATCACCACCGCCACTGTGTTGCGCGGCACCTGACATGTGGGGAGAGTGGGGGGTAGAAGGAAGTTCAAGAGTGCCACATGTTGACAGACTCGCTCTTGAACCGCGTCATCACCACCGCCGCTGTGTTGCGCGGCACCTGACATGTGGGGAGAGTGGGGGGTAGAAGGAAGTTCAAGAGTGCCACATGTTGACAGACTCGCTCTTGAACCGCGTCATCACCACCGCCGCTGTGTTGCACGGCACCTGACATGTGGGGAGAGTGGGGGGTAGAAGGAAGTTCAAGAGTGCCACATGTTGACAGACTCGCTCTTGAACCGCGTCATCACCACCGCCGCTGTGTTGCGCGGCACCTGACATGTGGGGAGAGTGGGGGGAAGAAGGAAGTTCAAGAGTGCCACATGTTGACAGACTCGCTCTTGAACCGCGTCATCACCACCGCCGCTGTGTTGCGCGGCACCTGACATGTGGGGAGAGTGGGGGGTAGAAGGAAGTTCAAGAGTGCCACGTGTTGACAGACTCGCTCTTCAACAGTGGCAACCACTGTTCTGCCATCAGACACAACGAAGTTGAGCAGAGAGAGCTCACTTGGTGGCAATAATCATCGGACTAAACTTACTTGGTGGCAACCACTGTTCTGCCATCAGACACAACGAAGTTGAGCAGAGAGAGCTCACTTGGTGGCAATAATCATCGGACTATACTTGGTGGCAACCACTGTTCTGCCATCAGACACAACGAAATTGAGCAGAGAGAGCTCGCCTGGTGGCAATAATCATCGTATTAAACTAAACTCACTTGGTGGCAACCACCGTTCGGCCGTCGGAGACAACGAAGTTGAGCAGAGAGAGCTCGTCTGCCACGCCCGCCTCGCCACACAGCCGGTTCACCTCGTTGATCGTCGCCTCCATCTTTGCTACTAGCTCCTCTGCTTGCATCGCAGGCACAATGGGAGGTCAAGACGCAATGCACACACATGTATGTTTAAAGCTGCACGTGGTTGGTTCACCTCGATGATAATCGCCTCCATCTTCGCCACTAGCTCCTCTGCATGCACCGCAGGCGGGCGGGATGGGAAGTCAAGGAGATAGAACGCATGCATATATAGAGCTTTGTTTGGTTCACCATCTGAACCACTAGCTCCTCTGCCTTTCGCAAAGCGGACTCCATGGGACAGAGATGGTTATGTCATTGGTCAAACCGTTTCACTCATTCGGTGAAGACAATAACGATGTGAAGGGTCAGTGGTTGTGCCGCACTGCTCCTGCATTTGAATAAAGTATGAGAGAAGAAGCATGTGTCATGCACACAAAAATGCACGCATGCGCGTGCGCACATGCACACACGCGCGCGCGCGCGCACACACCTGGAGCGAGCTGCTGCATGGGGTCTTGGATTTGGTTGAGGAAGAGAGCAAAGCAGACTGCAGAACCGGACTCGTAGGAGGGGCACTGTTCGTACACATCATCCCGCAGCGAGTCCAGCATCTTCCGCCGCACCTTCTTGAAGCCCCCCACCCCGCCATTGTGCATCCATAGGTACCGCCCGCACACAAACGGCTGGGGGGGACGGTGTGGCGTGGGGAAGGAACAATGCTTTGAGAGAGTGAAAACGTCAGGTTATACCCCCCCTCTCCTCCCCTCCCCACTCCACCGTTGCGCATCCCCTGGTACCGTTGCACACAAACGTCTGGGGTACCAGGGCGCAAGAAAGGTTGGTACTGAGAGGAAATTCTTCTCCTTACTACCCCCTTCCCCCACTCCACCGTTGCGCATCCCCTGGTACCGTTGCACACAAACGCCTGGGGTACCTGGGCACAAGAAAGGTTGGTTCCGAGAGAAAATTCTTGTCCTTACTAACCCCTGCCCCACTCCACCGTAGTGCGAACGGCTGAGAGGGGATGTGGGAAGAGAAGAAGCTTCTTTTTGCGGGTAGACAGGTCTGTGCGCAGGTACATTGCGGAACCAGGTTGATCTCGAGAATTCTCAAAAACCAAACAGGCCCATACACAGGTACATTGTGCAACCTACGCACCCCACTCCGCCGTTCTGCCTCCAAAAGTACCAGCATTGGTTCGCTTAGTAATCACAGGATGAATGGTGCGGTGATCATGGGAAGCAACGGTTGCTAACGAGTCAGAATCAACGGCTGGCGGATGGCAGGAGCGATTCGTCCAGATACGGTGCACACAATGTGAAGGATTCACATGCCGGGTATGCGGGATGACTACGCAGCAACGAACAAGTTCCCTTGGGTTTCTCGAGATTGAACCGAGTGTCGCTCACACTACGATGGTTCCTAGCTAGTAGCAGGACGCAATCGTAGCAATAGAGCATCGAAAGACCTGGCAGTTTGCGTCATGGACGGAGATTCCAGAAAACGCCGCGCGAACGTGAGCGAAGATGAGTGGCGAAACGAGCTTATTCGCCAAGCGCTTGAGGTTAGCGTTGTTCCAGGCTGGCTGGACGGAGGAAAACACGCAAGGCGTCCGATCGTCTACAGCTACAGGACCGTTATTTTCCAGTAAGTACCACCCGATGCCAAATCCATCCCCGTTAAGATAACCGATACCCGTTACACGCTCCCTCGCGTCGTACGATTGACGGGTTAGCGATCTAGAGGGTTTGGTAACCAGATCGGCTAGGAGGCACGGCGTGCCTAAATATGCCATCATGCGACACATGGCGGCCGCTGTGCGGGGCGAGACGCCCAGTGTAGCATGTAGCAGATTAAGACTCTAAAACCCGCATAAAGAGATGTCGTATCTGTGCAAGACAGTCGTACTTTGTGTGACGGATGATGATGAACGGAAGGCAACCATCGGCGAGGCTGAAACGCGATCACGGCACCCCTGACTGCGTCCAGAGGGAATGAACCTTGCAAATGGGAAGCCGCAGCTGGCACCACCTACGATACACCAATCACAAGGGTTTCAAGTGCACTTTCGACAGTAAACGAATCTTGCAATGCGACAATATCAGGGGTGTCACGGCGAAGTTCTCGGCGACTAACGGATCTAGCCAATATATTCTATTTTCGCCAAGTTAGTTGAACATCATCCAAAATCAGGCGTCGGTGGGGAGGGAGACCCAAGCTTTGTTGTTTGTCAGGTCGTGTTCGGCCGAGGCCGTGGCGGAGCAGAAATTTTGTACCTCGACATCTGTACGGATGCCGAACAGTGCCAGTGATCCGGACGAGCAGCGTGACGATGATAGTTACCTGGCTGACTAGTATTCTTCGACAGAGTTTCGTAATGAGATCGCATGAACAGCTAAGGTTTCAAGGACAGATCGCCACACAACGATACAACGTCGACACGAAAACGGACACACTGCCCCCGGGACATGCGATTTGACTTTCTGACAAATCAAAAGCAAAAATATCGGTGAGGAGCAAAACTCGAAGTAAGGTTACGGCATGGAAGTTCCACGCCCATAGGTTCGTCCTACTGGGTTACCGTTTTCCAGTTTTGGATTGCGATTGGTCGACAGAGGAGTTGGCGATAGGATTGAGACTTCGTCGTCGAGATAACTCACTCGCAACACACTGGACGAAACGGTAACACAAGTCGAAAGGGAACGCAGCGAAACTAAGGAAGACAGACAGATCCAATGCAAGTAATGCGCGTGCTCCAAGCCCGCAATACGGGCCTTGCGAAGCTGAGCAACCTCAACGTAAAAGGGTGTTCAAAGTACCGCAAAACTCGACGTCGAAGTATGTCGGTGAATCCTGACGGTCGAAACTGTAGATCCGAGGGTTGAAATTCACCGACATTCCTCGACGTCGAGTTGTGCGGTACTTTGAACACGCTTTAAGGCAAGATTCCATATTTATTTCATGGAGGTAGCACCACCGCTCTACTACCCTAGTCAATTCCAGGTTCCAATTCGCTTCAGTTGACCAGAGGACCTAGATTCTTCGCTTAGTTGGCCTTAGTTCGCAGCAACGTGCTGACAATGTCTGATGCTGAAGGAGATTTACCGTCCCTATCCCCAGTCCCGCATCGCCGTAGACGTGTGTCGTTGAATCAATTACCGGACGACCCCATTTCCCTCATCTTCCGTTGCCTGAACAAGCAGTCACCCAGCTACTTCAATCATGCTCTTGTCTGTAAACGTTGGAATCGCCTCGCTTACCTTGCACAGACGTTCATCGCCAACAGTTCTTCCAGCCTTACAGCAGATGCTGCTCTTTTGGCATCCCTTTCCCGGTTCAAACATCTGACTTCTCTCACGATCAACAAGTGCGTTCTCGATCCAGACAATGACGATTTCCTCCATGGCCTAGGATCCGCCTGTCCAAGGTTGACTTATCTTGACCTGAACAACGGAGCCGAACGAGGGTTGACGTATGAAGGCTTAGATGCGCTCTTCACAAGCTGCACTGCGTTACAGTACCTCTCGCTTACCATGAGGACAGTCTACGAAGACAGCTGTGATTTGCCACCATCCTTCTTCGACCTTTCATCATTGACGGAGGCCAACCTTAATGTTGATTTCGCCTTTTTGCCTGATGAATTCGACAAGCTAAGGTCCCTGACTAAGCTGACACTCACCATTCTGTACAATGACCACCTCCCCGAATCAATCGTCCAGCTCACCAGATTGACCGAGCTGCAGTTACTAAAAAGTTCGAGTGCGTTTGATTCTTTACCTGACTCGTTTGGTGGGCTGAAGTCACTGGTCAAACTTAGCATTCGTTATGTGGGCATCACAGCTCTTCCTGACACCATCGGCCAGCTTCGGAACCTTCGAGAGGTTTACCTAGAGTATAGTCTCCTATCCGAGTTCCCGAGTTCTTTTTCGAGCTTGCTTCTCTTCAAGTTCTTGAGCTCGTGGAATGTCCAGGTTTTGAATCTCTTCCAAACGCAGTGTCGGGCCTAAGATCCCTCAAGACGCTAACTATCAGAGATAATACAGCCATGGTTTCGCTCCCTGACTCTCTCTGCGATCTTTCTAACCTCCGCATTTTGGTCCTCACAGCTTGCTCAGGGCTCACGGACTTACCACAAAATGTGGATCGCCTGTCCTCTCTTGAGCATCTCGTGCTGAGCCAACTCGAAAGCCTTACCCACCTTCCTGATACCCTCTCCAAGCTCTCCAATCTTCGCACTTTCTCCTTCAACTACTGCGACAAAGTTGAGAGGGTGTCTCCATCCCTCCTTGGGCATTGGAGCAGCCTTACGATTCTTGAGTTTGGGTGGCCAGCCAACTGCGTGACGTGCCAGGAGGATCAAAGTGCCTTCACGAAGTCTATCTGCCAGCTCTCGAATCTAAAAACGCTGCTCCTGTTTGGCCTTCCGGACTTGTACAGGCTTCCAGATGAGATGGGAAATCTTTCACATCTGCAGCGGTTGACTATCAGTTCGTGGCCTAAACTGATGAGTGTGGCTGAGTCCTTGAGCAGTCTGACCAGCCTCAGGACTCTCGTGATCACTGCATGTCCGAAACTTGCGCATGCTGAGCATGAGACAATCTCCAAGATTCCGAATCTGGAGAATGGATGTGTTGATGGTAGGGCTCTGGGAAACAGATTGTTTGGGAAGGGGGGAGTGAGCGAAAGGGGACAGTAGATGCAGTCCTTATTGCTGGATTGTGGGGGGCTGTGCTTAGTATAAGTGCATAGTGATTCCTGCCTTTGTATCTGGATGGTCAATATTGACAGGCCATACATGTCTTCACTCATTATCACCATCGTTACGGTATTGTCACCATTTTTAATTGGCTGGGTTCCACCCTTCGCTGTCGCTTCCATCTCATTCCAAGCTTTAATTATGTCCTCGCTGTCGCTGGGTTCACAGCAATGGCGTCATCGAAAACATAATGTAATAATGTTGCCACATTGTAACAATATGCAGCATATCCAACCATTTGCAGATAGTAAACTTCCCTTGCTGCCCTGAGTGCTGTCAGCACCGTTACCGCTCTCACATCCCCCACAATTTCCTGCTGCTGCCCCAACCGCTCCCCCTCAACAATCCCCCAGTACTCCGCCATCGTCTCGTCATCCCGTGCCATCATCTCGCCATGTGTTGAGTGTCACCGGTCCTATGAAAGGGCCAATCACCTGTTGGGTCAGAACGGGTCAAGTGAGAGGTTGTTAAGGCGCCTGATTAGAAGTAAGTTTTTTCTAGCTGAATGTGATGGGTTGAAAAAGCAGAAACCAAAATGGGGCGGATCACCTGTTCAGGTGAAAAAGCAGAATGGATAGGCGAGAAATGGGTTTCATAATTGTGAGTACGAGTATGAAAATTGAGCAACGCTTGGCCTCTGCAACCACCCACGCTGGCTGCAAATGCAATGAACAGCAGATTCCAAGAGGGCAGAGAAAACTGTGTTGAAGGAAACAAAGAAGAAGGAAAAACGAAAACAAAGGATAAACAAAAGAACAGAGACTTGGTATGTTAATTTCACCATTCCCATGGAGCCGCACGCACCACCTCACCTTCCAAAAGGCTTCAGAGAAAAAAGGTGGGTTGGACATGACAGCAGAACCAAGCCAGCCTTGAGTCGTTAAAAAGTCATTCCAAGGGAGCCCCATGCACCATCCTACCATGCCACACCACCTCACCTTCCCCAGGAAGCTGCACTCACCTTCCCCAGGAAGCTGCACTCACCTTCCCCAGGAAGCTGCACTCACCTTCCCCAGGAAGCTGCACTCACCTTCCCCAGGAAGCTGCACGCACCTTCCCCAGGAAGCTGCACTCACCTTCCCCAGGAAGCTGCACTCACCTTCCCCAGGAAGCTGCACGCACCTTCCCCAGGAAGCTGCACTCACCTTCCCCAGGAAGCTGCACGCACCTTCCCCAGGAAGCTGCACTCACCTTCCCTAGGAAGCTGCACTCACCTTCCCCAGGAAGCTGCACGCACCTTCCCCAGGAAGCTGCACTCACCTTCCCCAGGAAGCTGCACTCACCTTCCCCAGGGAGCTGCACGCACCTTCCCCAGGAAGCTGCACTCACCTTCCCCAGGAAGCTGCACTCACCTTCCCCAGGAAGCTGCACGCACCTTCCCCAGGAAGCTGCACTCACCTTCCCCAGGAAGCTGCACTCACCTTCCCCAGGAAGCTGCACTCACCTTCCCCAGGAAGCTGCACTCACCTTCCCCAGGAAGCTGCACGCACCTTCCGCAGGAATCTGCACCCACCTCCAGAAGGCCTCAAAGACAGCAGGCGGGTTGTAGATGACACCTGCTCCTCTCCCTGCTGCTCCCCCTGCTCCTCCTGTTGCTCGTCGTGCTACTCTCCCTGCCTGCCATTCTCACGCGGCTGCGGCTGCTGCTGCTCGCAGGCAGTAGCGGGCAGGTTCATGACTGCGTTCTCAAGGCAATGCACGAGGTGCCGCACCTGCCCCGCATGGTTGCTGGTGTCCTGCGACAAGGGGAATGGACGTAAGAGGATGGGCGCTTTGAGAGTGGTGGGCAGTGGTGGGCAGTGGTGGGCAGTGGTGGGCAGTGGTGGGAAGGTTCGGTTCATGATGGCATGATGGCATTGAATACGCAATGCACCAGGTGCCGCACCTGCCCCGCATGGTTGCTGGTGTCCTGCGACAAGAGGAGTGTACAAGAGAGGTTGGTGGGGTGTGTGAGGACCGCCCTGCACGGTTGCTGGCGTGCTGAAACAAGGGGAATGCACGATCAATGAGGGTCGTACTGTACAACTACATAAGCACCCTATCACTGGTTGAGAGATCGATGAGCACTGGTACGCAGGCGAGGTGTATGCAGTGGGTGAGAGACCGACTCAATCAGCTTGAATCTCACAATTACAGGCTAGTTATAATTTATCATCCTATTCAGCTCACCCAGTGGCTGGAAGGGAGCGCCATCCTGCACATTTGGCCCCCTTCCCTCAGGTCACATCACAGCCCCCCATCTCTACCCAAGCACCTCACCTCGCAAGCACCTCACCTCGCGAGCACCTCACCTCGCAAGCACCTCACCTCGCAAGCACCTCACCTGCTGGCCTCACCTCGCAAGCATCTCACCTGCTGGCCGGCAGAGAGCACGGCCCACAAAGCGCATAAGGATGGAGTTGCGTTCAGCACACGGCCCACGAAACGCAGGTTCATGCACCAGATGGGGATGATGCGGAAGGAAGGGGGAAGTGCACCGGGGAGTGGGGCAGTGGCGAATGGGAAGGACAAATTGGACACCCACCACCGCCACGAAGGGTGGCATGATTTGGACGTTTGTGTGGTGTGAAGGTCTGCGGGAACAAGCGGATTCGATCTCTCACCCGTACTCATCTAATCTCCTCCGGGCGGCACTGGTGGCGCCACTTGAGCGTGTCGCGCAGCATGCGCTCGGCGCGCTGCACGTGCCAGTTGCGCGCGCGCAGGTATCGGCGCAGACATGCGTCGGAACAAAATATCCGCGCGCGCTTGGGGAGCGGACCGAGGGATGCGCGCAGCTCCTTCACCTGCACGCGCAAGGGCAGAGAGACGGAGAGAGAGAGAGGGAGTGAGCGCGAATGCTTTGAGAGTCACTTTCGAGAATGCTAAAAGAAGTTACTGAGGGATGCTCGATGCTCGTAGCTCTTTCACCTGCACGGGGACGAGCACAGGGAGAGAAGAAGGGAGAGTGAGGGCGCGAAAGCTTTGGAGCGTGAAAGTGAGAAAGATTCATTATTTGTAATATCTTAAAACGGAACCGAGGGATGCACGCAGCTCCTTCGCCTGCACGCAAAATGTGCAGAGCGAAAGGGAGAGTGAGAGCGCAAAAGCATGTCGGGTGAGAGCGGAGAAACGAGCGGAGAAACGAACAGAGGGAGCGAGAGTGGAGAAACGATCAGAGAGAGTGAGAGCCGAGAAACGAACAGAGTGAGTGAGAGCGGAGAATCGAGCGGGGTAAGCGGAGAAACGATCAGAGAAAGAGGCCTGCTGTACACATAATTGGTGGTAACCACATCTGCGGGTGATCACGATTCACGACACTTGGTCTGAGCCACCTATGCCTGGAGACGCGTTTATAGTAACACCTATCGGAGTAGGCGTGTTTCGCGCCTAGAGTTGCCCAGAATTCACCATGATTTAGGTTAGGTTCCGTCCACTGGGTTACCGTGTTCGGTTCTGGATTTCGATCGTTTCGAAGCATATCTTTCGCGATGGCTTTGGACTTCGCCAGTCGACATTTTCCCTCGCAACGCACGGAACGAAACGGTAACACGCAGCGAAACCAAGGAAGTCAAATCCAGCACAACTCCTGTGTGTGCCTCCAGCTCAGTACGGATCTGGAGTTTTTGCTGGGTCTGTCTGCCTTGGGTTCGCCCAGCTGAGCAACTTCAACCCATGGAGGAAACGGACGACCCAAGGAAGTGAACTAGCTGGACTATCCAAGAAACGCAGTGAAGTGAAGTCACCACAGCAAATCCGGAGCAGAGAAACCAAGAGAAAAGAAGCGCAGCGAAAACCAGCGCATTGAAAACCAGCGCAGCGAATACCACCGCAGTGAAAACTAGCGCAGCGAAAACCAGCTCAGCGAAACCTATCGCAGCGAAAACCAGCTCAGCGAGAACCAGCGCAGCGATAACCAGGCAGCCCAGCGAAAACCAACGGACATTCCCACGGCAACGCCTGAATGTAAGAGGCAAAAGTGAACTGGCTGGACCAACCAAGAAACACAGCAAAACAGCAAAACCGAGTCAGCTACGCCCAGAAAAGCAGCAAACCGAGTCGAAGACGAGAACAACGCAGCCAAAACCAGCACAGCGGAAACCAGCGCAGCGAAAACCAACGCAGCGAAAACAAATGCAATCAAAGGCAACCCCAGCAAGCACTCCAAGCTCAAATAACCTGTGTTCGGTGGGGGTTGCTCTATCACTCTTTTCCGCACGGTCTGCTCTAGTTTCAATTCTGGTTTAGTTTACCATACCACGCAGCAACGTGTTGACAATGTCCGGAATCGAAGGAGATTGGCTGTCCTTGGCGCCGGCCTCGCATCGAGGTCGACGTGTGTCGTTAGATCGATTGCCAGACGAGATCATCTGCCTCATCTTCAACTATCTCAGCAAGCAGTTGCCTAGTTACTTCAATCATGCGTTGGTCTGTAAACGCTTTAATCGCCTCGCTTACCTCGCACAGACGTCCATCGCCAACGGCCCGCGTGAGCTTAATGCAGATGCTGACCTTCTGAAATCGCTTTCCCGGTTTAGAAATCTGACTTCTTTGACGATTGATCAGTGCATTCTCGACCAGGACGATCACGAGTTCCTTTGCGGTCTAGGATCTGCCTGTCCCAGCTTAACATACCTTGATCTGGGCAGCTGCCATGAGGGGTTGACGTATGACGGTGCAGATGCCCTCTTCACGGGCTGCACTGCGTTACAGTACCTCTCCATTGACATGGTGACAGCTCACGGTGAAGAGATTATTGATCTGCCACCATCCTTCTTCAATCTTTCATCCCTGACGGAGGTCTATCTGGACAGCGGTTTCGACTATTCTGATGAAGAATTCTACAAGCTAAGGTCCCTGACTAAGCTGACACTTGCCTTCCAATGGACTAGCTGTTTCCCAGAATCAGTTGGCCAGCTTTCCGGATTGACCGAGCTGCAGTTCATAAACGGTTCTCAATCGTTCGACAGTCTGCCTGACTGGCTTGGTGGGTTGAAGTCACTGGTCAAACTAGGCATTCGTGAACTGGACGAGTTGAAAGCTCTTCCTGACACCATCGGCCAGCTTCAGAACCTTCAAGAGGTTTACTTGTATCGCAATTCCCTCTCCGTGCTCCCGGATTCGTTTTTCCAGCTCACGTCTCTACACGTTCTTGAGCTCGTGTGGTGTGATTTTGAATCCCTTCCGAATGCATTGTCGGGGCTTGGTTCTCTCAAGACACTGACCATCAGGAAGTGTGCTCAATTTGTATCGCTCCCTGACTCGCTTTGCAACCTTTCTAACCTGAGCACGTTGGTCCTCAAGAATTGCCCACGACTCACGGACATTCCAAAGAGCATGGATCGCCTGTCATCTCTGGAGCATCTCGAGTTGAGCCAACTCAAAAGCCTTACTCACCTTCCAGCTACCCTCCCCAACCTCCGCACCTTCTCCTTCAACTATTGTGACAACGTTGAGACAGTGCTTCCATCCCTCCTTCGGCATTGGAGCAGCTTTATGACTCTTGAGTTTGGGTGGCCAGCCAACTGCATGACGTGCGGGGAGGATGACTTCATGAGGTCTATTTGCCAGCTCTTAAATTTGAAAACGCTCCTCCTGTTTGGCTTTCCGAAGCTGTACATGCTTCCGGAAGACATGCGAAATCTTTCGCAGCTGCAGCGGCTGACTATCAGTTCGTGCCCTAAACTGCTCTATCTGCCGCAGTCCTTCAGCAGTCTCACCAGCCTCAGGACTCTCGTGATCACTGCATGCTCAGAGTTTGAGGATGAGGAGGACAAAATGATTTCCCAGATTCCAAATCTGGGGAGTGGTTGAATTGATGGTAGAGTACTGGGAAATGGATCTTCTCAGAGGAAAAGGTGAGTAAAAGGAGGGGGGGGGGGGGGGGAGGGGGGATGAATGGGGGTAGATGCAGTGCAGTGTTTATCACTGAATTGTGAGAGGTTGTGCTTATTGTACATTGGTCGTTGTGATTCGTGTCTTTGTACATTCCATGGTCAGAAGAATTGACATGGCCTGAATGCCTTCACTGTCACTACCAGTATATGCCTCATTATTGCAAGTTCTCATTGCCTGGGGAGTAGCTGTTTCTTACATCTTTTGCAACTGTACGGCAGGGGTGTCATCAATAAAATTCAGATTCTGATCATAAAATAAAATGCTGCTTCAACCTACAACGTATCTAACTGTAGACACAAAAAAAAAGGCCAATACTCACCAGTACAACTTATCAAACTCTAATTTTGTTATTGAGGCCATGTTGGTCGCTTGATGAACCTGTTGAGGCTCATTTTATGGAGATTTGTGAGCACTCCATTCGTTTGCGCATGTGCTTGGATTGGAGGCGGTGTGTTTGGATCAGTGGGAGCAAGAACCTCAATGGGTAACCAAAGGTTAGCGCCGTCACTGTCGCCGTTGCTGCTGGTGCTGCTGAGGCTGCTGGAACTGCTGCTGCTGCTGAGGGAACTCTCACTGCCCTGAGTGCTGTCAACACCGTCCCCACTCTCATCCCCCACAATCGCCTGCTGCTGCCCCAACCGTTCTCCCTCAACAATCCCCCAGTACTCTGCTGTCTTCTCGTCATCCCGTGCCATCATCTCGCCATATCTCGCATGGTCATAGGTCCACTTGGATCTGCCTCCAAACGCCTCTTCAAGACGGTCCAGGTCGAAGATTCCCTCAAGCTTCTTCACCGTGTCGGGCTTGGATGGGTTGACAAAGAGAATCTTGTTGAATGTCACCGGGTCTATGAAGGGGCGAATCACCTGTTGGGATAGAACGGGTCAAATGTGAGAAGGGTTGTTGAGGAGAATGAATGCATGTTCAGTGTGACTGGCTTGGATGGGTTGACAAAGAGAATCTTGTTGAAGTTACGGGGTCTATGAATGGGCGGATCACCCGCTCAAGCCAAACGGATCGAGAGTAGAGTGGCCAGTCAATGATGAGCACCACATGATAACAAGAAAAGACAAGAAAAAAAAATGTGTAAATTCCTTGTAACCACTCTCAGAATGGATTGCAACCACTCACCTGGCAGCAAGTGCAACAAGAAGAAGGACAAGAAGAATAAGGTGTGAATCCATTGTGCCTCCATCTCACCATTCCCAAGGAGCACCACCATCCCACCATCCGCAGGGACCCATGGTATTCCCCCATGATTCTCATGGTATGTGCACCTCACATTCCCCCACCACCTCACCTTCCAGAAGGCCTCAAAGACGGCAGGTGGGTTGTAGATGACAGCAGCGCCGAGCCTCTCCGGGTAGTGGCTCTGCAGAATGCTCAGCACCTCGCGAGACGTCTTGAGTGGCGGGGCTTTGCGCATGCTCCACCCGCGGAAGTCAATCAGCCAGACCATCTGCTCCTGCCCCCCCTGCTCCCCTCCCTGCTGCTCCCCCTGCCTGCCATTATCCTGCTGCTGTGGCTGCTGCTGTTCACGGGCAGTGGCAGGCAGGTTCATGACTGCGTTCTCAAGGCAGTGCACCAGGTGGCGCACCTGCCCTGCGTGGTTGTTGGTGTTCTGCAAGCAAGGGGAATGAGTGTAAGAGGGTGGTGAGGTGTGTAACAGACTGGAATGAAACGACCGGTAGGTACATGACAGCATGCGTGGCGCTGGTGAGATGTGGAAGGACAGGTGTGGCATGACAGGCAGGCTCCTGTCGGCATGCATGGGGATGGTGGGCTTTTCTCTAAGCAGTGCACCAGGTGCTGCACCCTGCCCTGCATGGTCGTTGGTGTTCAGGAACCGAGGCAACGTATGGATGAGGGCTGTTTGACTGCGTAAGGACTGGTATGCAGTGGCAGGTGAGGTGCATGCGATGGCATATGAGGGGTATGCAATGCAGTTGCTGAAATGGCTATATGAAGCCGTTTCAGCTCAATGGTTGGCAGAGAACGACTGGTCAGCACGCCCTTTCCCTTTCCACCCAACCTGCTCCTCATCTCGCAAGAGCCTCACCTGCTGGCCGGCAGAGAGCACCACGACTGGGCGGCCGTGTTTGTCCTGGAACGCAGTTCGGTACACCTTGCCCGTCGCGCCCTCCTCCGCCACGTCAGCCTGCAATCACGTCACCACAAAGCAAACGAATTACAATTTTGGTCAACACGTAAATATGTAAATGCAAATGTGTTCAGCACCTCCTACAATTGCGTGTGCCGCTGGGGATAATGCGAAAATAATGAGGTTAGACGTTCGTGGTCCCAGTACCCACCTCCACTGCGAAGGGTACCCGATTGGATGTTTCGTTGGTGGTAACGAGTCCGCACAGTGCGAAGTAGGATTGCGGATGGAGGGAATGAGTGTAGTTCTAACAGATGTATGTACGTTGCTCATGATGTGCGTGCTTACGCACTTCGTACGTGCTTACGCATGTGCGGCGCGGGCGTGTGTGTGAATCTACGTACGTGCAAACGAATGCAGGTATGCGCGTACAAGCGTACATACCCATCGAATCTCCTCCGGGCGGCACTGGTCGCGCCACTTGAGCGTGTCGCGCAGCATGCGCTCGGCGCGCTGCACGTGCCAGTTGCGCGCGCGCAGGTATCGGCGCAGACACGCGTCGGAGCAAAATATCTGCGCGCGTTTGGGAAGCGGACCGAGGGATGCGCGCAGCTCCTTCACCTACATGGGGAAGCGCGCACAGGAAGAAAGGGAGAGAGAGCAAGAGGTTTTTGAGCGCGAAAGTGAGGCAGAGTCACTTTTTAGAATTCTCAAGAGGGCATTGCAAGATGCCCGCAGCTCCTTCACCTAAATTGAGGAACAGGCGCTCAACAGGCGCTCGACCGGCGTGAGCGGAACTGATCTCTGCCACCTGAGCTAGACTTATCAAGTGCATCGGTTTCCTGCTTATAACGAGTCCTCCTTATATTTTTCTCGGCTTCGGTCTATAACGACCCCTAGTTCACACTACCTTGGCTTCTTGCGCGACGGGCGTCAGCTGAGCCGGCTTTTTCATTTCGAACATCTGCCAGCTCTGCGCGACTCTCTGCGCTACGGGCTATGCTACAACCAGTGCGAGGGCTTTCAATCACCTTGGTTTCTTGCTCGACGGGCGTGAGCAGAGCAGGCTCTTCCTTCTCGAACATCTGCTGGCTCTGCGCCACGCCCTGCGCCACACTCTGCGCCAGGCCCTGCGCTATAGCCCATGCTACAGCCTGTGCTAGACCTGTCAATCACCTTGGTTTCTTGCTCGACGGGCGTGAGCTGCACCGGCTTCTCCTTCTCGAACATCTGCTGGCTCTGCGCCACGCCCTGCGCCACAGCCGCCTTCAGCGCCGCCACCTTGGTCTGCCCGAACGCCTCCCACTTCCCCGCGAAGGCCGCCATTCGGTTCTCCCTCACCACCACCCCGCCTGATTCCATTGTGCTCGGTAATTATTTATACGAAGTTCTGGTCTGAAGACGGAAGTGATTACGTGTGCAGCACCTACTACGAATAGTCGATTAGTGAAAATAAGTGCTAACAGTGGAAGGTTTACGACTGGTCAATGAGCGGATGGAGAATACGGTGATCAGAAGGGAACAGCGAGCACAATTTTTTCATGCGATGGGAGTGTTGGTCAAGCGCTATGATTGACGTGCCAGAAGCGCCGTAAATTGAAGTTTCGGGTTTCGGGACAGCTCGAATTTCAGAACCGCGCAAACACAGCGCAATTTCTGGCGTGAGATGGTTGGGGTGAGCGAGGAAAGGGAAACGAAAGGAGATGAGAGCTGATGCTGGATTGCGTTGGGGTTTGGATAGACTGTTGACGGTGATGTGACGTGAGGCGCCGGAGACTAGGGTCAAGGAGGGAGGGCGCTGTGGCTTCCGCGAGGTGCGGTGGAATATTTGCTGATGCAATTTTGTGCGGTTCGTATATCTTCTGCCCCGTTTCCCTGGCTAATCTAGACCTCACAGCTTGAATGAAAGGTACCTCCTCCGTGCGAGTGAGAGAAACCAGGGCTAGTTGAAAACACCATACGCTAGGCATTTATCCACTCAATATCCAGAATAAGATAGTGTTTTATGTAATTGACAAATCAATCCAGTCCGGGGAGTTGATGTTCGCAGTGAGGGCGGGTTTCTGATCAACTTGAGACTCACAAAGGTGTCTTCATAAGTTTCTGGGGTCAAACGAAACTATTGATCGCATATATTGTTGGATGACGTTACCGAACTCTAGCCTTGGGTTCTGGGTAACCGCAAGTACAGAAGGTTCCGTCACGAGGCAATTGAGTACCGTTCATAGGCTTGGCGGGAGCAGCTCGATTAGCGGTGCGGGAAATTGGCCCAACCAACAATTTTAGCGATGGAAGCGCGAGTGACGTCTGCGCGAAAGGCCTTCGTCGCCGGGTGGGGCAACAATGTCCTCGCCATACACCTTGCCCAGCCAAGCTGTAAACCAGCAAGTACAGTATTGGGCGCCTTAGCGAGTCAATCACACGGAACATGGAAAGTATTATCGTCATTTCAGTTTGAATGAGAGGGAGTACAGGGACGTGTCCACATAAGAATGGGACAGTCATGGTGTGTATAAATAGCCTGATATGACGCTGCATCAAACGAAATCTTTAAGCGCAATAATTTTCTGTAGTTTTGATTAAACAGATGGGTTACTTTCAAAACCCCAAAAAAATCACATATGAGAAAATGGATCAGGTGTTTTACTTTGTAGTAATATGTTAGTTATGCATTGTATAGGCAACATGCTAATATAATGGTATTTCATGGTGGTGGAGATATTTTCCAGCTCACCACTTCCGAGCAGACCTGATGCGTAAGAAGCCTTGTTCAACAATTCAAATTGAGGCATTTTTAACCACGAGTCATGGTGTGCGTGGTGTGAATTTCAGTTACCATTTTAAATCACCCAGTCCACACTCCACAGTTCAGCCTCCGTGTCAATTTTACGGGCCTCGGCGTGCGACAATGCTTGAAAGACAGTTCGAACTCGAACGAAACCTTGTCAAAGGCCACACCACCTCCTCCAAACACCTCCACACTAACAACCGTCACTTCACTTTCAAATGTCCATTTCATTGCAGCAGGCTGCAAGCGTCGTCAAATAACGTGGTGAACACAAATCGGTCGTTGTACAGATACTATCAAGTGTACGCTAGACATCGTCAGTTTCAAGCCGTAGGTTCCGCGAAAGGCGGTTGTCGTTCTGCTGTAATAACCCAGGAACCATGCCGCTGACCCCGGTTTTGAGACAAAACGGTCCGCTTCGAGGATTTGTCAATCACAGAAGTTATGTTGGAACAACAGGACCCTTGAGCAACAACCTGGCCAACAACCTTGTGGAAATCGAAAAGGTGGAAAGCATAGAATAGCCAGAATGTAGCCTTCTAACATCCCGCCTAATCTCCTCTTCCATTTTTCCAGGTCAATGACATGTGGAGAAAGGTTGTGGCTGAAAGAGAGTAAGAAAACTTGCTGCTTTCATACGTGAACTATTTGAGTACCTAGTTTTGACGTCCTAAAGTGAGCTAAATCTGCTGACTCGGTGTTTTTAGTGAGCAGATTCGCACCGCGCAGGATGCACTGAAAACAATGATGCAACGACATTCTTTGCTTAACAATGACATCATACAGAGAAATGCGTCTTTGCAAAAGGTACCAAAACACTTATCACGACCACCCGTTCACACATCGTGAGCGGTACGCCTGATCCGTCTAAATTTTATGTTCACTTTCAGGAAATGATGCACCAGCAAGCTCAGGTAAGATTGGTTCAATCCCGTTTATGTTTCGAACTTAAGAAGAAGCTGATCATGAATTCTTGTAGATTGAGCTGCTTCGCAATGAAAGTATTCAGCAAAGGGTGCTGATCAAAGTCTTGAAGAGTGAAAAGGAGGTGAGGCTAGTGAGAGCTTTGTTGTTGCTTGCTTTCTCTGCGACAGTTCACTGACATTCACCTGCAGGAAGCAGAAAGGCTGCTTGAAAAGGCGAAGGAAGAGAATGCAAGATTGCAAGAAAGACTGGACAATCTTGAGGTACACGACATCTCTGTTATTCGAAACGTTAGTATGCGAGCCAGATATTAATAATAAAATGGACATCCAGGAGCTGCAACTTCTTGCAACGAAGAAGGCACCACCGAAGGTATGGCATTGAAGATGCAAGTTTGTTTGTTGGTTGTTAATAGTAAAGCCCAGTTATTCATTTCGTCTGCCTGTATTTCAGAAGCCTAACGACAATCGACAGCAAGATCCTCTAATGGCAGGTCATGCAGGACTGACCAGAGCAAGAACGAGGAAGATTAATGTACCTCCATCCAGGTAGATCATCTTGTTTCCAGTTTCAGTATTTTTCAGGTTTTAATCTTCTTGACAGGATGCCAGGGACCGTCAAAGAACGCGAAGAGCAGGAACACCCTACCGTATCCTGTGTGCGGCCACGCACCTACAATCCCAAGCCACCTAAGATGCAGCCAGTGGGTCAGGTGGAACGCGAAGACGCAGAATCTGATGCAGAGAGTTGCAGCTCAAACAACATCCACTCTAAACCCACAAGGGTCCAAACACATAACCCCACGAGCAGGCGTCCACATAGCCACACAGACAATTCTGTTGGCAGACCCGGCAACCCTTCAGCTTCTTTCGCTCCTGAAATAGTCGATGAGGTCAAGGAAGCTTCAGAGCCGCCAAAGCGTGCCCTTCGTGCCCGAACTCTTATGAGCTACAAGGAGCCACCGCTGCATACCAAACTTCGCAGACCTGAGTGAAGCAGTGAGGAATTTGCTGTGCTTCAAGCTCTTATCTTCTCTGGCTATAAAGCAGCTTAACTCTTGCTGCCAATAGCATGCCATTTTTAAGTGTATTCATCCACTATGATTTAGTATCCCAATTCTGAAGATTCAACACTATGTATCCAGCTTAGACACGCATTAATTGAGTTAAGCCATAATGGTGACACGCTGGTTCTAACAAGAATATTAGCATGGACCTTCTGATCATTTGAATGGCTGGCTGGGACCTTGCTCAATGGCGTCTGTTACTCATGCGACCATCCCTTCGCGCCTTGTCGCCATCCCACGCCTCGTCCCGCATCCCCCCTCCTTGACCAGGACCACTACGTTCATAGCTCCCTCCCGCTCCACCATCCTGCTCCCCAAGCCTACCAGCAAGTCTGGAGCTCCTAGCAGGCCCTGCCCCTCGAGAAGGCGGCGGCAGCTCAACCTCGCCGCTTCTCCTGCTTCCACCTCCGCCACTGCCACCACCATCGGAAATCCACCGTCTGTCTGCACGGTCATCCAGTGTTGAAGTTACATGCAGCATCGGCCCACCACGGTGCCCACCTCCAGCTGCCATAACCACAGCAGGGGAACGAGGCGATGGGTGAACCCCACCCGAGTGGAATGGCGGAGCGAGCGGCATGGGCATGGCTGATGGCCCGCCTGCTGGAATGCCAGCCACAGGCGGCCCAGCACCACCTGGCGAATGCATGGCATCTCCATGCGGCTGCATGAGGCTCTGATCCCTCTTAATCTTCCTGCGCTTCGCAGGGAGAGCAGCGGAGGAGCTGGTAGGAGCGAGCTGCGCAGGCAGGGAGAGCGGCTGCGGTGGAAGCGGGGAAATGGGCTGGAGATCCCTGGGAGGAGGCGCAGAGGAGAACTTGCTCTCTCGTGGTGAGCGGTCCCGCTCCCGATAAGGTTCACGGTCTCGTGGGTGGTCGCGGTCCCTGTCTCGATCCCTGTCCCGTTCTCGGTCGCGCTCGTCATAGTCATGATCGCGATCCCAGTCGCGGTCCCGCTCACGTGGCTGGGGGAATACGAGGTGGGAAGGAACAGAGTGAGAGCAACATGAAAAAGGAAAACGAGTTGACAAGGGAAGAGGCTTGGAGTCTCACACAGGGATATGTGGGTGAACTGTAGAGGGGTAAATGTATATGTATGTGCATTTAAATGCAATGATAAAACAAATGTACCTCGTGAATGATTCTTCCAGCAGGAGCAGGTGGAGTTACACCAACGACAAGCGAGTGACGAAGCCCCTGCCCTGCTCCATGCCTCTGCGCATGCCCCTCCTCCCGCCCCTCCTCGCCCACATCCCGCACCACCACACGTATCCCCCCTCCCCTCTCAATGCTCCGCTCTGGGAAGATTCCACGCTCCTTCTCTCCTTTCTCACCACGCTCCCTCTCCCCACGCTCCTTTTCGTACACTCGCTCCTGCTCCACTCCCCGCTCCTCCTCCTTTCCACCCACCCTCTCCCCTCTCTCTCCCCTCTCCCTCCCACCCCTGCCGCGCTCACCCAGTCTCTCCTTCACAGTAGCTCGCTCATGCTCCCTCTCCCTCTCTCTCCCTCCATCCCTCTCAGTCCTCTCATGCTCCCACTCCCTCTCTCTCTCCTTCAGGTGCTCAGCCTCCCTCTCACGCCCCCCACCCCTCTCCTCCTTCACCTCCCTCTCTGGGGTGCTATCAACCTGCCCTCGCTCTCTCTCCCTCCCCTTCTCCCTTTCCCTCTCCTTCTCCCTCTCCCTGTCTCCTTTACGATCAGACACTCCTTTCTCACGCACACCACCCCTTTCCCCCCACTCATGCACATCCCCACGCCCATCACCCACAATACCTGTATCCTCCACGTCTCTCCCCTTCCCCCGCTCCACACTGCCTCTCTCACTCCACTCTCCCTTCTCCCCTCCCCGGCCCCCACTCCCGCGCTCCCCTCCTCTCCCTTCCCCTCTCCCTTCCCGCTCATGCGCCCTCGACGTCTCCTCTCCCCTCTCCCGCTCCCTCTCCCTCTCTTTCCCCTTCTCGTCCCTCCCTCTCTCCCTCTCCATCTCCCCATCGCTCCTCCTCACTCGCTTCACTCCCCGCTCCCCACTACCCCCAGCCACCGCCCCTCCTCCCCCATCTTCTGACGAGCTCACACTCCTCTTCCCACCCCGACCCCTCCCTCCCTCTTCCACCCCTTCCATTTCTTTCGGACTCCTCACACCTGATGTGCCTCCTACTACTCCTCCCCCTCCACCTCCTGCACCTCCCTCTCCTCCTCCCGCCCCCCCTCCAGCACTCCGACCAGCAGTGGCAGCGGCAGCTGCAGCCACAGCTGCCGCCGCAGCAGCCTTACTTCGCTCCCTTTCCTTATCCTTCCCCGACCCCCGCTCCCTCTCCCTCTCTCGCTCCTTCTCCCTCTCCCTTTCCTTCTCTCTCTCCCTCTCCCTCTCCTTCTCCTTCTCCCTCACCATCATATCTTCCTCAAGCCGTGCCCTCAGTCTCTCCCTCTCTTTCTCCCTCTCCCTCTCCTCCCTCATCTTCTCCTCCTGCGCTCGCTCCCTCTGCTTATCCTTCTCTTTCTCCTTCTCCTTCTCCCTTTCCTTCTCCTTCTCCCTCTCCTTCTCCTCCCCTCTTTCGTCCTCATGGTTCCTCTCGCGTCCCTTGTCCCTCTCCCGCCCTTCCTTCACTTCCCCCCTCTCCACTTCACGATCCTTCTCTCTCTCTCCTCGTCCCCTGTCCCGTCCCTTGTCCTCCCTCTCCCTCTCCCTCTCCTTCCCCCTCTCCCTCTCCCTGTCTCTCCCTTCTCTCTCCTTCCCCTTCCCTGCCTCCGCCTCCCTTTCTCTATCCAACACCTTCGATTTATCTTTATCCCTCTCCTCCCTATCCCTCTCCCTCTCCCTACTCTTCATTTCCTCTTTCTCAATCTTCACACTCCTCTCATCCCTCGCACCACGCACATCCTGCTCCCCATCCTCCCACTCCCCTCTCTTCCCCCTCTCACCCACATCTCTTCCCCCCAGTCTCTCCGCCCCATCACTCCCCCTCTTATGCCCTCCCCTGCTCTCCCACCTGTCCTCCCCCCTCACCTCCCCCCTCACCTCCCCCCTCACCTCCCCAGCCTCATGCTCCTCTTTCTCCTCATACGCTCTCCTACTAGACCCACCCACACCCAAGCTGTCCCTGTGATTTGGCCCCTCACCCACCACGCCCAACTTCCCACCCTTCCCTTTGCCTGATTCAAACCCTCCCTCCTCCTCTTCTCCCCTCTCCCTTCCTTCCCTTTCCTCGTGCCTACCACCCCCACCCGACCCCCTCCTTTCCCTCTCCCTCTCCTTCTCCCTCTCTTTCCCCTCCCGTCCTTCCTCAACTCTCCTCCCTCCCTTGGTATCCATCTCTTCATCCCTCCCCCTGTCCCCTTCGGTCCCAACCCCTGCCCCTCTTAGTGCAGCAGGCACAAAGGGAGGAGCATCAGGGGATAGCTTGCTGCCTGCCCTCACCCCCCCTCTTCCAGCCTCCCCTCCTCCTCCCCGTCCCCCTCCCTCTCCCTCTCCTCCTTCCACCTTCCTGTGCTTCGCAGGTGGTGCTTGCTCCCCCTCCTCCCACCTATCCTCCCTTCTCCCTTCCGTCTGCCCCACTGTCCTCGTGACAGGCTCCTCTTTTATAGGGACTTCAGCAGTCGCAGCAGCACGGGTAGATGGACCATCACCAGCATGAGCAACAGCACCAGCAGAAACACCCTCCTCTCCTTTAACCATCCTCACTCTCTCCCTTTCCTTCTCTATCGTCCTGCCCCTTACCTTCTCTCCCTCAGTCTCCTCCCCCCCTCCCCCCATTCCGCCATGGATCAGGGGAGACTTAGAGGCGGGGCGTTCGGGGGAAGGGGGAGGCATGGAGGATCGGCGTGAGGGCGGGGGCGTGGGGTGGCGACTGGACGGAGCAGAGGGAGCAGCAGCAGAAGCAGGAGCAGCAGCAGCAGGGATAGCCGCAGCTCCCTTGGCAATCCCACCACCACCAGCAGCAGCCGAAGCAGCATCAGCCACTGAAGGTTTGGCGTTGGCAGCAGGGACAGTGGCAGGAGCAGCAGCCGCGGAAGCAGCAGTGGTGGTGATGGTGGGGGCAGCAGGAGCGGCAGCAAGAGGGGCAGGGGAGGCAGCACGGGGAGTGGCAGAGGGAGCTGGTGCCCCTCCGAACTCCTCATCTGTCACCCACGATTGCTGCGAGAGGGAGTGGGGGGCACACGCGGAATGGAGCAAGAACGAGCATTTTGCGGCGCCAGTAGGGAGGAAAAGGGGCGACAGTGGCAGAGGGAGCTGGTGCCCCTCCAAACTCTTCATCTATCACCCACGATTGCTGCGAGCTACAAGGACAGAGAGGGAGGCACACAAGGGGAAAGAAGCATTCTGAGGCGTCTCTATAAAGAGGGGCAGGGGAGGCAGCACGGGGAATGGCAGAGGGAGCTGGCTCCCCCCCAATTTCCTCATTTGTCACTCACGATTGCTGCGGGAGGGACAGGGAGGCACACAAAGAAGGTATACAATGAGCACGGTTCAACAATGAGGGCACATGATATACATGCTCCTTTACTTATCACAGCCGTACATTCTTAGCGTTGAGTGCAGCCGACACGCCGAAGGCCATGTGCTTCAGATGAACAACAAGGGCACGTGACACCCGCCTCTGCCTTTCCACTCACCGAGACCTGATATGATGATTTGCTCACTCACCGCACCCACACCTTCTTGGTGTAGAGTGCGGTTGAGCGACACGCTGGCAGGCAGCCATGCGCTTCAGATAAACAACAACGGCATGTGCGATAGCGAAACCTGCAACTACATTACATTCAACAAGACCTGGTCAGTCTATCCCTCGTCGCAGCCATACCTTCTTGGCATTGAGCGCAGCCGACACGCTGGTGGCCATGACCTTCAGATGAGCAACAAGGGCATGTGTGATAGCGATATCTGCCACTACAGTCATCAAGACCCCTCACTCTCTCCCATCGCAGCCATACCTTCTTGGCATTGAGCGCAGCCGAAACGCTGGTGGCCATGAGCTTCAGATCCTGCCGCTCCTCTGCCTTAAGGCGATTCACCTGAGAGAAAATGGTGGGATGGCATTGCACGGCGGAATCACGAAATGACAAGATGACGGGATAGAGCAAATGAACGTAAGACACGCTGGTGGCCATGAGCTTCAGATCCTGCCGCTCCTCTGCCTTGAGGCGATTCACCTGATGGCGATGGTGGCATGGCACGACGGCATAATGGCAGAATGGTATGGTGAGCTGATGGCATGACGAATGGCAGTGTGATTGCACGATGAGATCGCGAGATGCTGCAGATTTGCAGATTCAAAGTAGCGGCAGCGGCGGCAGTGGCGGCGGCAGCGGCGGCGGCAGCATCAGCATCATCATCGTCATCGTCATCATCAAAAGCAACCAGAGCGGCACCACACCTACCTTGCACTCTAGGACCCACAGCCACCCACCTTGCGTTCGAGCACGAGCCCGCCGCGCTTGGTGACGGGGAAGACGGCAGAGACGCGCGAGAGCAGCGTGAGCGCGTTGCGGATGTGCATGTACTCCGTTGACTCGAGGAGCGTGGATAGCACCTTCACCAGCTTGGCGTTCCACTTCCAGTTGATCTGGCGGCAGTGACAGAGGGGTATGGAGACGGAAGAGGGGAGCAGCATGTGAGATGCATTGAGGGGATATGCAGCGTGGATAGCACCTTCACCAGCTTCGCGTTCCACTTCCAGTTGATCTGACAGAGGGAAGGCGAATGCACGAGGGAGGCAGTACGGGAGGGGGTAGTGGAGATGGGATGGGGGAGAAAGGAGGGTTGTCGTTGGGCTTCTTTATCACACTCTTGTCAATGCGGTCAACCAACTCAGCAGCACACTCAACAGGTCAACACAGTCTCACAGTGTCATGTTGTTGTTGGGTTTCTTCATCACACTCTTGTCAATGCGGTCAACACAGTCTCACCGTGCGGAACTGGTCGAGCGTCATGTTGTTGTTGGGTTTCTTCATCACACTCTTGTGAATGCGGTCAACACAGTCTCACCGTGCGGAACTGGTCGAGCGTCATGTTGTTGTTGGGTTTCTTCATCACACTCTTGTCAATGCGGTCAACACAGTCTCACCGTACGGAACTGGTCGAGCGTCATGTTGTTGTTGGGTTTCTTCATCACACTCTTGTCAATGCGGTCAACACAGTCTCACAGTGCGGAACTGGTCGAGCGTCATGTTGTTGTTGGGCTTCTTCATCACACTCTTGTCAATGCGGTCAACACAGTCTCACCGTGCGGAACTGGTCGAGCGTCATGTTGTTGTTGGGCTTCTTTATCACACTCTTGTCAATGCGGTCAACACAGTCTCACCGTGCGGAACTGGTCGAGCGTCATGTTGTTGTTGGGTTTCTTCATCACACTCTTGTCAATGCGGTCAACACAGTCTCACCGTGCGGAACTGGTCGAGCGTCATGTTGTTGTTGGGTTTCTTCATCACACTCTTGTCAATGCGGTCAACACAGTCTCACCGTGCGGAACTGGTCGAGCGTCATGTTGTTGTTGGGTTTCTTCATCACACTCTTGTCAATGCGGTCAACACAGTCTCACCGTACGGAACTGGTCGAGCGTCATGTTGTTGTTGGGTTTCTTCATCACACTCTTGTCAATGCGGTCAACACAGTCTCACAGTGCGGAACTGGTCGAGCGTGTTGGGCTTCTTCATCACACTCTTGTCAATGCGGTCAACACAGTCTCACCGTGCGGAACTGGTCGAGCGTCATGTTGTTGTTGGGCTTCTTTATCACACTCTTGTCAATGCGGTCAACACAGTCTCACCGTGCGGAACTGGTCGAGCGTCATGTTGTTGTTGGGTTTCTTCATCACACTCTTGTCAATGCGGTCAACACAGTCTCACCGTGCGGAACTGGTCGAGCGTCATGTTGTTGTTGGGTTTCTTCATCACACTCTTGTCAATGCGGTCAACACAGTCTCACCGTGCGGAACTGGTCGAGCGTCATGTTGTTGTTGGGTTTCTTCATCACACTCTTGTCAATGCGGTCAACACAGTCTCACAGTGCGGAACTGGTCGAGCGTCATGTTGTTGATGGGTTTCTTCATCACACTCTTGTCAATGCGGTCAACACAGTCTCACCGTACGGAACTGGTCGAGCGTCATGTTGTTGTTGGGCTTCTTCATCACACTCTTGTCAATGCGGTCAACACAGTCTCACCGTACGGAACTGGTCGAGCGTCATGTTGTTGTTGGGCTTCTTCATCACACTCTTGTCAATGCGGTCAACACAGTCTCACCGTACGGAACTGGTCGAGCGTCATGTTGTTGTTGGGCTTCTTCATCACACTCTTGTCAATGCGGTCAACACAGTCTCACCGTACGGAACTGGTCGAGCGTCATGTTGTTGTTGGGTTTCTTCATCACACTCTTGTCAATGCGGTCAACACAGTCTCACCGTGCGGAACTGGTCGAGCGTCATGTTGTTGTTGGGCTTCTTCATCACACTCTTGTCAATGCGGTCAACACAGTCTCACCGTACGGAACTGGTCGAGCGTCATGTTGTTGTTGGGTTTCTTCATCACACTCTTGGACGACCCGGGGTGATCCAGACACTCCGCGTTGTACACCGCTGCATCGCTCTGCCATGCACCGAGACAGCAAAGGTGGGAAGGAGGGGTAGTGGAGGGTTGTGGAAAGTTGAGATCCAGACACTCCGAGTTGAACACCGCTGCATCGCTCTGGCACACACCAAGACGGGAAGCGGGGGTGAAGCGGGTGATGTTGAAGACAAATGCAGGGAGGAGGGATGGGGTGGAAGTGAGCGTGGAGGGAGCAAAAGGGGTGAGAGGGAATGGGGGCCAGGAAACAAGGGGGAGGGAGTGCCCTTAACCCCCTCGCCACCACCACCCTCACCATCCATCGGTACATCGCCTGCACCACTCCGAGCACCAACCGACCAGGTGGTCCAGTAGCCTCAGGTCCTACTTCCCCCTCCCTCCCTCTGCCTCTTACTTCCCTCCTCCTCCCCTCTTCCCTGTGCCTCGCACCCACCTTCCAGCGGTAGATGGCCTGCAGAATCTCCAGCACAAAGCGCCCCAAGCGACCTGCTTCGACTCAATCGCCCCAGTACCCTCTCCTCTCCTCCCCTTCCCTCTGCCTCTCACCTTGTAAATGACCTGCAGCATTTCCAACACGAACCGGCCCAGGCAGCCCAAACACAGCCCCATCTCTCCCAATCAACCCCTTGTCATCCCCCTTTTTAATCCGCCTCGCACCCACCTTCCAGCGGTAGATGGCCTGCAGAATCTCCAGCACAAAGCGCCCCAGGCGACCCAGTTACCCCAGTCGCCCCAGCCGCCCCAGTCGCCCCAGCTTTCCCAGTCGCCCCAGCTTTCCCAGTTGCCCCAGCTTTCCCAGTCGCCCCAGCTTTCCCAGTTGCCCCAGCTTTCCCAGTTGCCCCAGCTTTCCCAGTTGCCCCAGCTTTCCTGGTCGCCCCAGCTTTCCCAGTTGCCCCAGCTTTCCCGGTCGCCCCAGCTTTCCCGGTTGCCCAGTCATCCCCCTTCCCAGTCCAGCCTCTCACCTTCCACCGGTAGATGGCCTGCAGAATTTCCAGCACAAACCGCCCCAGGCGGCCTGCCTCAGCTTCAGAGGAGCTGGCGAGCAGAGGGTGGAAGCTCTTGCACACGAAGGCGTCCACCATCTGAAACGTGCAGAACTGTGGCGTGGCTGCTGCGTGCATGCGCAGTATAAACCTGGAGGCATGGGCGGTAGCAGGGAGAGGGGGGAAAAGTTTGGTCTCAGAGGAGCTGGCGAGCAGCGGGTGGAAGCTCTTGCACACAAACGCGTCCACCATCTGAAACGTGCAGAATTGGGGTGTGGCAGCCGCGTGCATGCGCAAAATGAACCTGCATGCGCAAAATGAACCTGCATGCGCAAAATGAACCTGCATGCGCAAAATGAACCTGCATGCGCAAAATGAACCTGCATGCGCAAAATGAACCTGCATGCGCAAAATGAACCTGCATGCGCAAAATGAACCTGCATGCGCAAAATGAACCTGCATGCGCAAAATGAACCTGCATGCGCAAAATGAACCTGCATGCGCAAAATGAACCTGCATGCGCAAAATGAACCTGCATGCGCAAAATGAACCTGCATGCGCAAAATGAACCTGCATGCGCAAAATGAACCTGCATGCGCAAAATGAACCTGCATGCGCAAAATGAACCTGCATGCGCAAAATGAACCTGCATGCGCAAAATGAACCTGCATGCGCAAAATGAACCTGCATGCGCAAAATGAACCTGCATGCGCAAAATGAACCTGCATGCGCAAAATGAACCTGCATGCGTTGGGGGCAGAGAGTGGGGGATGAGCGGGTGGAAGCTCTTGTTTCCCGTTATGAGCTGTCGTCTCTTGACAGCTCTTGCACACAAAGGCAAGTAACGCACACACTCACTCACTTGGCGCAATGCACCGCATCGTCTGGGTTCATGAGCACGCGTGGAATGACACAGTGGTGCAGGAAACATCGCACGATGAGATGATACACCAGCCAGCTGTCCAGAACGCACACACGCACTCACTTGGCACAATACACCTCGTCCTCTGGGCAACGCAGTGGTGCAGGAAGCATGGCACGATGCGCCAGCTGCTCAGCATTGCCCCAATGTACCCCTTGCACCCCCACCCTCCCCACTCACTTGGCGCAGTACACCGCGTCCCCAGGGCTCGTCAACACCCGTGGAATGACGCAGTGGTGCAGGAAGCACGGCACGAGGCGCCAGCTGTCCGGCAGCTCCAAGTTAATGCTTACACCCCAACTCCCTCCAAGAATCCACTCACTTGGCGCAGAAAACCGCGTCCTCTGGGCTCATCAGCACCCGCGGGATGACGCAGTGGTGCAGGAAGCAAGGCACGACGCGCCAGCTGTCCGGCACAGCAGCTGGGCACCATTTGCATTGCACCACCCACCCCGCCACGTGAATCTTACTTTTGAGAATTCTCAAAAGTAAGATTCACAGCAGCTGGGCACCATTTGCATTGCACCACCCACCCCGCCTCCCCCAGTAACACAACACAAGCACTCACTTGGCGCAATACACAGCATCCTCGGGGCTCATCAAAACCCTCGGAATCACGCAGTGGTGCAGGAAGCAAGGTACAATGCGCCAGCTGTCCGGCACGGCAGCCGGGCTAAGCCAGCGCGCACGGTCCCGAACCAGCCGCCGCTGCACTGCCTCGACCCGAGCCTGCTGCCGAGCCAGCTCGGCCGAGAGCCGGTCCAACAGCTCCTGCACGCGCTCCTTCTCCTTCTTGCGCTTCTGCGGTGGGTGTGGGGAGGGGGGGGAGGGGGATTGGATGGAGTGGGTGGAGGGAAGGAGAGGCAGGAAAAAAGGCAAAAGAGGAGTCAGACTAGGGACCTGGTCCAACACCTCCTGCACACGCTCCTTCTCCTTCTTACACTTCTGTGGTGGTGGGCGCGGGAGGTACAGGATAGGGAGGGAGTAAATGGATGGAGGAAAGCACGAAAAGGGAATGAGAGGGGAGTCACATGAGAGCCGGTCCAACAGCTCCTGCACGCGCCCCTTCTCCTTCTTGCGCTTCTGCGGTGGGTGGGGAAGTGAGGTGATGGGATGGAAAGTTACGAATGGAAGGCGAGAGGGGAGACAGATGAGAGCCGGTTCAACAGCTCCTGCACGCGCTCCTTCTCCTTCTTGCGCTTCTGCGGTGGGTGGGCACATGGATCGAGGAAAGGGGATAGACAAGCGGGATGACTAAGGAGGGAAGACAGGAGTGGACGGATGAGAAGGAGAGGGGCGAGAGGGGGATAGAAGTGACGCGTTTCACCTGGATGGCTGATCCTGAGGAGTCCCCAACATCTTCGAGGGAGCGCAGCAGCGCCCTCTGCTTGGACATCTCGGCTTCGTATCGCTGCCGCGGCACATGCAGGTCGCAGAGGGAGAGCCCCCAGAAGAGCAGGTAGAAGGGCGGCGACAGGCCCCGCCACGCTGCTGCGGGTGGCATGCTTCGCACCCACTCCACCACGTCCCGCCAGTGCACTGGGCTGTCAGTGGCATCGGCACCAGCAGCAGCAGCCGCAAAAGCAGTAGCAGCAGCAGCACTAGTGGAAACAGCAGCAGCAGTAGTACCAGCAGTTGCAGCTGTAGCAGCGGCATCTCCCAGGCACAACACCAAGTCCTCTTCTGATTCCCCATCCCCCTCACCCTCCACCCCATCCTCCACTACCCCATCCATTGCCACCCCATCCCCTGCCCCCTTCCTCCCCCCCTGCTGCTGCTGCCTCTTCTCCTTCTCCCCTCCCCTTCCCCCACCCCCACCACTCCCACCCGCACCGCTCCCAGCAGCAAGAGCCGGCCAGGAAACGGGCGAATCAGGGCAGGGCTTGAAGAGGCGAAGCACCGGGCGGTAGAAGAGGAAGGCGGCTTCGGGCGGCATGTGGAAGCGCTGGGAGAGCGCGTGCAGGGTCGGGACGAAGGCGGCGTACGCGGCGGGCGGCGAGAGGGCGGTGGAGAGGAACTGCGCGTACTGCAGCATGATGACGTGGCAGCGGTCCAAGTGCTCGCTCAGGAGCTTGATGTGCGACCCCTCCGCCTCAAACACAATGCTGGGGGGAGGGACAGTGTGGGGAGAAGGGGGGAGGGGGGAGACTTGCCTGGATGAGAGCGAGTGTGAGGGGCGGGAGCAGCACGAGAAGCAGTGTGGGGATGATGCGGCAGCAGTAGAAGGTGCTGCCTGCGCAGCTTCAAGTGCGAGCCCTGATACCATAACCGGACCTTAAAGCGCCAGCATGTGTCGTGCTATCGCCACTCACTTGGATCGCTGCCTGGCAATGAGCACCAGCAGCGGCACGGCGAGATTCGGCTCGCCTTTGCCCGGCAGCAGAGCGTCCTTCAGCCGCCCCATGGACCGCGCCATGGCCTGCCAGCCAGGGTAGGGGTGGGGAATGGGAGTGGGAGAGGTGCGGAATGGGGGTTTTGAGGCGCCTGAAGCAGAGGGGAACACAACACAGTGGATGCCGGGATGAGGAGTGCGAGGGGGAAATGTGAGGGAAGAGTGAATGGGTGGCAAGGAATATTACACCCATTGAGCAAGTTAAACATTTTATTCACACCCCCGCACCTTGTTGTTTCTTGAGACGTCTCAAAAATAAGTCTCATACAAGTTAAACCCTTTCTTCACAGCGCACCTTGTTGTTCTTGGCCTGGCCGAAGCTAGCAGTGAGCTGCCTGAGCGTCTCCCCGCCAGCCAGCGCCTCGAGCTGCTCCTCTGTGAGGTTCTCATTTGTATATGCCCTACCTGCCTGCTCCCTTCCCCACTCCCACCCCTATCACAGCAGCACCTCACCTTGTTGTTCTTGGCCTGCCCAAAGCTAGCAGTTAACTCTCTGAGTGTCTCCCCGCCAGCCAGTGCCTCGAGCTGCTCCTCTGTGAGGTTCTCATTCGACTCGATGCCATCCCCCCTCCCTATCCCCTGCCCCCTTCCCCACCCCCACCCAGCCACGGCAAGCCATGTAGGGCGCCTCACCTTGTTGTTCTTGGCCTGGCCGAAGCTAGCAGTGAGCTGCCTAAGCGTTTCCCCGCCGGCCAGAGCCTCAAGCTGCTCCTCTGTGAGATTCTCATTCGACTCGATGCCAGCCATCTGCTCCATCAGCTCCTGCAGCAGCACCAGCTCCACCGCCTCGCCTTGGTGCAGCCGGTTCACTAAGTAACTCAGCAGCCCCCGCAGCTCCACCAGCGGGTACTTCTTGCACCTGAGATGACAAGGGAGAGGGAGTGGAGGGAGGGAGATAAGGGGTTGAATCGCAAGCACCAGCTCTACTGCCTCCCCCCCAGCAGCTGGTTCACCAGTTAGCTGAGCAGCCGCTCCACCAGAGGGTACTTCTTGCAGATGAGGGAGAAGTGGGGAAGGACAGGGAGAGGCAGTGGGTGGGGGTAAGGGGGTCAGTGTCATGCACCAGCTCACCGCCTCCTCCAAGCAGCCGGTTCACCAGGTAGCTTAAGAGCCTTCGCAGCTCCACCAGAGGGTACTTCTTGCAGGAGAGGAAAGGGAGAGGAAAGGGAGAGGAAAGGGAGAGGAAAGGGAGAGGAAAGGGAGAGGAAAGGGAGAGGAAAGGGAGAGGAAAGGGAGAGGAAAGGGAGAGGAAAGGGAGAGGAAAGGGAGAGGAAAGGGAGAGGAAAGGGAGAGGGTGAGTATAAGGCAGTCAGTCAGTCACAGATTCAGTGCCAGCCATCGGCTTCATCAGCTCCTGTAGCAGCACCAGCTGCACTGATTTCCCCGCATGCAGCCGGTTCACCAAGCAGCTTAGGAGCCCTCGCAGCTCCACCAGAGGGTACTCTTGCAGCTGAAGGGAATGAGGAGAGGGAGAGGGAAAGGCGTATCAAAGGGGTCGGGCCAGGTTCAGTGTGAAGCTCCACCGCCTCCTGAGCGTGTGGTGTGCAACTGGTTAACCACACAGCTCAAGGGGAGAGAAGAAGGGATGTCTACTGTGTCCCGATCTTAAGACGCCATAAGAAGGGGGAAAGCAAGACAAGATATGTACATGGAGCCCTGAAAGGCGACGTGACTTTTGAGTCGACTCAAAAGTCAGCTCGACTCAAAAGTCACCTCGACTCAAAACTACAGGACAAGATTTGTACATGGAGATGGAGCACTGAAAGGCGATGCCACAAGGCAACACCAGCCAGCCCAGTAGGGAACGTAGACAGAGCACATCAATGGAAGGGAGAGGAAGGAGCTTACACGGAGCCCCAGAAGGAGGCGAGGCACTGCAGCCAGTCGGCGATGTTGAGCCCGTCCTTCTTTATGGTGCTGCTGTTGGCCTAGACTCCAGCCCAGCAGGTAGCAAACAAGTGATACCAAGAAGCAAGGGAGTTGGGGGGGGGAGGGGGACGGGGGGGTACGTACACGGAGCCCCAGAAGGAGGCGAGGCACTGCAGCCAGTCAGCGATGTTGAGTCCGTCCTTCTTTATGGTGCTGCGCTGCAGTGCCAGGCGCTCTATCACCACATACTCGAGAATGTCAAACTCCAGCTGAGGGGGGAGGTAGAGGGGCAGGGGCAAACGGGGGGAGGGTGGTGAGGAGAGCAGATGTCAATTGAGCGTACACGGCCGTACCACCAGGTAGAGGCAGGACCAGGTGCCCCAGCATGCCAGTCAAACTGCAGCTGGTACGACTCAAAAGGCAGGAAGACGAAGCAGACAAAGGAGGGATCAAGAGGGGCCGGGAGGGACGAGGTGGGGCAGGGTGGGGCGGGGTGGGGCAGGCGGCAGGATGGGGCGTGGAGGAGCACTGACCTGGTTGAAGTACTTGAAGGCGTCAACGACCGGCGGAATCATCTCCTTGTACGCCTCCACCTGCCAGCCGTGGGACAGCACGAGATGGGAGAGGAGGGGAGGGGAGGTGCGAGGGATAGGGCTGTAAGAACAAAGAGTAACTGTATCTGAAGGCATCAAGTCAACGACAGGCGGAATCATCTCCTTGTATGCCTCCACCTGCCAGCCGTGGATGAAAGTGGGTGGGGTAGGTGGTGGAGGTGGTGGTGGTGGTGGGGGAAAGGGTTGGGTTGTGAGATGAGTGAAGGGTTGAGTAATTTCAAGGCATGAATTACAGCCAGAATCATATCCTTGCAGCAGCACCCACCTGCACCACAGAAGTACCCACCTGGACCACAATGCACCACCATGCACCGTGGAGCTTGTGTCTGTCTGACCCACCTGCACCACAATGGTTCTGAGAATGGTGAGCAGGTTGGAGTGCGTTAGCTCGTAACCCATACCTGAACCTGCAACTGCCAAACACCGCTCCACACCCAGCAGCACCCACCTGCACCACGATGGTGCGCAGCACCGTGAGTGGGTTGGAGTGTGCCAGCTTCGCCACCATGCGCCCCGTCGGCTTCAAATTCTCCTTCGCCAGCCGCTTCAGCGTGCGCCGCGTGTCCAGCTGAGGGAGGGGGAGAGAGGAGGGGGGAACGCGGGGCGGGGGGGGGGGGGTGAGAAGGGGAAGAGGAGGATGGGGAGTAGCAGGTGCATTGGAAAAGATACTGAAACGAAACCTGGATTTCACGTTTGCCAGCCATTTCTTCTACACCCACCTACATGCCCTAGAAGAACAAAGCCTATACTTTACCCGACTCACCCGTGCAATCTGCCGGGCAGCCAGAACGAGGGGGTTGGTCTCATTCTCCCTCTCCCACTCGCCGTAGAGGCGGTAGCGCTCCTGGAAGGGCAGGCAGGCCAGCACCTCCCACAGCTGCATGCACACCGGCGGACTCGCCACCACCGCCTGCAGCGCTGGCAGCAGCGACGCCTCTAGCGCCTCCACCACCCGCCCCTCCACCTCCCTTGCTGCCGCTGCTGCTGCCTCCGCTTCTGCTGCTGCTGCCTCTGCTGCTGCTGCAGGAGCAGCAGCCGCAGCGTCAGGGGCAGCGAGCAATGTGTTGGGTTCAGAAGAAATGGGGCCGTTGGCTATTGCTAGTGGTGTGAGCATGGCAAGGGAAGGGCCGTTACAGAGAGCTGCAGGAGCGGAGGTGGCAGCAGATGCAGCGGCTGAAGCGGCAGCGGCTGCAGCAGTTGCGGCGGCGGCGCGGGCTTGAAGAAGGTCTGCCTTGAGCACCTTGCACAGCTGGGGTGTGCCATTGTGAGATAGGGGAGTGCAGTGCGGTGCAAATGGTGTGGCCGATATGATGTGGGTCGGTGTGGTGTGGTGAGGAGGTGTGTGGCATGCCATGCAAAACAGAAATCAAAGAGCAGAGTGGAAAGCAAATGGGAAAAAAAGAACGATCAAAGGTTTGGTGAGAAGCAAGTTTGGCCGGTGGTATGTAGAAAGGCGGGCGGGTGGCATGCAGATGACAAGTGGACATGGTGATTCCAACCTCAGAACCCCTACAGCCCACTGGCTAGTCACTTCTCACCTTGTGCAACAAACTGGTGTCCTGATGCAGAAAGACCCTCGGGATCATCTCAATCTTCCTTTAAAGCCCTTCCCCCCACCCAGTCTCACCCCTCACCTTCTGCAGCAGAATGGTGTCCTGGTAGAGAAACGCCCCCAGGAAGCGAAGCATCTCAAACACCCTCCCTGGCACCAGCGTCCCCCCTGCCCTGCTCTCCACCACACTCCTTCCCACTCCTCTGTCTTTCTCCCCTTCTCCTTCTCCGTCCTCCTCGTCCCCCCTCGCCCTCTCCCCTTTCCTCCTGCCCCCTGCCACTCCATCCACCGCGCCAGCGTCGGCCATATCCACATCTCCATCCGAGGCTCGGGAGACACCGAGGCTGGAAGGCAGGTTCGGTGTTGAGGTAGCATCGGCAGAAGGTTGGGCTTTGAGGTTGACAAGGTAGGCTGGGCGGACTGAAGCATAGGCTGGGGCAATGGCACGAGATATGAGACTGGATGGATGGGGGGAGTGGGGCAAGACAGACAGAGTAGACTGACAGTTTTAACGACTCACGTTTGCTTGACACGCATTCGAATTCACGTTCAATTGATGGGCGCTTGATTGACATGCGCTTGATTAACACCAGTTGAGACGCGTTCGATTGAACACACACTTGACACAAACAGAGTTGACGAGCATACTGACGGCGTGCGCAAATCACGCCAACACTGTGCAATAGCAGAGCATTCACAGAATTGGTGGCATGCACGTGGCATGAGCACTAGCACAGGCGCACATGGCATGAGAGCTCGCATGAAAAGACAGGCACAGGCGCGGAGCAGACATACGAGCAGAGGGCGTGGGAGTGGGAGACTTACGAGCAGAGGGCGTGGGAGTGGGAGACATACGAGCAGAGGGCGTGGGAGTGGGAGACATACGAGCAGAGGGCGGTGCAGATGGGCGGGTGGGCAACGGGGTGCAGCGGCTTCAGGTGCTCCAGCAGCTGCTGCGCATGGGGCCTGGTGGGTGAGAGGAAAAGTGTGGGGGGTTTTAGTGTTCTGCGGGTTAATTCTGAGAATTTTCACAATGAACCTACAAAAATAAAATGAGGGGGGTTTGAGTATTGACATGCCGTGAAATGTACCGAGGAAGTAGACGCACAACAATCAACCTTCAGCATACATCCAAGCAGCCACCCCCCGCCAAGACACGCAATCTAAAATTGTGTGTTTATATATATATATATACATATATATATACATACATATATATACTGATCTATTAACATATATATGTATACAAATATCGCAGGTCACCTGCGGTGTCCAAACACCATACACTCACCAGTCATCCACCAGCAACAGCGCCTAGAGCAGGCACTTCTAATCGTTGCCCTCCATCTCGCCCCACCCACACTGTTGGGACTTCCAACTTTAACAGAGTTTCTCTGAAGAGTCACACAACCATGCAAACACCTCTCCTTCACTCACCAGTCATCCACCAGCACCAGCGCCTTGAGCAGGGCATCTTATCATTGCCCTGCGCCTCGCCCCACTCCTCCGTTCAAATTTAATATTCTCAAAGTAAGAAGCACAAGGGAAGCACGTCACTCACCAGTCATCCACCATTAGCAGCGCCTTGAGCAGGCAAATCTTTGCCCTCCGCCTCGCCCCACTCCTTGGTTCACCCGTAAAAGAGCCTCAAAGTGAGAAGCAAGCACAAGGCAAGAACGGCTCACTCACCAGTCATCCACCAGCAGCAGCGCCTTGAGCAGGCGCATCTTGTCGTTCCCCTCCGCTCCGCCTCCCCAAATCCACTCCTTGCGTCAAACAGAATTCTCATTTTTGCGACTCATGCTTGTGCCACTCTTGAGAATCCTCGAAAGCAACACAACCACATGGGCTCCTCTTCACTCACCAGTCATCCACCATTAGCAGCGCCTTGAGCAGGCGCATCTTATCGTTGCTCTCTGCCTCGCCCCACTCCTTGGCAGCAGCGCTCTCCTGCCCGTCCACTGCCCCGTACAGGTCGGTCGTCACGTCTGCTGGCTGCGGGTCGTCTGTCAAGTCCCGCCCCGTCGCTGCCAGGTTAATCTTTCCTATGCGGTTCACCTGGGGCATGGAAAGGGGAATGAGCGGGAAACGGGAGCGCTTCAGATGCTCTCATACGCTGGCTGGGAGTCGTCTGTGAGGTCCCGCCCCGTCGCAGCCAGGTTGATCTTTCCTATGCGGTTCACCTAACAGGGTGGATGGGGAAGGAGGGAGGGGAATGGTGGGGAACGTTTGAAGGGTAGAGAGGGGGAAGGAGGGAGGGGAATGGTGGGGAACGTTTGAAGGGTAGAGAGGGGGAAGGAGGGAGGGGAATGGTGGGGAACGTTTGAAGGGTAGAGAGGGGGAAGGAGGGAGGGGAATGGTGGGGAACGTTTGAAGGGTAGAGAGGGGGAAGGAGGGAGGGGAATGGTGGGGAACGTTTGAAGGGTAGAGAGGGGGAAGGAGGGAGGGGAATGGTGGGGAACGTTTGAAGGGTAGAGAGGGGGGGGGGGAGGGGGAGAGGAAGGGAATGTGCGGGAATGGGGGAGAATGCAGGAAGGGCAGGAATGGCAAGGGCGGGAGGTGGCAGACGGGGGGGAGTACTGACGTGACGAGGAGGAAAGGATGTGGCGAGTGAGCAGCGCGCATGCAGACAAGCAATAAATGTCTCTCCCGTTGTATTCCCTGCACATTCAACAACTCACATCCGCTATTCTCTGTGCGTTGATCTCCTTGCTGCGTGCCTCTGCCTCCTCGTCTGGAGGGTCCAGGAACGGGTACCTGCCAGCCACACACAAGACCCAGCACGAAACCATGCAGGGACAAACGCAGGATAAGAACGGAGAAAGATAGTGGGCGAGAATGGAGAATGAGCGATATGAGGGCACAGTGGGTGGGGAGCCAACTTCTGATGCAGAACCCAAGCCAAGCCATAGAGCAGCACCAGAAGCACCAGCAGCACCAGCAGCAAGCAAAGCAGGCGAGAGGCGAGGCGACGGCCAAGGTGACTGCGAGCAGTACCACAAGACAAGCCACAAGCACGCGACTCACAGTGCAGCGAGCTGCACCACGTTGCTCTTGAGGCAGTTAGCTGCCAGCACAAACAGGCTGTCTGGAATGCGCCCCTCCGCCCCACTGCCACCCTCGCCCTTCTCCCCCCCTTCACCATCACCATCAACACCTGCTCCCCCTGCCCCCGCTTTCCCTGCACTTCCATTCACTCCCCCTGCAGCCCCCTTGCTGTTTCCTCCGCTCTCCTTCCCCCCTTTGCCTCCCCCAGCAGCAGCAGCAGCGGCAGCGGCAGCGGCAGCAGCGGTGGCGGAGAGGCGGTGGTAGTGGCTGAACTTGAACCCGAGAATTTGAGGCGCGTGCGACTGAGAGGAGCAGGGGAAGGAGCAGGGGTGCGGACGGGGGTGGGAGGTATTAGCTTCTTGCTGCTCCCCACAGCAGCAGCAGCAGCAGTGGCAGCGGCAGCAGCACCAGCGGTAGTGGCAGCAGCAGCAGCGGCAGCAGTGGTGGTGGTGAGGCGGTGGTAGTGGTTGAAAATGAACCCGAGAATCTGAGGCTCGTGCGACTGAGGGGGTCAGAGGAGGGAGTGGGAGGTGAAAGCTGACTAAGAAGCGAAGTAGAAGAGCCAAATTAACACAGACGACACCGCAACACAGCACACCATAGCACCGCATGACACATCCCCGCACAGCACAGCACTGCACAGCAGCAGCACGCACCTCAGGGAAGAGCTTGACGAGGTGGAGGAAGGCAGAGTTCGTGGGCTGCATCTCGTAGCAGTCAAGCACCTGGTGTGATGTTGATGTGAGAGAGGCGTAGGGGGAGCAAGGCAGAGAGGGAGAGAAAAGAGAGAAGAGCAAAAGAGGAAGGGCACGGTTCAGGAGTGACATTGAGTCAATTGAAAACGCATCTCGTAGCAGTCCAGCACCTGGTGTGATGTGAGGGAGGCGTGGAGCGAGAGGTGCATGGGGTGAGAGAGGTAGAGTGGGAGAACAGACAAAGAACGGGAGCAGGGTTTAGGGGCAGCATGCGGAGAGGGAGAGAGCATGCCGACATAGAACACAGGGAGAGGGGAGCGTATAAGAGAAGAGAGGCAACGACGGCGAAAGGGTATGTATGTATGTACGTGCACAATGGCATGGCATGGCATGGCATGGCATGGCCTGATCGCATGGCATGGCATGGCATGGCATGGCATGGCAGTGGTGCTATACTCACAATGTCAAACACTCGGTTTGGGTCCAGGTCAAAGAGGCCAATGAGTGACTGGCAGGGAATGGCAACACAGACAGGAGAGGGGGCGGAAGAGGATGGGGGAGATGAGCGTAGAGGACAATGTCAGACACGCTGTTTGGATCCACCAGGTCAAAGAGAATGATGAGCGACTGTTAGAGAAGGGAGAAACAGACAGGAAAAGGGGAGGGGGGAGTGGAGAGAGGAGAGGAGTGTAGAGGAAAACACGAGAAACACGGTTAAGGTCGAGATTAAAGAGGCTGATGAGTGAGGGAGGAGAGATAAAGAGAGCACAACAGGCAACAGCGACTGAGCGCGAGAGAGCGAGCTTCGTCTGCGACTGTCTGCATCCGTCAGCAACTAGCGCGAATCCCTTTCAGCCATCCGGCATTGAAGTACTAGCAGCCACGCACTCACCTTCACAGCGTCCACCACCGCGCTCGCTGATCGTGAGTTGAGTCCCAGAGGGCCCTTCTGACTCAGAATGGTGATCTGCCAGCATGGAACGGACGATGGGCGAACAACCACATATCATTGAGGTCGATTATCAAGAATGAGCTGACTCAAGTCTTAAAAAACTTCGAATAGAAACGCCGCTCACAAAGTGATGTGGCAATCAAACAATTCTCCTCCCCCCATCCTCCTCATAGTGCGGCAGGGTTGGGGGAGCATTCATTCATCCCATGGTTTCCTAATAGATCTCCCTTGTTTACCAGTTTTGCATATCCCTCGGAATCCTCTCGGAGCAGATTGAACTTGGTCTGTGTGTACACCAGGCGAGTATTCACTCGCACCTGCCAGGAAACGGGGGGAGAACGGGACAGAACGGGGAACAGGCAGTTGTTTGGCTGAACTTGGTCTGTGTGTACACCAGCCGCGTGTTCACTCGCACGTGCCAGGTGAATGCGGCAGCGCCGCGCACAGAGACGAGCACAGGCAGAAGAAAGACAGCTTCTAATGTTACTCAAACATGGGTGAGCGTGTACATCAAGTCAGTGAGAGTCCATTCACCTGAAAGATACCAAGAAGGCATTCAGAGACACACACAAGAGGTCGATGCAAAATCTACCTTGTTTGGTTGATTCGTTGATGGCGGAGCAGGGCAGAAACAGCAAGCAAGCATGTAACCAAGGAATGGGCGTGAGGTTGGGAACAGAAGCAGGCAAGGAGGCGGGGGAGGAGGGGTGGGGGGGGGGGGGAGAGGAGGGTGGCGTGTGGATTGGCAGTGACGGCTTACGCATTTCTTCTTGAGTTCCGAGGGCTCCATCTTGATCAGCCCCGCCTCCCACAGCAGCTCCTCCTGGTGGCATGGAGAAGATAGGAGAGGGGTGCCATGGGGAGAAACAGGAGTGGGCAAGATTTGAGAGGGTTGACAGTGTGGGGGGGCTTATGCATGCCTTCTTGAGCTCTGATGGCTCCATCTTGATGAGCTCCGCTTCCCACAGCAGCTCCTCCTGGTGGCGCGGCGCGGATAACGTAGGTTGGGTGTGAGGTGAGGGTGAGAATGTGGCAAGGCGAGAAAAGGTGAGTGGAAAGTAACGAAAAGAAGGCAAGGGGGGTTGCAAGGGGAGACAAGGTGACGGGGGAACCAGCAAAGAGAGTGATGAAAAAATGGTTCCCTACCCCCTTGAGACAAACATTGCTCTTTCTCATGCCTGAAATTATAGCGAATCGTCAGCTTTAAAAACAATAACGGATTTCAGTGAGCATATATCAGTGAACAGATTTTAGTGAGAGAGCAATCGAAACTGAAGGAAGTACAAGAATGCACTTGCCTCGCAGCGATCTTGCAGCATGCGAGGTGTCACGATTCCATTGGACGCCAGCCACTTGGTCTGTCAGAGACACGGGGGGCAGATGCAGTGTGGAGAAGGAAGGGAAAACGAAGAAGGAATTATGACGAGACGCAAGAGAACACGGAGTAGGCATGGAAAATGGGTCACAGAAACACGCGAGCGCATTTGCGTTATGCCATTTCGAAGTGCATGCCGTCACCTCTCTCAATGAAACTTTCATCCTACTTCCAGCATTCGCTTCTGCTCCATGAAGCTTCAGCTCCTTTTAACGACAGCTGTCGTTTCAAATCAACCACACAGCACAGCTCTTGCTGCAATGCCACGTAATCTTCATTTCGTCCAATCTTGCTCCTATGGTCGTTTCACTCCACCTCTCTTTCATTTCATCTCAATCTTTCACTTCATCTTACTGTTTCATTTCATCTCCCTGTTCCACGCACTCACCAGCTCCACCAGTCGTCGACGCAGGTCAGTCTGGCCAGACACCTGTGATTTAGCGGGCCAAGCAAAAAGCAAGGGGCATCCACAAAGAGATTGATTGGAAGAGCTCTGGAACCAAGCCAACAGAAGAAACAACAGAAGCTTTTATCCAAATTTGAGCAGCTGTTAGCAACAAGCTTCAGGCAAAGGAGAAAATGCTTCACATATACATGCCACACCACATGCAGGGCAGGGCTACATGATTAATTTTACATGCGGAGCGGAGGGTTGCATGTAGAACTTACCAAGGAGCCCTCCGCAGGCACTGCAGTGCCCCATGAAACACGGGGCACTGCAGGCACGCCTGAGTCGAGAGGTGAGTCACTGCAGAGCCACCCAAAGTTCCTCAGTAGCCAGCTCCCTCTGCTGCTGGAGCCTCTGCTGCTCATTCCAGGTACAACAAAGACCTAACAGCGACACACGTTATCGTGCCTCGAGCTTCCAAATCTGAAGTTGGGGCCTCTGCTGTTCGTTTCGGGATCAACAAAGGGACCCCAACACCAAGGGCGCTGCACTCAAATCTTCATACCTTATATGACAGCTGAGCCACTGTGTCCGCCAGGAGGGAGGGCATGTTTGGGGCAGGATTGACTTGTCAGAATTCTCGAAAGATTAATCCAGTTCAACTCCACGTACCTCGAACGCCAGCTGAGCCACTGTGTCCGCCAGGAGGGAGGGCATACCTGGGGCAGGATTGACTTGTGAGAATTCTCGAAATGTCAATCCAGTTCAACTCCACGTACCTCGAACGCCAGCTGAGCCACTGTGTCCGCCAGGAGCGAGGGCACATCTGGGGCAGGCGAAGACTGCTGATCCGCCACACGCTGGTCCGCAGCAGTTGCTGCACCCGCGTCGGGGGATGCAGAGGGCGGAAGGGGAAGGCCTGCGGACTGCAGCGCGGCTGGGATCCGCGCGGATGGCAGGTCGCCATGCACCTGGAGGGAAGGGAGGCGGGAAAACAGGAGGTTAAGGGCGGGACAGCATTTGGGCTTGGATGCAGAAAATTCACAGCTGACAAATTAGGGTTTCACTCGCGACAATCTGGAGGCTCGTATTCTGCAGTCCTGGTTGAAATATGTGTGCATGTGGTGACTAATCCGGTTATTTTCTTCGCAATGACGATGCTTAGCCGACTATGAAACCCTAATTCTGTGGGGTGGGTAAGCACGAAAAGAAAGGGTTCAAAAGAACCTCTCATTTAACACGCAGGGACTTTACGGCAAGCATAGCATCATCGCGGATTGCACTGGTACTCTCAGCCTTGTCCATCTCTGCGGCACGACGAGCAGCCAGATAAGATTGACTTGGAGATATCGCTAAGGCGGTGCCGACAGCAGGCTAGGCAGGGAAAGGGTATGCCATGCAAGCGGCGGTCAGGAAAACACCAGTATCAGGTGGTCAACTCGGCTCCGAGTCAACGGATCGAAATGTCTAGGCTCAGCTTTAACCGTCGAAAACTTGGCTGGCTGATTACTGTCAGTTTGACGAGCTCTGAACCTTGAAATCTCTCGTTTCTTGATCGAATTACCGTACACAAGCCTTACGCGAATGTCGTTTCGGAGGTCAAGACCTGTAACGGCATTTAGCCACTACTGATATGCATGAGTAGGTGATCCGTAGCTATCAGCTATACTACTTGACTTCATTAGGGTGTAGAAGTCTATCACTCACCACCGTCCAGCACAGCTCGTAAATGAATCGCAGAGGCGAATCGACGACTGTCGTCGCGGTGATCGGATCCGACGACGTGCGCCATCGCTGAACCTGCTGCTCCGTCGCATACTTAAATCGGACGGTGCTGACAAGGCCTGATGACGTGGAAGGAGCCATCGCGAGGCTTCCTTGCTCAACACTCGAGCGTTATCACCTATCCTAGAAAAACATTAGGCTTCAATAATGATGAGGCTGTCTTATTGAAGCGCACCACCATGCACGGGGAGTCAGCAAGGCGTTAGCGAGACACAAACTAAATGCGAGCTCGGATCGTGCACTAACTATTGATTGGGGATAGTTATCACTATAGATGGAAGCTGCGAGTCAAATGAGACTGCGACCTGCGTGAAATGAAGCATCAAATTTACAGTCCTCAGCCCCGCATTTATTTGTCTAAGATCCGCGTCCGAATTCGCAACTGAATCACTTCTAGTCCTAAAATGGTCCGACTAAAGACGACGCGATTGGCGCTGCGTCAGAGCGATCTGAGAGAAAAGAGAACCAAGGGAAATAACCTCCAGTCCAGGCCTAATGGCATCGTAAATTGTTTACGTTGGTAAGTTGTAGATCTGTACAAACTGACTCATACTGTACCTAGATTCCTTGTACGTTGGCTACCTACTGTTTTGTTGACGAATTGAAACATCCACAATCGAGAACCAGGCACCACCTCCACACCGATCTTGCCATCCTTTTCACTTTCACCGATACAGTCACACGCTGCCGCATCTACGCATTTTCCGGAATACTCGAGGTTATTTTTACGACTGCCGGTCGGCTGGAGCGTCAAATCCACCCTTCTTTCGAGTCCACAACGGTTCAACACGAGATGCAATGCCTTGGCGACAATCTTCTGCTGCTGCTTCTGCTGTTGTCCTAAGCTGAAGCAGCCGGGATTTGCCATTTGTTCATAAATTCTCTATCGCCTCTAATTACTGGCGTCATTAGGTAATCGCGTCACCTGGTCAGTGTTGGGGCAAGCAGCGGCTCGGAGGAAAGCAGACAGTCCTTCATCCACGGCCTTACGGTCACGGCATTTGAGTCCTGGCATTACAACTTTTACCCTTCTTTCTTGTTGTGCACGCGGGCGATGGCACAATGACGTAACGCGCCGGCCGATACGAGCGGCGGATGGCGTCCACGTAACCTCGAGGAGGCTTTTGAATCGAGGAGGGACAAAGGAGAAGCGCGCCTCGTTCGCTTTTGCGACGTCTCGAGACATTGACGCCGGCTTTTGAGGCTGCTTAGAAACAAACCGCAAATTGTCGTTCCCTGCTGTAACACGATCCGCGAAGGAGGAAGAGGGGAATTTCAACAGGAATTTGCATGAATCGCTTAGAAGCAAACCGTCTTTTGCTGCAATAACGCGATCTGCAGACGACGGGGACGGGATCATCCAGTCGTCCATCATTCCATCATCATTCCCTAGGGAATTCGCGCGTAATTATCGGCGGCGCGTGACGCCTACACTCGGCGCAACCAGATCCGGTCTATTCTACTCGTCGGCGGATCCGTCTCCCCGCCCTCCCCACTTACAACTCCGAAATTCCCATCACTCACTTCGGACTCCCCTCTCCGTGCCTCCCCCTCCCCCAATCTTCCCCCGGAACCCCACTCCGAACTCCCCGCGGCGCGGGTATACGAGCGATGAAGCCGAGTGGTAACCCGCCTAGCCTGAACATTGGATCCTCTTTCGCCACCTCGTCAACCGCTCGCCCGGCCGCCACCTTCCGTTCCCGGCCGTTCTTTGCAACCCCCTCCAAATCCCCTTCCTTCGGGCTCCCCTCATTCCCCCCACTCCACTCGCCCTTCGCATTCCCCTCCTGGTCCCCCTCCTACTCACGCTTACTCTGGCCCTTCACCTCCTCCCCTCGAGCCTCCTTCCATCCCGCTTCCCTCTCCTCCTTCCCCTCCCGTCCCTCGCACTCTTCCCCCTCCCCCCTCCCCTTCCGCCTCCTCTTCCCCCTCCCCTTCTCCTGCTCCCCGCGTTCCATCTCCCTCCCAAAGCTTCTCCTCGCGCTTATCCTCTTCACCCTCTTCCTCCTCCTCGCGCCCCTCCCCAAATGGCCCAAGCGCTTCCACTCCCCCTTCTCCGTCATCCCCCCTCCCCCCGATGGTCTCTCCTTCCTCCCCTCGCGCTGCCCGCCCGCCTGCTCGCGCCACGGCTCCTGCAACGAGGAGGCGGGTAGATGCGACTGTTTACCCGGGTACACGGGGGTAGATTGCACGGAGTTGGGGTTACCCTCGTGCCGGTACGCATGGGGCGTGGAGATGCCGTGCTTCCTGCCGTCGTCCTGTGACTGTGCGCTCGAGTGCGAGCGCTTCTTTTTGCCCCGCGACGAGTACTGCTTCCCCAATAACGGTATGTGTGGGTGGTGATGGTGATGGTGATGGTGATGGTGATGGTGGTGCATAAGAAGCAATACATGCTTGGGCTGATGGTGTTGGTGGTACCTCTTCAGATCCAGATGCATGTCCTTTCTTCCACGCTTCTTCAGCTCCCCTCGTTATCCCGCTTCCCGCGCAGAATCTCTTTCCTCTAATGACTCTCCCCTTTCCTTTCCGCTAACAACTTATCCTCTCTTTCCCACTCCCCCTGCCCCAGGGGCCTTCTGGAAGGAGCTCACAATAGGGGCCATCATAACGCGCATGCCGCTGCGCCTGCGCACACTATTGGCTCTCTCCACCCCACAGTTCCAACAGCCCTTTACTCTTTCCCCATTGCATCCATTTCTCTCTTTCCATCTCCAGGAACCTTCTGGAAAGAGCTCACAATAGGCGCCATCATAACGCGCATGCCGCTGCGCCTGCGCACACTATTGGCTCTCTCCACCCCACAGTTCCAACAGCCCTTTACTCTTTCCCCATTGCATCCATTTCTCTCTTTCCATCTCCAGGAACCTTCTGGAAAGAGCTCACAATAGGGGCCATCATAACGCGCATGCCGCTGCGCCTGCAGACAGACGGCAACGGCACTGAAACCGGCCCGCGAGAACCCTTCAGTATAAGCACACCCGCCGACACCCACAGCGGCAGCAGGAGCAGCAGCAATGGCGCTACATCAAAGCCATCACAGGCAGCAGCAGCTGCAGTAGCTGCAGCGGCTGTTACGGCATCGCCGCTGCTGTTCCCATCCACCCCCCTCCCGCCGCACCCCTTCCCGTGGCTTGTTCCTCTCAACAACTGCCCCAATTACTGCTCTGGCCGTGGGCTATGCGATGCCACCTACTGGGAGTGCAGGTATGATAGGGGCAAGGGGGGAGGTTAGGGGAAGACGGGTGGGATCATTTGCAGGCTCGCATGGGGACGAAAGGTACTGTTTTGCGAGCTTTGAACTCACTTGGACACGGGGGCCACGCCCTCCGAACGTCCCTCCCGCCGCACTCGTTCCTATGCCTAGCTTCGCATTGTCCGCTGCTCAGCAACTGCCCGAACTACTGCCGGGTGGAGGCCTATGCAAAGCTACAAAGCAAGCCTACACATGCTGAAGAACAGCTTGCGAAAAGTACTGCTGCCTGCCACGCATTGACCATGGCTCCTGTTTGGGGCTTCATTGGCAGAGGCCTATGCGAAGCTACCTACTTTGAGTACACGTTGATGGGGGTGGTGGGGGCAGAGCAGGCGGGAGGGACGCTTATGATGCGCCTACACCCGCTGAAGAAGGCACACCCGCTGAAGAAGGCACACCTGCTTCCTTAAAAGTCACTTCCTTAATACCAGTGGCATGTCTCAACTCACTTACACGTGTGGGCCACAGTCACCCAGCTACACCCCTCCGCATCCCTCTACATCCCTCCAGTGCCTTTTACATCCCTCCACACCTCGTCACACCCCTCCACATCCTCCCAGGTGCCCCTGGTACCACGATGGCAGTGCATGTGAGGACGAGAGCTTCTCAGTGGCGTGTCTCAACGACTGCTCGCAGCGGGGCGACTGTGAGGGTGGTGTGTGCCAGTGCCAGGCGGGGTTCTTTGGTGCAGACTGCTCGCTCTACTACAATGAAGAATTGCGTCTAAGGTGGGGAGGGAGGGGTGGGAAGGATGGGGAGAGAGCTGGCTGCTTGCAGCTTGTGTGTGCTAGTCGGTACTGTCTGTCTATCAGTGCCAGGCGGGGTTCTTTGGTGCCGACTGCTCGCTCTACTACAATGAAGAATTGCGTCTAAGGTGGGGAGGGAGGGGTGGGAAGGATGGGGAGAGAGCTGGCTGCTTGCAGCTTGTGTGTGCTAGTCGGTACTGTCTGTCTATCAGTGCCAGGCGGGGTTCTTTGGTGCCGACTGCTCGCTCTACTACAATGAGGAGCTGCGGCTAAGGTGGGTGGGCGGGGTGGGGTGGGAGGAGAGTTGGTTTCTGCTTCTCTGTGTGCCAGTCTATTTTTGAGGCGCCTCAAAAATGGTTTCTGCTTCTCTGTGTGCCAGTCGGTGCTGTCTATCAGTGCCAGGCGGGGTTCTTTGGTGCCGACTGCTCAGTTTACAATAATGAGGAGCTGCGTCTAAGGTGGGTGGGCGGGGTACGCCTTGTGTGAGTTCTAATTGGCAGGAGGCGACTGTGAGGGCGGCATGTGTCAGTGCCAAGCCAGCTTCTTTGGTGCCGACTGCTCAGTTTACAATAATGAGGAGCTGCGGCTAAGGTGGGGAGGGAGGGGTGGGAAGGGTGGAAAAAGAGCTGGTTGCTTGCAGCTTGTGTGTGTGTGTGTGTGTGTGTGTGTGTGTGTGTGTGTGTGTGTGTGTGTGTGTGTGTGTGAGTGTGTGTGCTAGTTGGTACTACTCTGTGTGCCAGTGCCACGCTGGTTTCTTTGGTGCCGACTGCTCGCTCTACTACAGCGAAGAATTGTGCCTCAGGTAGGAGGGGTGGGAGATGTGGCAAGGGTGGGAGGGAGAGGAAGAGGGTTGGCTGCAGCTTCTATGTGTGCACGTCGTTCCTGTCTGCCTCTGTCGTGCGAAGCCGGCTTCTTTGGTGCTGACTGTTCGCTCTACTACAATGAGGAGCTGCGTCTGAGGTGGGCGGGAGGGGTGGGAGGAGATTTCGAGGGACTGCGTCTTGTGTGTGTGTGTGTGTGTCTGCTTTTGTGACCGTCTGCTCACTCTTGTTGCAACGAGGCAAAGGAGGAACCTCTCCTGTTTTTGAGACGACTCAAAAACAGACTTTTGTTACAACAAGGCAAGTTCAAAAACCTTTCCTCACCATCACCGACTCCTCTTTCCCCATCCTCCGCCTTCCCACCCACCAATCAGGAGGCTCCCCGGGTCGCCCTTTCCCTGGGCGGACATTCCAGAAAGTGACACGTTCGCAGCAACACCAGCAGCAGCAGCAGCTGCGGAAACCCAGGCACCAGTTTCCCTCAGCCCAGAGCCACAACCAGCCCAGGAGCAGCAGCAAAGTGAAGCAGGAGCAGCGGGAGCAGTTGCAACATCAGCAGTAGTCGGAGAAGCAGCAGCAGCCATAGCAGGGGGAGCAGCAGCAGCAGCAGCAGCAAGGGGGGGGAGTCTGAGGGTGTATGTGTACGAGTTACCCCCCCAGTTCAACTCATGGCAGATGCAGCACTCGCCGTACATCGACCACCCCGAGGCCCTCTGGTTCTGGGAGCACCTGCTCGCCAGCCGCCACCGCACCATCGACCCGCGGGAAGCTGACTTCTTCTACGTGCCTCTGCTCATTCGGTACGTGCATGCGGCTACGTGGCTCTAGGTGTTGATCAGCGGTGTGTACCGGTAGATGCCCTCTGGTGGTTCTAAGCTGCTCGCCAGTCGCCACCGCACCATCATCGACCCGTGTGAAGCCGATTACTTCTATGTGCCTCTCCGCATTCGGTAGGTTCTGGTGGGTGCACTAGCTCTCTATGTAGTATGTGCGTGAGCTGGCTCCAGGTGATAGGTGGTGTGCTCAGCAAGGAGTATGTAAGTTCGCCCCCTGCAACCCTAACCCTTCCGTCCTTCCCCTTCCCCTCCCCCTTCGCCCTCCCGCCCCGTGCTCTCTCCCACGCTCCTCTTGGCTCCTTTCCCACATCACCCTTGCGGGCTCCCTCCACCTTCAGCAACCGAGACAGTGGCAAGCAACGCCTCATCACAGAGACCATCTCCTTCATCCGCTCGCTGGGTCCCTTCTGGGACGCCAAGGGCGGGGCGGACCACATCTTCCTGGTGAGTGAGGAGTGCGGCAAGTGCGCCCTGCAGCTGCACGGGCTCGAGGACCCGCGGCTAGCGTCCGCAATCACCCTCACTCCCTGGGGGTACACTCGGAACATGCTCGGAACGGCGGAGGGCGGACCTTGCTTCCGGCCCGGGCAGGACATTGTGATTCCGCCCTCGGCGCATCTGAGGTTCCTGCAGAATGCGAGTATGGTGAGGGAGGCGGGTGGGCTTACTGGGCTGGTCACGGAGGGAGGTGCGGGTGGGGAGGGAGAGATGCAGCAGCAGGGGCAGGAGCAGGTGCAGCAGGAGGGGCAGCAGCAGCAGGGCCAGCTGCAGCAGGAGGAGGGGAATGGTGGTCAGGGGCAGGGAGGGAGGGAGAGGCAGTACCTGCTGTTTGTGAGAGGGCTGAATGTGAGCGATGGCGGCAGCGGGTGGGACGAGGAGACACACCAGCAGGAGCAGGGGGGGGAACAGCAGAGAGACAAGAAGCAGCAGGGGGAGGGGGAGCAGCAGGTGCAGGCATTGAGGAAGGAGCAAGGGGAGCCGCCGTTCAGCTTTGGCGTGCGGCAGCGGGTGTTTGAGCTGTATGAGGGGCGGGACGCTGAGACGGGCTTTAAGGTGGAGGTGGTACCGGAGGGCGGTGAGGAGCTGGCGTATGGCGGCATGGAGCAGAGCGTGTTCTGCCTCGCCACCGCCGGCCATGGCTGGCATGCATCCCTGGCAATGGCTGTCATCGCGGGCTGTGTGCCCATCGTTATTCAGGTGGGTCTTTCGAACTCTCTCTCTGTCTCCCTGGGTGGTTGGGAGCTGGCGTATGGCGGCATGGAGCAGAGCGTGTTCTGCCTTGCCACTGCCGGTCACAGCTGGCATGCGTCTCTGGCAATGGCTGTCATTGCGGGCTGCGTGCATGTTGTGATTCAGGTGGGTTTATGTTGGCATCAGGTGTTGTCAGTCAGGCGGGTCCCTGTTGTCATTCAGGCGGGTCTGTGTTGTCGTTCAGGTGGGTCTCTGTTGTCATTCAGGTGGGTCTCTGTTGTCATTCAGGTGGGTTTATGTTGTCGTTCAGGTGTGTCTCTGTTGCCATTCAGCAAATGTCGTTGTTCAGGTGGGTCGCATGTGTCAGTCTCGTGAGTGTGAGTGGAGCACAGCACTCATCCTTTTTTTTTTTTTTTTTTTTTTTTTTTTTTACGTTCTTTTTTTTTTTTTTTTCCGGCGCATGGTGCCCAATCAATTAACCATCCCTTCCATGCTCACAGCCGGATGTGCTACTTCCCTTTGAAGGAGATGGAGTGGACTGGAGTCTTGTCTCATACCGCCTTAACATTCACGACATCCCTCAGCTTCACGAACGGCTTCAGGCAATTCCGCCAGAAGACATCGAACTCAAGCAGAAGCGCCTGCGACAGCTATGGCCGCTGTTCATCTGGTCAGCTCCGCAGTTCAATCCAGTGGATTTTCTACCCGAAGGGGCTCAGATGCAGGTGACAAGATTGATTGCACGGTATGATGCGTTCAGCGCTGTGATTTTTGCCTTGGCTAGACGGGTTGGGAAAGCGGGAGGGCGAGACTCGCTTTTGGACTGGTACAGGGATGGGGAAGTAGGAAAGTCGCAACATATGAGCTGAAGTTAACATGTATGATCAATAGTCATGTTATTTGTAGTATTATATTTCTAAGTAGTGCTTTTCTCTTGTGCTTTTCTCAATGTCGGGTCGATGACACAGCATTGGATTGGAAGTATCCTGTCGTAACCCTCCACGTGGCACAATCTCGATCGCCAAGGAGATGCTCTACCGTCCAGCGCATTCGAAACAACCTCACCTCGAGGCAGAGCTGGCGATGGATTCTTCCATAAGCTCAACACCTGATTGGCCAATGCTTTTCAAAAATGCCCTCGTCCAACTGAGGTCCCTTCATCCAACCATCTTCAACAATCCTATAACGTCAACCACCACTTCCGAACAGCCCTTGCTATTCTGCTTTCCCATGCTCTTTCTCGGCGGAACTCGCAAGCTCCCAAATTTGCTAGAATATCAGCTCTGCTCGAGAGCTAGTCCTAGATTAGCACTTCATTCCTGCTTCTCACTGGGATTTGTGTTTCTCATCCTTCACGTACCCCAAATATAAACCTCTTGTTCTCTGTTCCGGAGTTTCGTCAACTGCGCGGTCTTCCAGAAATGGCCGGCCTACTATCCTCATCCATGCAGGGAACACTCCTGAAGCTGCCTGCAGCAACTCGCATTACCGCTCCCCCATCTCGCTCGCTCACCGCTGTAGCCGCTCACACCGGCGCATTTCCCTCGAGGAGACAGACGGCATCCGGCAGAAGACCGTTGTCGACGCCGCTGCGCGCTTCGGAGCTGACGGCGATCGACACGTTTACGTCGGAACTGGACGAGCTGGAGGGAATGGTTGACGGAGAGTACGAGGAGGTACCGGTTCACACGGTGACGGTGCACGACCGAGAACGAGGAGTCACGTATACGGTCGACGTGCCTCAGGTAAGATTCGATGACGCGTAGAAGGATATGAGGATGGGTAGATGGAAAACGAGGCAGGGAACTGCTTGCGCCAATAGCTGAATGTTGTAAACTGGACATAGGGCGACTAATGAGAACCTTCGTCCCATTGACACACACCGTTAAACATGCACTTTCACATTTCGGTTCTGTCAGTGGTCGAAGGCGACGCTAAGACTAGCTCACCTGTGTATCTGTATCAATCTCAGTTCTTGAACAATAGAGATGGTCAGCCAGCTCACGCGTTTCGTACGAAACCAGTCGTTAGGAATGTATTCGTTAAGCTGTTTCTTGGGACCACGGCGGAATCGACCCTGATGTTTTTCGCATGGTGAAACTGCCTCAAGCCTCTGAACAATTTACCAGTATGCTGTCTGTGCTGCTTGACTCCCAGATTTCACCTTCTCTCTAACCTAATGAACTGCCTCAACTGCGTTGGTCCCTTGGATACTATGATGCAGGATCAATACATTCTTCAAACCGCGGAGGAGGAAGGCATCAAGCTGCCTTTCGCATGCCGACATGGCTGCTGCACAGCCTGCGCTGTCCGGGTGATTTCTGGCGAGCTGGTTCAACCACGTGCGCTTGGCATCTCACAAGAGCTCAAGGAGAAGGGTTACGCTCTGCTGTGTGTGGGGATCCCCCTCTCTGACCTTGAAGTGGAGACACAGGACGAGGATGAAGTGTACTGGCAGCAGTTTGGCAAGTACTTTGCAAGAGGTCCAATTGAGCGTGATGATTATGCTCTGGAGCTTGCGATGCAAGACGAGTAATGGATGGATTTGCAAGGTGGAGAGCTACCTTGATTTTTCCCAAGCGCTCTGGCCTGTAGTCCTCCGGTTTAGCACAAAAAGGTTCTACCATATGTTGCCCTAGTCAACTTGGGGTCATTTCCACAGTTATGCCGATGTTGCTAGTGCACAGAGTCATGAAGACCTGGATCATGTGATCCTGGTAGATGCACAACAAGAATGTCGAACACATACGTAAAAGTGATACCAGCTTTTTGTACACTGATTTGGCTTCAAACAAAGGCATGATAATCAGATCTGGGCATTACATTGAATGTTTAGTTTTGTTCCTCAGTGTAGGTTGAGTCATTAGCGGAAGTATTCATTTTTTTCTTATTATTTAAGAAAAAATGAACCAATGAGGTGTAATAAAGCTTCTGCACTGCTCCTAAACAAAAATGGAGCCGGGTCACACAATAATGTGAGTCGAATTCGGCACGGCTCTGCCGTCCCACCGCTCCACGCTGCCACAGCAAAAACATCCATAGTGGCCTTCTATCTTGTGCGTGATACTGGCTAATACATGTCTTGGCGCGTCACACGCGCTGGACATTCCTCAGAGATTCTACTATCTCCTCCATCACAGCCTCCCATCCCACGATCTTTATCGTTTTCGTTGCATAGCAGCGTTAACCTTTTCGCAAAAGCTCGGTTCCTTCCCAGAACTCGAGGCGAAGGAAAGGGAACGTTTTCTCCTCGTTCCTACGCTTCAAAAATACAAGCATGATGCAGCTAGGAGTTCCCTCTCGTTATAATTACCTGACCTACAGCCATGTCCTCGCTATAAGCTCAAGAGCTGCTGATCACCCCGTCACCTTCCCCTCGCAACCATCCATGACTCATGCTTCATCCTACTATTCTTCAAATATCCGCATTCTTAAAAATAGTGGCACAACCTGGCATTTCAAGCGTTCCTGCTGTTTCTGCGAGGCCGCCATTCCCATGGCTGCCGCTTCTTTTGCCGCAAAGACAGACGCGGATTCGAAAGAAGGTTCTTCTCAACAAAAGTTCGCGGAAGGGCCCCTCTTGAGAAATGCGATCATAGTGGGCGGCGGGATTGCCGGTCTGACGGCAGCCATTGCTCTCCGCCGGCAGGGAGTTGACGTCCAGGTGGGTGGCCTTACTGACTGTCAGGCAGATTATTCCACTGGCAGGTGAGTTTGGCGGCAAGGCAATAAGGTGACAGAGAGCTTTCACCCTCACCTGGCGCCTTTAGCTTCGCTCTGCGCGATTGTTGCTCCCCGCGCCAGCTAGTTGCCCCCCGCGCTAGTAACGGTTGCTCCCCGCCCCTCGTGAACAAGAAGGTATAAAATTCCAGTGTTTCTCATGCACGGCAGGTGTACAGAGGTTGCTTTTTGCGTGGTCTAATGTTCCGTGTGCCCCTCCGTGGCAGGTGTATGAGAAGGCGGAGGGGCGTGATCCCGAGAGGGTGGGGCGCATGGTGGGGATTCAGCCCAACGGGCTGGCCGCGCTGCGATGCATCGACCCTGCCATAGCTGATGCTGTAAGAGAGATGAGCTTGAGTCGACTTCAGAGGAGAATCTTGGGTTTCTTGGTTTTGGCTGCATGGTTGGGATTTGGCCCAATTGGCTGGCAGCGCTGCGATGCATCGACCCCACCATTGCTGATGCTGTAAGAGAGATGAGCTCTGGAGCCGACTTGTAAAGCGCATGTCGGGTTCTGGGTTCCGAGTCACCTCACAAGGCGCATGGTGGGAATTCAGCCCAACGGGCTGGCAGCGCTGAGATGCATCGACCCCACCATCGCTGATGCTGTAAGAGATGGGCTTGAGTTGATTCACAAGGCGTGTTGTGTCGTGTGTGTTGGTGTGTGTATTGGTGTCACTTCTGAGAAAATCTCGAAAGTGCCACCATTGCTGTAATAGATGACTCTTGAGTCAAACTCACAAGGCTTACCAGCCTGCCTCGTCCAGCGAGGTGCATCTTGAGGCCACTTTCCTTCTCACCTTCCCCCCTCCCCCTCTGCCCACTTCCCCACAGCTGCCGTTGCAAAGCGCGCATGTACTCTGCCTGTGGCAGCTCGTCCCATCAGCTCGCCCCATCAGCTCGCCCCATCAGCTCGCCCCATCAGCTCGCCCCATCAGCTCGCCCCCCTTACCTGCAAGTCTCATTGCAAGGCGCGCATGTACTCTGCCTGCGCCAGCTCGCCCCATCGGCCGAGGTGCTGCTGGAGGCCACTTCCCTTCTCACCTCATCTTCCCCCCTCTCACCCCTTCCCCCCCCTTACCTGCAAATCTCATTGCAAAGAGTGCAAGTTCGCAGCCTGTGCCAGCTCGCCCCATCCAGCGAGGTGCTTCTGGAGTCAACTTCCTGCCCCACCCGCCCCCCACCCGCTTCCTCGCAGTTCCCATCGCAGGGCGTGCATGTGCCCAGCCTGTGGCTGCTCGCCCCATCAGGCGAGCGAGGTGCTGCAGGAGGCCACTTCCCTGCTCACATCCCCCCAAACCCCTCTTCTGCCCTTTTCCCCGCAGTTCCCATCGCAGGGCGTGCATGTGCCCAGCCTGTGGCAGCTGGCCCCGTCAGGCGAGGTGCTGCTGGAGGCCTTGGCACCGGCTGATGGCCGCATCGGCATCCGCTGGGGGCTCGCCCTCGAGGTGCTGCAGCGCTTCCTGCCTGCATCAATCGTGCACCAGGGCTGCGAGTTCACGGGGCATGTGGAGCAGGTGCGTTGCATTCTTCTCAACGATCCTGTGTTGCATTCTTCTCAACGATCCTGTGTTGCATTCTTCTCAACGATCCTGTGTTGCATTCTGACACTGGCACCTCAACGATCCATGCCTCTCGCCTTCCGCTGGGGGCTCGCCCTTGAGGTGCTGCAGAGCTTCCTGCCTGCATCAATCGTGCACCAGGGCTGCGAATTCGCAGGGCGGGTGGAGCAGGTGGGCTCTGGTTCTGAGTCCATTCTGAGCAGGTGGGTTGGGTTCTGAGTCGCCTAGAGAATACTGCAGGTGCTTCGGAGTGGCCTGGCAGAGAGCTGAGTGCCGCACGGGTTGAATTGAATCTGCATTGTATGCAGATAGGCTGGCCCCTCTTCCTCTCCCTCACCCCTCACTCGTCCCCTGATTCAACCCTCGCTGTTCCTCACACCTGCCCCACTCTCTTAATCTCCCTCGCCCCTCCTCCCTCCTCTCATTCGCCCTTGTCTTTGGTTTGTTTGCCTGGTCCGGGTTGCTGCCCATCCCCATCCCCTTGCTCACTCACTGACTTTGCCAGGCCAACGTATGAGGCGCCTTAAAACTCCTCCCTCCCCTCATTTGCCCCTGTCTCTGGTGTCTTTGGTTGCACTCCCCATCCCCATGCTCACTCACTCGCGCTAGCGGGTCAATGGGCATGTGACGGCCCACTTCATGCGCCACGGGCAACCATGTTTTGAGCTGACCTCAAACTTGCCTCTGGTTTGTTTGCCTGGTCCGGGTTGCTCCCCATCCCCATCCCCATGCTCACTCACTGACTCTGCCAGGCCAATGGTCGTTTGACGGCCCACTTCACTCGCCATGGACAAACATTCATGTTCCGAGTCGACCCTAAACCTGTCTCTGGTTGGTTTGCCTGGTGTGCTGCGCTCCCTCCCCATCCCCATGCTCACTCACTCGCGCTGGCAGGCCAATGGTCGTGTGACGGCCCACTTCATGCGCCAGGGGCAGCCATTCAGTGCAGAGGTGAGCACATGGCAGCATGGGCGTTCGCCTTTGCCTCTGTTCTGTTCCCGCGGTACGCTCCCCATCCAACCCCATGTTCGCTCGCTGACTCCGCCAGGCCAATGGTCGTGTGACGGCCCACTCCACTCGCCACGGGCAACCATTCAGTGCAGAGGTGAGCACGGCTGCAGCACTGCACGGGCTAGTTTTGAGGCGCCTCAAAACATAACTACCTTTGACTCGCCACGGGCAGCCATTCAGTGCAGAGGTGAGCACGGCTGCACTGCACCGGCTCTGCAAAGTTAGAGGAGTTTTGTTATGGGGCGCCACTAAATCACTAAAAGCCGCAGCATGGGCGTGCTACATACCCCTCATTTTGGTGGCAAGCCCGCAGCAAGGCTGCACAAGAGGCACGTGATACGAGTGGTATGTTACATACATGAGCCGTGCGTTACACAAGCTTCAGGTAGGGCATGCTACATACCCCTCATTTTGGTGGCAGGCCCGCAGGCGTAGTGACCGTGGTCCAACGAGTTTATGGTTCCTGTCTGTCTGTCTGTCTGTCTGTCTGTCTGTCTGTCTGTCTGTCTGTCTGTCTGTCTGTCTGTCTGTCTGTCTGTCTGTCTGTCTGTCTGTCTGTCTGTCCCTCTGTGCCACACAGGCGGATCTTCTGATTGGCACGGACGGGGTTCGGTCTCTGGTGAGGCAGCATGTGTTGAGGGAGGGCGAGGAGAGGGAGCGGTGGGGCCCGCCGCGCGATAACGGCCGCACCATGTGGCTCGGCGCTGCTCCCCGCGAGACTGTCAGCTTCGAGGTACGATTGTGAGCTTCGAGGTGCGGTTGGTTGCCTTGTGCTTATGGAAGTCACAGCCCCCTCATTACAGCTGCATTGCTCTGGCCGATTTGGAATGTGATTGTGTGTCTTGTTTACCCTCCCTGTCACGTCCTGTCCCGATAACATGGATGGCAGTACAATTGTCCGTTCCTCCCTCCGCCCCTCCCTCTCCCCTCCCTCCCATAGCACTCCCGCCCTTACCGCACGTGCTTCACCAGGGGCAGCGGGAGGACGGCAGCAGTGGGGGACCTCGGTGGGGCGGAGATTTTTGTCCTGTTTGTGTGTGCGGACGAGCAGGGGAGGGGGCTGACAGAGAAGCGGTCAGCGGATGGGGAGGAGGTGCGGGGGAAGATCAGGGCGCTGTTCGCAGACTGGCCTGCATACCGAGATGTCATTGAGGTGAGCGGGGGGGAGGTGTCAAAGTGAGTGGGTGCTTTTTCTTTAGTTGATTTGGAAGCTGAGGGCGCTGTTCGCAGACTGGCCTGGCCTGCATACCGAGATGTTATTGAGGTGGGTGGATGGGTGGGTGGGTGGGTGGATGGTTTGTTTCTAGTCGAACAAAATGAAAGGAGGTGCAGGGGAAGCTGAGAGCGTTCTTTGCCGACTGATCTGCATACAGGCATGTGATTGAGGTGGGTGGGTGTGCTCCTTCTCTTGCGTTGAACAAAGAAAAGGAGGTTGAGGGGAAAAGCTGCTTCAAAAATGGCTGGTAGGGGAAAAGCATACTGGGGTCTATTGAGGTCGGCTGGTGCCTCGTTCCTAAGGGGGAGTGAAATCGAGGGGAGAGTGACTGAGGTAGGTGCGTGATTCCTCTTATGTTACACAAATAAGACGAGGTGCAGGGTAAGCTGAGGGCGCTGTTTGCCAGCTGGCCTGCATATCCTCATCCGAAATTCGCTTTCTTCAGACTGATGCGCGAGGTGCTGCACGTGCCTCTGTTTCCCAAGTACCTTCTGACGTGCGTCAGACAAAACCCTTCCCCACCACTCCTCCCTCCGCACCTTCCAACCACGCCATTCCGCCTGTCTGTGTTTCTGCAGCGCTGGGTGCTCCACGTCCCTCTGCTTTCCTGGCACCTGCCAGGGTGCTACACATTCCCAATCCTCCCCATCCCCGCCCACTTTCCATTCCGGCCATTCCCCCCCGACTTGTTTTTTCGAGCGCCAAGTGCTCAACATGCTTCCTCCTCTCTCCTGCCTGCCCAGCGCCTATCACACGCCAAAGCCCTCATCCCCAGTCCCCCCTTCCTCCTCCCGTGCCCCCCCCACCCCAAGCAGGCCATTCCCCCGGACATGTTTCTGGAGCGCCGGGTGCTGGACGTGCCTCCTCTGCCCCAGTGTCTTGTTTTGAGACGCCTCAAAACAAGACCCACCCCCCTTCCCCCCAACCCCCCCCACACGCACAAGCAGGCCATTCCCCCGGACATGTTTCTGGAGCGCCGGGTGCTGGACGTGCCTCCTCTGCCCCGCTGGCGCAACGGGCGCATCCTCGTCATCGGAGGTGCGCTCTCTCCCTTGCTGCTGCCTCTCCCTTGCTGCTGCCCCTTGCTCCTCGCCCTGCTGTTTCTTCTTATTCTTGAAAACCAACTTGTTGTGGGACGTGCCTCCTCTCCCCCGCTGGCGCCATCCTCGTCACTGGAGGTGCTCCCTCTCCCTTGCTGCTGTCCCTTGCTGCTGTCCCTTGCTGCTGTCCCTTGCTGCTGTCCCTTGCTGCTGTCCCTTGCTGCTGTCCCTTGCTGCTGTCCCTTGCTGCTGTCCCTTGCTGCTGTCCCTTGCTGCTGTCCCTTGCTGCTGTCCCTTGCTGCTGTCCCTTGCTGCTGTCCCTTGCTGCTGTCCCTTGCTGCTGTCCCTTGCTGCTGTCCCTTGTTGCGCTCCCTTGTTCCGCTCCCTTGCTGCGCCTCCTTGCTGGGCTCCCTTGCTGCTCCCCCAGGTCGTTGCTGGTCCTGTCGCTTGCACCGCAGCCCTTCGTGTAGTGACGCCCGCTCCCGCATGGCCCGCTCCCGCATGGCCCGCTCCCGCATGGCCCGATCTCTCACGGTCCGCTCTTACACGGCCCTTTTCCTGTGCAACCCCTTCAGTTTGCCTACGTACTCCTCATCTCCCCCCTGCATTCCCCCCCCGTTCTCCACCCACCCACCATGACCCCCTTTCGCCTTGGTCAGTCCATTCGTGCCAACCTACTGTTGCAGCGTGCCTCCCCCTGATTCACCCACATCCCCCTATCCAATTCCCGTCCTCCCACCATGTCGTCCATGCATTGCATCTGGTCGCCCCCATCTGCATCTTCCCCCTCATGCCGACCAGATGCAATGCATGCGGTGCCGCCCACACTATCATTTGCAACCATCAAAATCCACCCGCTAACCCAACCCTACCACTCCCCCATGTCGCTCTCATCAAACCATCATCTGCATCTTCTCTTCATGCGACCAGATGCAGCGCATGCAGTGCCACCCACGCTGTCTTTCACCCAAATCCACCCACTCACCCACCTCTCCCCCACGTCCCGCCCATCACACCATCACCGGCACCTACCCCATCATGCCATCATGCGACCAGATGCAGCGCATGCAGTGCCACCCACGCTGGGCCAGGGCAGCAGTCTGGCAGTAGAGGATGCATTGGAGCTCGCACGGCAAGTGGTGGCCGACCATCCCTCCCTTGAGTGCGTGGTTTTGTGGTTCGGTTTTCAGTCAGTACAGTTTGTTTCCTGCTTGCTGTCTGCTGACTCTGTCCATTGAAGGCAGCAGTCTGGCGGCAATAGAGGATGCATTGGAGCTCGCACGGCAAGTGGTGGCCGACCATCCCTCCCTTGAGTGCGTCGTGTGAAGTGCTTCTGTGTACCGCTTCTTGTTCCTAGCATGCTATTCGGGGAATATGTCCAATGAGGCCAGCAGCCTGGCTATTGAGGATGCAGTGGAGCTCGCATGGCAAGTCATTCATCCCTCTCTCGAGTGCGTGGTGTAGTGCTGCTGTGTACCCTTATTGTTGCTAGCGTCGTGCTGTCTGGTGAATAAGTCCGATGAGGCCAGCAGTGGAGCAGCAGTGGAGATGCAGTGGAGCTCGCACGGCAAGTTATCCATCCCTCTCTCGAGTGCGTGGTGTGTTGCACCTTGCTAATCAGTAAAGCTCGTTTCCTGCATGTGCGTGGTGTGTTGCACCTTGCTAATCAGTAAAGCTCGTTTCCTGCATGTGCGTGGTGTGTTGCACCTTGCTAATCAGTAAAGCTCGTTTCCTGCATGTGCGTGGTGTGTTGCACCTTGCTAATCAGTAAAGCTCGTTTCCTGCATGTGCGTGGTGTGTTGCACCTTGCTAATCAGTAAAGCTCGTTTCCTGCATGTGCGTGGTGTGTTGCACCTTGCTAATCAGTAAAGCTCGTTTCCTGCATGTGCGTGGTGTGTTGCACCTTGCTAATCAGTAAAGCTCGTTTCCTGCATGTGCGTGGTGTGTTGCACCTTGCTAATCAGTAAAGCTCGTTTCCTGCATGTGCGTGGTGTGTTGCACCTTGCTAATCAGTAAAGCTCGTTTCCTGCATGTGCGTGGTGTGTTGCACCTTGCTAATCAGTAAAGCTCGTTTCCTGCATGTGCGTGGTGTGTTGCACCTTGCTAATCAGTAAAGCTCGTTTCCTGCATGTGCGTGGTGTGTTGCACCTTGCTAATCAGTAAAGCTCGTTTCCTGCATGTGCGTGGTGTGTTGCACCTTGCTTATCAGTAAAGCTCGTTTCCTGCATGTGCGTGGTGTGTTGCACCTTGCTAATCAGTAAAGCTCGTTTCCTGCATGTGCGTGGTGTGTTGCACCTTGCTAATCAGTAAAGCTCGTTTCCTGCATGTGCGTGGTGTGTTGCACCTTGCTAATCAGTAAAGCTCGTTTCCTGCATGTGCGTGGTGTGTTGCACCTTGCTAATCAGTAAAGCTCGTTTCCTGCATGTGCGTGGTGTGTTGCACCTTGCTAATCAGTAAAGCTCGTTTCCTGCATGTGCGTGGTGTGTTGCACCTTGCTAATCAGTAAAGCTCGTTTCCTGCATGTGCGTGGTGTGTTGCACCTTGCTAATCAGTAAAGCTCGTTTCCTGCATGTGCGTGGTGTGTTGCACCTTGCTAATCAGCAAAGCTCGTTTCCTGCATGTGCGTGGTGTGTTGCACCTTGCTAATCAGTAAAGCTCGTTTCCTGCATGTGCGTGGTGTGTTGCACCTTGCTAATCAGTAAAGCTCGTTTCCTGCATGTGCGTGGTGTGTTGCACCTTGCTAATCAGTAAAGCTCGTTTCCTGCATGTGCGTGGTGTGTTGCACCTTGCTAATCAGTAAAGCTCGTTTCCTGCATGTGCGTGGTGTGTTGCACCTTGCTAATCAGTAAAGCTCGTTTCCTGCATGTGCGTGGTGTGTTGCACCTTGCTAATCAGTAAAGCTCGTTTCCTGCATGTGTGTGGTGTGTTGCACCTTGCTAATCAGTGAAGCTCTCTTCTGGTGAATGTGTCAGCAATCACTGACGCCAGCAGTCTGGCCACAGAGGATGAAAGGCAGCTTGCAAGACAAGTGGTTGGCAGCCATCCCTCGCTCGAGTGCGTCGTGTAGTGCTGTGTGTGTGCCGCAACTTGTTGCCTGCTTGCTGTCTGGTGAATGTGTACAATGAAGGCAGCAGTTTTGCGAGCTTGCAAGACGAGTGGTCACCCACCATCCGCCCCTTTGACGCGGAGAGGGCCCAAGCATGGTGGTTTTCTGATTTCTGATATGATGCCAGCAGTCTAGCCATAGAGGATGCACTAGAGCTCGCACGACAAGTCATTGCCGACCATCCCTCTGTCACGTGGTGAGCTGCTGCTCTATACCACTTGTTGTTGCCTGCTTTCTCTCTGGTGAGTATGCCCAATATGTCTGGCCATAGACGATGCGTTGGAGCCTAAATCCTCCCCCCACTCTCGCCCGTCCTCGCCTGGCAGGGCCGCACTTGATGCATTTGAGGCGGAGAGGGCATTGCAGGTGGCGGACTGCCTTTGAGGATACTGCTTCAGAGGCGCATCGATGCACAGGCGCCTCTAAACCCACCTGCTCTCTCGCCCCTCCTCACCTGGCAGGGCCGCACTGGAAGGCTTTGAGGTGGAGAGGGCAGCATAGGTGGCGTGGCGGACTGCCTTTGAGGGTACTGCTTTAGAGGCGGATTGATGCGCAGGCGCCTCACAACCCACCCACTATCTCGCCCCTCCTCACCTTACAGGGCCGCACAAGATGCCTTGGAGGTGGGGAGGGCACCGCGGGTGGCATGCTGCTTCTGAGGTGGACTTCTTGTGTGGCGCCTCACAACCCACCTGCTCTCTCGCCCCTCCTCACCTGGCAGGGCCGCACTGGAAGGCTTTGAGGCAGAGAGGGCACCGCGGGTGGCAGGGGCGAATGTGGATGTTGTATTCAACACTTGAACCTTCTTAGAAGAAAGAGTCAGGAAACCTTACCCCCACAACCCTTCCCCCTCCCCTTTTGCTTGTTCACTCTCTCACTCCTCCTCGCCTGGCAGGGCCGCACTTGATGCATTTGAAGCAGAGCGGGCGCTGCGGGTGGCGTGGGTGGCAGAGGCGAGTGTGGCAGTAGCCGGGCAGGCATACAAGGGAGAGAGAGACCCCAATGCCCCTGCAGAAGGGACTGTAAATCCCGATGCTTCTCTCAGCCGTGGTCAAAGCACTCGTGCGAGCAGCAGTTGCAGTGGTGGTAACAGAAGCGGTAAGGGCAGTGGTGGGAGTGGGAGCGGCAATAGCAAGAGCCAAGCTACGGACCCAGTACATGAATTGTACAATTATGAGTGCCTCAACTCACCCTTAGTGCCACCGCCGTGGGCGAGTAGTATGAAGTAGATCTCAAGTGTGCTGAATGTGCTGAAGTATGCCAGCACTTGACGTGTACGTGATGGTTGAAATGTGCTTTCATTCTAATACAGTGTGTTTATTTTGCTGAATGCATTTTGGCACTCACCAAAGATTTTTGGTTTAAGTGCTTGCTAGGCATGTGAATTCAGGGAAATTAGCCTACATTATTCCCCTGCATATACCTTAGGATACGTTAGCTTAGTCCTTGTACGTTATTCTTAACGTAATCACCATTGTGATACTCTTTTTTACGAACTCTCTATTACTTCTTTTAGGCTCCAGCACCCCATCATTTCGCGCTTTACCATTACCGTATTTTCTCCCACGCCTTATCTCGCGTATTTTCTTGTTCCTCGATAGTGCAGTCCCCGCACGTTCACTCAATTGCACTCGCCTCAGCAGCAGTTCTTTAGCACCTATGTTTGATAGGGCAAGGCAACCTACCCTCAGTGTCACATGATCGTCAGTCGCACCGCACGAAATGCCGTCCTATTCGCTGGTGCCACTGATCTTGACGTCGCTTTATGGAATGGCGGGCGGCGAGGCGACCCGACGTTGTGAACTGTCGTGACATTTTTAGTCACACTGTCGTGTTGAGCGAATCGATCCGGTAACCCTTATCGTGTAACCTTTGCCGTGGCGACATCCGACGCGAGTTAGGAAACCTTGCTGCAAAAACTTCCCGAAGTCAAAGTCGGCCACTGCGAGGATTGACGAACGCAGCGTTTTTCTATCATGAATTGACGAAATACCTCATCGCTTGTGCGTAAATTTGCAGGGATGCTTTGTGGTCGCTGCAGAGGATAAGGTAGGGGCTAATTTAGTTTGAACGGCAAAACAGGTGCGACGTGTCGATGCGCGAGTCGCGATTCGCGACGCGACCTTTCCTTGCGTCAAGAAAAGGGCAAAGTCGGCCTTCTCTCCGTGCATGTACCTGCGAAGTCTCTTATATATAAGCTGGCGGTGCAGTTGTTTTCTTATCAGTTTTCATCCTAACTTCATTGCAACGGTTCAGCATCACCTGACCAAACAGCCTTGCATATTGAAGATAACTTCGATGGAGGGTAGCAGGAGAATTTTTGCGCTCTTGTGCACCGTGACAGTGGCTCTGCTGTTTCTCCTTCCGCTTTGTGCCCATGCGGACTTGACGGTCACAGATGGCGTCGTAGCAAAGTCCGCCGGGACGATGGGAGCCACCACACGGCCGAGCAGCGTCTCTGAAGGTACGAAGTTCGTGTAGGCCGCCGTGTATTATACGCCCTTTCGCCCAGCCAGCAGTGCATCAAACATAGCATCTTGCTTGTCCCCCTTTTTTCAATCTCCAGGCCCGTTTTGCCATAGTTTGTCCATGCTTTCGTTTCTTGTCGCGCTAGCTGAGCCGTTTTCGCCCGGGGCCTTGCCGTTGGCTTTCTTGATTGCTCCTCTGCAGTAGCCCAAGCAAAACTTCGCGGACGCCGCTTGGGTGACCATCACCATCACCACGACGACGACGACGATGACGACTTAGACTGCAAGGACGACGACAAGGACGACGACAACAACAACAACAACAACTACAATAACAATTACAACAACAAGTACGGCGGCAGCAACAATTACAACAAGTACGGCGACAACAACAATTACAACAAGAACGGCGACAACAACAATTACAACAGCAAGTACGGCGACAACAACAACGGCAACAACAATTACAACGGCAACAACAACTACAACGACAACAACAATTACAACGGCAACAACAACTACGACAACAATTACAACAAGTATAGCGGCAATCACGGCGACAATAAGTACAGCGGCAATCACGGCGACAACTACGACAGCAAGTACGAGAAGATGAGCTGCTCCGAGAAGTACAAGATGCGGTCCGATAAGTGCAGCTACAAGCGCGATCAGTGCGGTGGGGGGGAGTACTGCGACACGACGAACGACTCGTGCGAGAGGAGGGCGTACATGCTGTACGAGAAGTGCAAGCGCGGCAAGTGGACTTGCGAGAACTGGTGTGACTACAGCAGGCTCAAGTGCGTGGAGGACTACCACAAGAGCAGCAGCGAGTGCCAGGATCGCGTCGAGTATTGCTACGACAAGTGCAAGGGCGACGACAACTATCACAAGGATTATAACCACAGTGACAACAAGTACAACAACAAGTACGATGATCACCACGACAGCAAGTACAACAAGAAGTACGACGATCACCACGATGATGACGATCACCATGATGACGACGATCATCATGATGACGATGACCACCATGACGATGATGATCACCATAACAAGTACTACAACAATCATGGCAAGTACTAGATCAAGCATGTTTCTTTTAGTTAGGAGGTCATAATTGGGTTATTGTTCTGTTCTGGGTAGGCTAACTGCTTGTTGCTGACCATGCTGAAGTGGGTGCCTTGTTTGCTGGTTGTCATGCTGATATGGTAGTAGAGGGAGTGGTGGAGGTCCAAGAACCTACATAGCTGCATAGCATGCATGTTTCTTTTCTAATATTTTCAAGCGGATGTAACTATGAAAATTTGAGGGTTACTCTTGTCTGACTAGATCCTTTTATTTCCACCATCTGTCATCTAATATAGACTCACACTACAATGCTGGTTTAGAAGCCTTTGTCATTTAAGTTAGAATAATACCATATGTATAGTTTAAGATATCAAAGTATTTGTGGTTTCGTTCGAGGCCGCTCCGTTCACACGCACATTCCCTCGACACAGTATCAAACCGCGCAACCCCAGCTGTGCCAAAGTTCACACGCTTGTATTGATGGGGATCTCGGGTGGTCGCGATTCTCGGGTGGTCGCGATTCTCGTTTGTCGCCGATCTAGTTCGTGAACCAATCAAAATGTGGTAATGTAGTTACCAGCAATGACAAACGGTCGTATACTCTTTTCGCGAGTCGATTTTCATTTGTGTGCGTGAATGGGAGGCGACTCGATTCTGGGGGGTAAGTGATGGCAGGGGGAATTTCATGATTGATTGCTGCTGCGACCAGATTTCACCCAACTATGATCCATCCCTCGTGTGGTGCAATTCGCGACGCGGCTCTTTCCCTTGGGCAAGCGCGCTAGCACAAGCCCTGTCGCGTTGCCTCCCACCCAGCCCAAGTAGACCCCAACCTCAACCACTCCCACTTGTTTCATCGCCTCGCCTTCTTTCCTATAAAACCCGACTCACGCATGTATATTTTCGATAATCGAAATCGATCCCACATATTGACCGACAGAGCTTCCAAAATCGACTGCCTTTCCCCCGTCTAGCTGCTGTCATGGAAGGGAAGAAGTTCGTTGCGTTCCTGTGCATGGTTACCGTATGTCTCCTCGTCCTCCTTCCACTTACGGTTCGTGCGGATGTGGCGGGTTCGACGACACTGGCGACGACCCAAAAGCCAATCGAAGCCGCTGAAGGTTTGTTATTCCTCTCTATGTTCACAAATGTCGCCCCGTTTGTTACCATATCTTTTTCCTACATGACCTCTCCTGTTTAACATCAGCGCCTTTTGATTTCGTCGGCCAATACGGACGAGCCCTTGATCGCCCTTCCTCCTGTTCCTCCTGCCCTAATCTTCTGTCTTTCCGATCCGCAGAGTCCAAGACGATGTTCCGGCGACGACTGAGCAGCGACGACGACGACGACGACGACGATGACGATCTTGGTTGCGAAGACGACGACGACCGCTCGCCGCCCAAGCCCAGCCCGTCGCCGCCGCCGCCGCCGCCGCCGCCCAAGAAGGAGAAGAAGCAGCTGACGTGTCTGGAAAAGTACAGGCTGCGGTCCGATAAGTGCAACTTCAAGCACGAGTGGTGCAAGCGGGAGGCGGAGGACGACGACGAGAAGGCAATTTGCGACGTCGCCGACGACTCGTGCGAAAGGAAGGCGTACATGCTGTATAAGAAGTGCAAGTACGGCAAGTGGACGTGCAAGGACTGGTGTGCGTATAACAAGATGCGCTGTATGGAGGATGATCGGTTGAGCGCGACGACTTGCAAGAAGCGCGCCGATTACTGCTATGAGAAGTGCAACCCAAAGCCGATTCAGAAGGACGACGATCATCATGACGATGACGACGACAACTAGATAGGGCGTGCTTATTTCGATTAGGAATGGTAACCACCCGCTTACTGTTCGCGAATGACTCTCGCGAAGGCTAACTCGCTGCTGACGTTAGGGAAACGGTTATGGCAGAGATGCTTTATTTACTGTCTTGATTTAACGATTCAGAAGGAGCCATCGACCAAGTATCAGAGTACCAGAGCATATGCGTGGCTGCATGGCACACTGTTCAGGAATGACACCACGAAATAGTGAGGTCTGACCGTCGGGAGGATACGACGGGACGGGAAGGTTAGGCCGTGGAAGATGAGAGCGACCATTTTGTTTGGCCGTTCATAGTGAGTCACTGAGGTAGCTGCACGGCCTACTAACTCAGCGGGAGTGGCTCCATGAATAGGCACATTCCACTGTGCTTGCAGATGCAGGGTTTCTTGCAAGCTTGGGTCGCATATCACGAAGTGGTGTTTCACTAAAGTCCATGCACATGACACAAATATTGTATTTTGCATCCTGAAAACGTGCTGGCAAAACACGGTAGGCAAATTTTCTGGAGCTATTGGATTCACCCATCGTAGCGCCTGGACTGTGTGTAATATTGGAACAGAATCTACACCCACATCAAGGGTCAAGTCGATTCGCAATAGCGTATTCACCAAATGCGTCACTGAATGCGTTCTCTTATGGGTCAAAGATCTTGATGGACCAATCAGAGGCAATGGGCACACGTGGCGCTCGGACCACCAGCACTGAGGAGGGCACTCCTGGTCGCAGCCATGCGGGACCCACCTCCTCCTGCACGCACACAGCACACGTGGGGTGGCATGAGGGTGCTAGGGAACAATAAGTGAGAAAACGGAGCTGAGGAAAGCAGGTCACTCCTGGTTGCAGCCATGCGGGACCCACTTCCTCCTGCACGCAGACAGCAGACGAGGGGTGGCATGAAGGCAGAATGGAAATATGTAGGGGGATGAGACAATGAGTGGGAAACCGGAAATGAGGAGGGCACTCCTGGTCGCAGCCATGCAGTACCCACCTCCTCCTGCACTCAGACAGCAGAAATGGGGTGGCATGAGGGCGGAAGTGAAACACAAAGAGAGGTACGGGTAGATGAAATCAATGAGAGAGAAAGATGAAATGAGGTGCACATTCCTGGTCGCAGCCATGCTGGACCCACCTCCTGCAAGCAGGCAGCAGACAATTTGGTGGCACGGGGTAGGGAGGGAAATATAGTGAGAGGACAATGGAATGAGTGAGACCAGAGAGAGTGGGAGATAAAATATCTGAATTGTCCAAGATCCAAGAACGGCACTCCCGATAATTTGGACAACCCAAACCACTGAGAATTGCATGTCCAAATCACTACCGACAAACGCCACTCAACCACACTGATTCACTCACCTCCACTCTCACGCCCGTCCCCTCCACCACCGCCTCTCGGCTCCTCGCAAGTTTCACCTGAGGCAGCCCAAACACCACCACACGCTCCACCACACACGGTCTTTCAAACCCAAACAACAGCGCATCATGCCCCTGAACCATAGCAGACAAACACCACTCAACAACGCTGATTCACTCACCTCCACTCGCACGCCCGTGCCCTCCACCACAGCCTCTCGGCTCCTCGCCAGCTTCTCCTGAGGCAGCCCAAACACCACCACCCGCTCCACCACACACGGCGTCTCAAACACCTCCCGCTGCGCTCCCAGCGAATGGGACGCCGCCACGTCATCGGGGTGCGGGAGTGAGCGCAGAACGCCGTTGGAGAAGAGGAAGCGGCGGTGGATGAAGGCGCCCTTCTCGAAGGCGTAGGACTTGCCGTCATCGATGTACAGCTCTCCCTCTGCCTCCATGCTGCTGTTGAGTGCAATGACCTGTGATGGGGATAGGGGAAGGGGTTTGAGTGTGATCAAAGAGCGGCGGTGGATGAAGGTGAAGGCGCCCTTCTCGTAGGCGCAGGACTTGCCGTCGTCGATGTACAGCTCTCCCTTTGCTCCCATGCTGCTGTTGAGAACAATGACATGCCATGAGAAAGGGCAGAACAAAGGAGTTCAAACGGGATCAAGAAGAGCAACGCGTGTGACTTGCCATGATCAATGTACAGCTCGCCCTCTGCCCCCATGCTGCTGTTGAGTGCAATGACCTGTCATGGGGAGGAGGGGGAGCGAGCAGGGGATAGGGGAAGGGGTTTGATTGAGAAGAGGAAGTGGTGGTGGATGAAGGCTCCCTTCTTGAAGGCGATGTCTTGCAATCGTCGATGTACAGCTTGCCCTCAGCTTCCATTCCGTGCTGCTGTTGAGTGCAATGAACTGATGGGGGAATGGGAGTGGAAGCGGATAGGGAAAAGGGCTTGAGTGTGATCAAAGCGCTGCGGTGGATGAAGGTGAAGGCACCCTACTCGTAGGTGTAGTAGGCCTTGCCGTCGTCCCCATGCTGCTGTTGAAAGCAACGACCTGCCATGGGGAAGAGAAGATGGGAGCATTCAAATGCACACTTGTGACAATGGGGTGGGACAGCTTCCTCTCCCCACTCGCGTGCACCTCACTTCACCAGGACTGCCCCGCCCACCCACCACCCAGCATGGACCCTTTATTCATCCACTCGTTCCCCCGCAATCCACACCCAAGAATGTGACCGTCCGTGCATTCCACTATCCCCTCCTTTCCTGCAATACTCACTCACTCACTCACCAGAGTGTAAGGGTCCTTCTCCATCTGAGTGCTGGACCGCCGGGCACGGTCCTTACGGGGAACGATGGAGCCGGCGCGCTGGAAGACCGGCATCGTTGAGAGAGACACTGGCAGCTTCCTCTCCCCACTCGCGTGTGGCTGCCCAGAGGGTCCGTCCTTATGTAGGGCCCTCACCACTCACCAGAGTGTAAGGGTCCTTCCAGAGCAATACCCCCTCCTGCACCACTCACTCACCAGAGTGTGAGGGTCCTTCCAGAGCAATACCCCCTCCTGCACCACTCACTCACCAGAGTGTAAGGGTCCTTCTCCATCTGAGTGCTGGACCGCCGCGCACGGTCCTTGCGGGGAACGATGGAGCCGGCGCGCTGGAAGACAGGCATCGTCTCAAGCGACACGGGAAGCTCCCGCTCTCCACTTGCGTGCGGCTGCCCCGTCTTCAGATCATACCAGAACTCGCTGCCCGGGAACAAAACTTTCACTGATGTGGCGCCCTGAAATGTAACAAGCGGGGAGAATGGGGAAAAGGGGGGATGAAAGGGGAAGGCGAAGGAGGGGAGGATAAGGGAAGGAAGAGAAGGAGCAGAAGCAGGGAAGGATGGGAGAAGAAGGAAAAGAGGGGAGGCGAGGAGAAAGAGGGGATGAAAATTGAAGGAGAGGAGAGGGGCGATTTCATACCCCCATGAAGAAAGAAAAACTACACTTAGTTTGTGTTCGAATTAGAACTAGGTGCACAACAGCAGCGGCTAAAGCGTCTGGGACATGCGTGGGGGAACATGCCTCAAACAGGAACTTCGCTTACCTCAACAGTAACCGGGTGCACGAGCACGGAGGGGCCGAGCAGGAAGGAGCCCTGGTGGGTGAAGAGGTGCGGGTCGGAGGGGAACTCGAACCACAGCGGGCGCATGGGGGGACATGCCTCAAACAGGATGTCTACTTACCTCCACGGTAACTGGGTGCACGAGCACAGATGGGCCCAGAAGAAACGAGTCCTGGTGGGTGAAGAGCTGCGGGTCGGAGGGGAACTCGAACCACAGCGGGCGCATGGGGGGCGTGCCGGCCGTGAAGGCGGTGCGGAACTGCGTGTAGATGTAGGGGAGGAGCGCGTAGCGCGTGCGCACGGCTTCCCGAATGTGCGAGGTATACGGTTCCCTGAAGGGGGAAAAGGAAGGGGTACGGGAGGGAGGAGGGGTAAGGGAGGGAGGATGGGTGGTGTGCCGGCTGTGAAGGCGGTGCGGAACTGCGTGTAGAGGTAGGGCAGGAGTGCGTAGCGCGTGCGCACGGCCTCCCGAATGTGCGAGGTGTACGGTTCCCTGAAGGGGGAAAAGGAAGGGGTAAGGGAGGGAGGAGGGGTAAGGGAGGGAGGATGGGTGGTGTGCCGGCTGTGAAGGCGGTGCGGAACTGCGTGTAGAGGTAGGGCAGGAGTGGGTAGCGCGTGCGCACGGCCTCCCGAATGTGCGAGGTGTAGGGTTCCCTGAAGGGGGAAAAGGAAGGGGTAAGGGAGGGAGGATGGGTGGCGTGCCGGCTGTGAAGGGGGTGCGGAACTGCGTGTATAGGTAGGGCAGCAGAGCGTAGCGCGTGCGCACTGCCTCACGGATGTGTTACGTGTAGGGCTCGCTGCAGGGTGGGGGGCGGGGGGCAGGGGAGGGAAGAGGAAGGGGTAAAGGAGCATGGCAGGCGTGCCGGCCGTGAAGGCGGTGCGGAACTGCGTGTAGTGGTAGGGGAGGAGAGCGTAGCGCGTGCGCGCTGCTTCCCGAATGTGTGACGTGTAGGGCTCGCTGCAAGGGTCAGGGGGTGACGGGGACGCGCGAAGGACGTGGGAGGGGGGATAAGGGTGTAGAGATGGGTTAGGAGTGCATAGCGTGTGCAAGGTGTACAGCAGGATGCACGGGGAGAAGGGGAAGGAGGGGAAGGACAGCAGCGACGTAGTGCACAGTGCATGCGCAGCATAATAATAATAATAATAATAATAATAATAATAATAATAATAATAATAATAATAATAATAATAATAATAATAACAATAACAATAATAATAATAATAACAACAATGATAATAATAATAATAATAGAAATGTTAATAATAAATAAATGGTAATAAATACAATAACAACAATAATAATAACAGTAAAAATGATAATAAACAAAACAACAGGAAATAACATCGTACCCGAAGAGCCAGGGCTCGCGACGCTTGGTGTCGAGGTGGGCATGGGCGCGGAAGAAGGGGTAGAATACACCCATCTGGTACCACCGCAGCAGCAGCTCCGCATTCGGATTGCCAAAGAACCCCCCCACGTCCGCTCCTGGGACAGGGTGAGTGAGAGAGCGGGGGAGGGA